TACCTTACCTTTAGGTCTTAGATAAAATTAATGACTCTACGTATATATACGTTCTTACCTAGTATACTTACATCTACCTCTAAGTTAGTATAGTATCTCTTCTCTAGATACTTACTAAAGACATAATCTAGTACAACATTAATTAGTCTAGAGCTAACGACCTACGACTTATAGATATAAATAATACTATCTAATAACAGGAGTAGCTCTACTGTATCTATTAGAGGGTCTAGACTAAAGCCTGTAACACGATTATATGTAAAGGCCTCTTGTACTTTAAGGATAATGCTATCTTTAATAGACGTAGTAGATATAAAATCGCGACTAATACTAAATACACGACTAGTATAGAACCTAGTTATATAAAGGCAGGTTAGACATGTCTCCTTATTACAAATGTAATTAATAAAGTTAGAGAGGAATATAAGGTTACCCTAGCTATTATTAAAGTGTGTATACTGTCCTAAAGTCGTACGAACAAAAGAAGCCTAGTAGCGTAAGTAGTATAGCTTAGTTAGAGAGTCGCGATATTTAGCTATTCTAATATGTATGTTATTAATAATATCTAAGGAGATAAATGCCTTATATAATAAGGTAGGGTTAAAAAAGTAAAGATCTTCTTAGGGTATCTTATTAGTTTGTCTAGCTACTTTACGAGTAGCTATCTTTATTACAAGCTTCTTAGGTATTAGTAGAATGTCCTTCTTACGAAAAAGAAGTAGTAGTAGCTCTTTCTTAATATATCGCTTTAAGGTTGTAAGTAAGCTAGGCAAATTCTTAAACGTAGGATTACTTAACATACTTAAGATCTAGTAAAGGGCTAACTAGTCTGTTCGAGAGAGTCTAGTATTCTTAGTAAAGATACCTAAGGCTATCTTTAACTTTGTTATATATAGATTATAAAAGTACTTATAGTTAATAAGTTCTAAGTTATTATCGTCTTAAAAGGGCTGTAATATTAGCTAATCGTGATCTATTATGTCAAAGGTCGTAGTAGTAGGTGTCTTTATAGTAAGAGTATTACTATTATTATTCTTAGTAAAATCGAACTTAATAGTTAGTAACACATCTTACTACTTAAGATTATTATTATTATCTTTAGCTAAATCTTAGTACTAGTCTTAAAGTTAAAGTTCTTGTAGGTTAAGGTTAAGAAGAAGCTCTACATCTGTATTAACTAATGTATTAAATTTATTAACTATATGACAGGCAAGCTAGTTAATAATCTAAAAAAAGAATTAGATGTCTAACATTTATAAAAGTTAGAATACGTACTAGATTATCCTAGTTACTAAATGTCCCCTTAGTCTACTTATCCGGTCCTTTATTATTACTAAGATACTTGTTACTATTATTGTATAACTTATTGTATAATCTAAGGGTTAACGTAAGTTTAGGATCTTTAGATTCATTACCTTTAGTAGAAGTAATGTCTCTATTAACTCTACGTCGACCTTCTAGACTAACATTTTGTTAGTTTAATAACTTAAAAGGCTTTATCTTCTAGCCTATACTTAACTTAGTAAAATAATAAAAAGATAAGAAAGAGAAAGAAGAGGAACAAGAAGAGCAAGAGTCTAGAAGACTTAAAGACTTAATAAGAAGAGAGATAGAGGAACAGATAGAAGAACAGATAGAGGAATAGAGAGAGGAACAAGAAGAGGAACAGGGAGAGGAATAAGGAGAGGAATAAGGAGAGGAACAGAGAGAGAAACAAGGAGAGGAATAGAGAGAGGAACAGAGAGAGGAATAGAGAGAGGAACAAGGAGATATTAATACTGTTCTAAGTATTAATACTATAAGCTTTGTTAACAAGAGATCTAGCTAGAGGTTATTAAAGCTATAGTGTTTTAAGGCGACTAAGGAAATCTATAGTAGTAGAGAGGACACGAATAGCGCTAAGACCTGATCTTAATCACGTACTAGCGTACTAACACAGAATAGTCTAATCACTATATAGCTTAGAAGACTTAAACAAGAGTAAGCGAGTCTAAACCCCCTTAAGCCTTAAGGCTTAAAGAGACTTTTAACTTTTAAGACTTAAGAATCCTAGGCGACTTTAACTTTACCTTTAACTTCTTAATTCTTACTACTATATAGTCGATCTTCTCCTTTTCCTTACTATATAAGTCTACCTAACCTAAGATGTCTAGCGCCCCTAATGCTCCCTTAGGAGGCCCTTATCGTAGTCCTTATAGCTATAGACTTAGGCGTAGTAGTAGTCTAAATCAAGGTCTTTTAAGTAATAGTCTAAGTAGTTATAGTTAAGGCTCTCTTAGTACGTTTACAAGTAGTAGTACATACTTCTCTCTTTACATAAGTATACTAATACTAGTAAGTCATGTAGACTTATACTTATTTCTTTGTTAGATTAAAGCTAATTATTATAGACACGTAGTAGTCCTTAATAAAGTAGAGGTCTTGTCTAGTAGTAGCTTTAGCCCTAGTAGTAGCTTTAGCCCTAGTAGTAGCTTTAGCCCTAGTAGTAGTCCTCTCTATAGTTTAATACTCCTTAGTATTAGGCTTAATACAATCCTTAGTAGTAACTTTAGTCTTAGCTTAGCCACCTTCTATAACATAGTACTCTCTAGTAGCGTAACTAATCTAGTAGTAGAACTCTATCTACTAGAAATCGATCTAGTAGAAATTAGTCTAGTACACTAAATCAAGGTCTAGACCTTACTCTATTATATAATAATCTTATAGGCGTTCTCTAATAACTACCTTCTTGTTTAAAGCGTAAGTTACTAGGTACAGGTCTTATAAAGTAAGAGCTTACAGATATCTAAGCTAATAAAGAGGATAATACTCGTAAAGCTTAGATTCTTAGAGAGTTTAATTAAGACGTAAAGCTTTAGTCCTTTAGATACTACTCTAACAAGTTCTACGCTTTAATTATCTATAAACATTATAGACAAGAGCTTAGAGATACTAATCCTATTTTTATTAAGGCTTATACAAAGATCTAGGACAATATTAAGAACTAAAAGAACTAGATGTTAAAGAGACTTAAGAGGTACTTAAATAAGATTAGGAATCAGTATCTAGATGTATAAGCTTTAGATAACGATGTATTTAGAGAGAAATGTTATAAGAATCTAAACTTATCGACCTTCTAGCACGTCTAGTATTACCTTAGAGGCATAATCGACTATAATAAGAGCGAGGAACTAAGAAAGTTCTTTATTTAAAGTAAGTTTACCTTATTATATATCTACTATAGTAGTAGTACTACTAGGTATAAGCCGGGCTAATGTGTATACCTCCTGCTTATAGTAATCTATTCTAACCTTATTGTCGTGACACGAAAGTAGATAATCACTAGCTTTAGTAAGGCAGATATACACTAGAATCTTCTTGATTTATATAATACTATACCTACTAAAGACGATTTTACTACTATAGACCTTAACGACTTTACTATTATCGACAAGGCCCCTAAGAGGCGTAAGGGAACAAAGGACTACAAGAAGATACTTGCTAAGGAATTTAAGTTAGTTAGACCTCTACCTCTAAAGAACAACGCTCTACGCGAGTCGTACGAGTCGTACGACGATAAAGATCTATTTACAGGTAGTAGTAGTAGTAGTAGAGGTAGTGACATACTTAGCTTTAATAGTACATTTGACGACTACAACTATAAAGAGGACAGCCAGACTATTATTAACTCGCTATCCCCTCTTTTTTAACACCGTTAATAGGATAATATAGGGTAGACTATAGGCAGATACTAGGTTTAGCACATTAGTAAAGCGGATTAGTATTAAGTTACTAATTAATAGTCTCGTACTAGTATTTGCTTACTAGTCTTGACGTAGATACTACACTGTTTATTTAGTAGATCATGACTACTTTCTTACGTTAGTCGTTACAAAAGTTTTCCTGTTAGTTACCTAGATTAATTAATTAATTACCCTACCTGTGTGTCTTACTTAAGAGTCCCTAGTTACCTGTTTATCTTACCTTCTTTTCTTACTTACGCTCTCTTAGTACGGGTCTTGCTTTATTACCTCTCTATAGGCTCGACCTAAGGACTAGAGGATTCGAGGAAGTACTAGTAGTAGGGATCTCTTAGCTAAAGAGAAGAGGCTATAGTCTATAGACAATTAAATTTAAATGTGACTATCTATATAAGGGACGAATATAATTATTACAACGATTAATATTACTTATAACGATATTTCGTCGTTTTACGTATTAAATTTAGTAAATAAAGTCCGCTATCCGGCCTAACAATTGATTATACACCTAAGCTTAGTCCTTATTAAGTTAAGACGGCCGATCACCTTAGTAAGAGGTAACTTGTTTAGTGTTAAGAAAGAAGGTAGAAGGTAGAAGGTAGAAGATATACTAAGCTACAGGGTGGATTAGGTAGTGTTCTTAATGTTATCGCTTACTTAGTTAGCTACCGTTCCTACACTATTAAATCTCTTATACTGTAAAAATACCGTTTACTCTCGCTTACTATATCTATACCGTACAAATACCGTTTACTCTCGCTTACTGTATCCACACCGCAGTTCAGAATCACGTTACTCCGCTAAGGTACCCTGTGTATATTCGGAAAAGGGGCCAATGTATTCGATGCCTTATCATGTTTTGGTGCCTGAGGATATAACATAATTGTGGACATCCTCAATGTGGCGTTACACTGCGAGGCTATGTTATAATAATCAAATCAATTTCGCTGATTGGATCATATTTGTATAAGGCAAAATGCGCATATTCATGGTAGCTCCAACCCAGGTTCAGTCACGGGGACCATCTCTGATTTGGCAATATTCTCAATTCCGAGCAGATCAAGATTTGGGATGGAACAAATGCTGAAGGTCTATAAAATAGAGCGCAGGCGGTCACTAAAGGGCGAAAGAACCAAGCTTGTGTTTCGACTATTTGGCAATTGCTATATCTTTCACGCGGGTCATATGTACAGTAGAGGAAACGCCACAGTAGCTTAAAAGATACGCTTTTCGAGCTATTTGGATACGTTAGTGCCGGAATCAAAACATATATAGGAGATTATGAAAACATACCCTCCATGGGTTGTTCAATTCGAATCCCAGTGGAGCTGCCGAATTGTCCGTCTGCCCTCTCAGGAATCCCGTCAATCTCCGGTCGCGGTCCATCACTGTATTCTAGTCAATATCGTCGAGCGTCCTATATGAGGATGTGGAATTTTACTTTGCTGCACCATTGTTAGCCTCCTGTCCTCTCGAGTTAGAGCAGGCGGTGCCGGGGGTACTTACTCTGTCCCATTGATCAAGCGAGTGCCTTGCTCTCTTCCCACCGTTCTGCATATGTCTGAGCTTCGACAGTCCAGCACCAGTAATTCCAAACATCTGCGAATCTTAGCACGGCGGTCTTCCTTCCAAGGGAGAGGAGGTGGGGTGGGTTCGGGAGGTACGCACCCCAAGCATGATCCCATACGGGATGAGAGCTTCGAAAGGAACGCCCATCGTGACAATCGTAAATCAATCCTAGCGCGCAAGTTAGCAAATCCATTCCTCGCTGTAGCCCTAGAGATCCGCGTACCCAGTTGGTGTTGTACTGCAATTGAATGGTATTTCTGGTGAAGCGCCGGGTGACTTGACGTTGGATCGCAGTTCGGAAGTTTGACTGCTTACCTAAGCGCTGGGTTTGGGGCACCGGGGAAGAACGACAGCTCTGGGGTTGGAAGGGGATAAGTGAGCGATATTACAACTCCACGATCGGATTTCGACTCGATTCAAGCCTGATCTACGTGTCGGAAGGCCTCATGCATCTGCATCTATTGTATCTTTGATTGATACAAGGGAGTTGTGGCTTGATAACGCGTTTTTCTGCATCTGCCCCCTTCGCATAGCCGCCGCTGAACGCACTCGAAGCAAGCTACGAACAGTTACATGACCGAGAAAGGGACAGAAACTTGCGCAACTGTCGCATCTTCGACTTTAATTTACTGTCGAAGTCAAAACCCGGTCTGCTGCTGTTTCCTGCCGTCAAGTTGCGCCCGCGCGCATCCTGAGTTGCCCTCTTGAGCGCCTCCCTGCGCTGCGCGCCAACTGTCCCGCTCTTGATTTCGAACAACACCTTTTCGAAACCAAAAGCCATCTTAAAATACGAATGACAAGAAATACATGAAATATGGCGGCAGCGGCGCTCATAGAGGAGGAGCTCCAGAATAGCATGGCCCTTTCTGAGGAGGATGCCGATTTCGAAGAGGACGATGAGCTTCCAGCAGACGTGAGGGAGGCTCACGCTGATGCTTTTGCAGCGAATATCCAACTTCAGAATGGGATGCTCGAGGAGCGGGGCAGAGACCAGGATAATAGGGACGGACGGGAGAGAGATGAAGAGGCGGTCACTGATGAAGACGCCGAGGGAGAGGAGGACGACGAGATGATCGATCCAGGGACAAACGTTCACAACGGCAAAGAGGGTACGGAGGAAGCAGATGATGATGAGGATGGAGAAGGCGTTGGCGCCGTCAAAATCCAGCCTGGTCTTTCGGAAGAGGACGATGAGGATGTCCTGCCCGGTTCCGACGAAGAAAGCGCTGCCAGTATTGACGATGACGATGATGAATCCAAAGATTCAACAGATGCAGAGGTAGAAGCACAATGGGAGCCAGCCGCTGAGGAAGAAGAAGAAGAGCCTGCAAATCCCAATCGCTGCATGTATGTTCAGACCCCTCCTTCAGCTACTAAAACCTCCTGGATACTAATGTGGGTGCAGATTCTGTCATCAAGATGAAGAGAATGACCCCAGCGAAGAATTTGAGCTGTACCTATCTTGCGATGTTTGTGGTGACAATGGTTTGTTTATCGGTTACTGAGTACGGAGTAAACGAGGCTGACAACGTTTTAGCACATCGGCAATGCGCCCGCAATGCTAATGCGCTCAAGTCGGAAGATGGTACGTTGCGCAAAACCCTCTATGCTATCTTATTTGATTCAATTCAATGCTAACAGCCTAAATTGCAGAAGCAGAACATTGGATCTGCCCAGAATGTGTCACCAACCATCTACAGCCCGACCCTGCTGCTGCAGAACCGCAGGATCCAAGCGCAAGAAGAATTTCAAGGGACAGAGTTCCTGGAGATCTTCTACCAGCGCAGCGGGGCACAGTCAAGCCTGATTCGCATTCTGTTTTTAACCAGCTGATCGCGCCTGAAGATCCCATGGATGGATCTCGTCTGCTGCGGAAGCGGAAGACATCTTCTGTGGACACGGAAGCTGAAGAAGCATCTCGTGCATCCCCGATAAGGAGACGGCAACGTGATAAAGATCTCACTTCTGGTGACCCTCACCTTCCCCAGCCAGAAAAATCTCTCGTAGAAAGCAAGGAGGAGATGGAGATCGACACCCCGGCCGAGCCGCTTGTAAATGGCAACGACAAGAAATCCGAACAACCAGTGAGCCCACGCGCATCAAGGTCCCTGAGACCAAAGCCATCATCAAGTAATACGCCTGTCAGTATTACAGAGAAGACAGCGACCAGCATCAAGGTAGTGTTCCGTATTGACCCAGTGGAGCTTCGACACATTGAATCACGGCCCCCTAAACCGAAGAAAAAGAAGAACCGTAGTGCCTCTGCACCACGTTCATCAGCTCCAGTTTCTACTTACGTCCCACCTAGCTATTCTCAGCCATTCTATTCTCTTCACGACAGAGAGATGGATGAGTTGAAATCAAAACCATACGGCGGTATCCTCACAGAGGCTGAGGCCAACACAACTGTCACACTTCCGAAACCTGAGCATCGACGGCAATTTGACGAAGCACGGCAAAAGGCCGAAGAAGAATGGAAGGAGAGAGTTACAGCTGCAGCCGAAGCGGCTGCAGCGTCTGGGGTCAAGAAAGCACGGAAGGTATCTGGCCCCGCAAGTCAAATTGAATATATCGAATTCGGGCAATATCAGATCGACATCTGGTATGCCGCTCCCTACCCAGAGGAATACAGTCGGAATAAGGCGCTCTTCATCTGCGAATTCTGCCTCAAATATATGGAATCCGACATTGTTGCGTGGCGGCACAAGACCAAATGCCCGTGGAAGCACCCTCCTGGCGATGAAGTATATCGCGATGGAAAGATCATGATTTTTGAGGTGGACGGCCGCAAGAACCCCCTCTACTGCCAGAACCTGTGTCTCTTAGCAAAGTTATTCCTCGGCTCAAAAACACTCTACTACGACGTCGAACCATTTCTATTCTATGTCATGACCGAATATGATGAGCTGGGGTGCCACTTCGTAGGCTACTTTTCTAAGGAGAAACGGCCTAGCAGTCTAAACAACGTCTCCTGTATTCTCGTTCTTCCCATCCATCAGCGGAAAGGCTATGGGCATCTGCTCATAGACTTTTCTTACCTCCTGACCAGGGTTGAGAAGAAGACCGGATCCCCCGAGAAGCCGCTCTCCGATATGGGACTCGTCTCATATCGAAATTACTGGCGGCTCGTTCTATGTTACTACCTCCGAGATATCAAACCCGGCGATCAGATTCCTAGTATTAAGACGATCTCAGATACAATGGGTCTGACACCGGACGATGTTATATCGGCTCTTGACGCACTAGGTGCTCTGATTCGAGACCCTGTCACGGGCACATATGCGATGAAGTTGAAGACTGACTATTATCGAGAGGTTATACGACAGCACGAGGCGAAGGGCTATGCGAAGCTGAACCCAAAAGGATTGGTCTGGACACCATATATCATGGGACGAGGGAACGCATCCAATTTCGATCTTCTACCACCACTCAATACTGTTGCACCGAGAGATGAGGACGAGAATGAAGAGATGCTCGACCCAACCAAGCTTTCCAATACAGGCAAGCGCGACTTTGATACCTTCAACGAAACCAGCGGCGATACATACGCTGTCACAGAATCTATGGGCAAGCTGACCACTACAACCGGCGAGCTCACCAGAGCACTCTCCATCGAGGGCAGCAGTGGGAGATCAGCATCCATACCGAAGCTGAATGGCACGTCGAAGAAACCTTCATATTACGAAGTTGCGGCCTCCATCCCGGCCACCCGCTTCGAAGTCTTCCCCCCTGCCCCCGGCACCCGCAAAAGCACCGTCCTCTCCCGCCCCTCCACCTCCCGCCACCGCTCCTCCATAGGCACCACGCCCTCACGCCCACCGCTCAAACGCACGCCCTCGCGCAACTCCCCCGCCCGTCCCCGCAGCTGCACCTCATCCAGCCGACGCAACGGCGGCACCGGGCGCGGTCCCGGGCGCTGGCCGAAAGGCACCAAAAAGAGCGACTTCGGCAACGCCGACAGCGGGCCCGGGCTCCCTCCCTCGTCCCGATCGCGAAGCAGCCGTCTCGGAACCGAGGTGCTGCTCGGCGAAGAAGCCGCCGACGACGACGACGACGAGTATAAACTCGAGAGCGTGGAACCCTACGAAGAAGAAGACGAGGAAGAGGAAGAAGCAGAAGAGCAAGAAGATGAAGAAGATGACGAAGATGCGATCCTCTTTGAGAAACCACGAACGCGTCGTGAGCCTGCGAGGAGAGGACTGGGCAAACCACCGCTGAATTCGCAGAATTTGGGAAAGGGCAAGGGCAAGGGGAAGGGAGTCTTGGATGAGCATGCAGACACGGAGATGGATGATGCACAACCGCTGGTCATGGGCGATATAGATGTTGATGCCGAGGGGGAAGATGAGTAGAACAAAACCTAATTAATAACGGCTAAATCACCTGTCAAGGAACGCGGTATATCAGGTGTTCAGGGGATTTGGGACAGGATCGGACTGTGGTGTTTAGGAGTCTTCTTTCTTCTTTTTCTCCCCTTTTCCGAAATTTGCAGACTTGGTCGGCGTGATGAATGAACAAATGAACGGATGGATGGATGGATGGATGGATGGATGGATGGAATGAAGGGATGGGAGATGGATGGATGGATGGATGCTTGCTTGTCTGTCTGTCTATCCGTGATGTCTGTCTGTCTTGATATATATTATTTTGTACTATATCCTAGCAAGCAAGCGCACGGGTGATTGACTGATTTGATTGATTGATTGATACCTCCTCTACTAAACTAAACTGGAATAAACCAATTTACTTTTTACATGGCAGATGAAAAAAGTGCGGACATTGGGATTTGTTCGTTTGTTTGACATCATCATACCTTAATAGAGATAGAAGAATCACGTACGTGTGGGAGATTCAATAGAATGATATTCCATTTCTCACTCCTCCCTTAGTAGGTACTGATGATTAATTTTCTATACCTATACGTACTACCGGTACTTGTATGTATGTATGTACGACTGAGCCTCCTAACGCTCAGCTAGCTCACTTGCCCCCCTTCCCTGTTATTTCATTGCGTATTTGTTTCCATCATCGCGGCCCAAGGCTTTTATGAGCGAGCGAGCGAGCACGGGTAAAGATTCGAGGGGGGCATATCAATCTCTCTTAATCTCACACAAAACAAAATAAATAAATAAACAAACAAGCCGGCGCCCGGACTCTGACGATAGCAGCAGCAGCAGCACGCTACCATTCAATGAAAAGCCCCTGTTTCTGAACTCCACAGCCAAAATACCCAGCCAGTTCCGCTTGGACCTTTTTCCGGGAAAGGAGTTCTGGTCCTGAGGGAGGTTTGATGATTTATGCAAAGTAAGGTTTCCACAAGACGCCTTCCAAATCCTCGAGCTGCTCCGATGTGAAGTACTATATGGAGGGTTAGTAGTGCTCATGGTACGCCGGGGGGGGGGGATGGAAGGAAAACGAACCTTCTGGTCGGTGACCCAGGTGTCCTGTCTGGTCTTCTTGAAGTCCGCCAGGATAGTCTTCACAGCTTTGCCGATGGCGCCCGCATCATTGGCAGCTCTCGAAGCCAACAGCGCTAGAACCTCCGGCATCCATTCTGGTGGCGGGGTGGCGTATGGGAAGGCCGTCACTGACGCACCGAGACCCAACACTGCAGCATGTCTTCGGATGACTTGCTGGTTAGTGCTGACAGGAGTACTCGCGCCGGGCGTCGTCTTCTTCTTCGGCATGGGGTTCTGCATGAGGGCGTCTGCGAATTTCTTCTTGAGGGAGGACAGGATATTATTTCGAAGCGCAACGGGCGAGCAACGAATCATACCAGCCAGAGTGGTAGAAGCACCCATCCGGACCTCGTGTTGCGGATCTTCAAGCATTTCCGCTACCGCGTCAAAAAGCTCCTGCTGCTGCTCGGGTTTGATGAGGAAGATACGGCGAAAGTAGATGACTTGCATGTTTATCAAGGTGCGAAGGCGTTGGTGCCAAGAAGTGGACATCTTGCCAATGCGGATAAGGGCAGAGATGAAGTCGCCATCCTCGCCAGAGCGGAAAGGGATATTAGGCAGGTGACGATAAACAAGGTAAGATAATTGCTGTAGCTCGGGATCCTCCTTGACATCCATCATGTGCAGGAGCTGCTCCATGAAGACATCCGGAAAGAAGTCTAATAGTTGTGTGCATTCATGAGACTGAAGTGTTGTATCCAACCACAACAAGACAGTCTTGCTGCCCGAGGTGTAAGAAGATGGTGTCTGTTGACCTGGAGCACGTTCTTTACGCCATACTTCGAGTCGGTTAAAGACATCCTTGATGCTTGCTGTAAACTCTTTGGAAGGTTGGTAGGGTTTGATACCAATAGAGGAAGCCGCCTTGTTCGCGCTTAAAAGCGTATCGACATCCTTGAAAGCCTCGTAGTAGCGAGTGCGATAGATCGCGGCGATAGTACGTCCAATTGCCTCCCTGACGCTCTTGTAAGGATGATCGATGTGTGCAAGAAAGTCTTCGAGAATTGGTTTCTCGGCACGGAAATGCCAACCCGCATCCTGTATAGCGAACTCGAGTAACTGCACCTTTGAGCTTTCCTTAAAGGCAGCGTTTGACGACATGTCCAGCCTGAACGAACTGAGCTTGTCAAATATCTCTCGTGCTTGTCTCGGATCCTTCCCCGAGATAAGCATGTGCAAGCAGGTCATCCAATACTGGATGTTCTCAGGGGTAAGTCCATCAGCGAACACCTGGAGCAAGATCGGCACGGCATAGTCCCAGACCTTATTGCGAGTCTTGATTGGCCATGAAAGGGCAGAAAGCATGAGAGCTGCCAATATCTCCGACGTTGCACGATGCTGATGTTTATCGGTACCGTCTTCGAAGGTTGCTTTGATCTCCTCCTGAATATCCTCAAACGTGGCCGCAGACAAATCAGCGTATATGAGACTGAAAGCGGAAAGTAGGAGCATGACGTGATGGAGTCTGAATCGATCCGATGTGGAGTCACGAGGCTCTTGTTTCATGAATCCGAAGTACTTGTGATACCATTCGCGGGTCAACAAACTACCGATCTGTTTCCTGGCAGAAGATTCCAGCTCATCATAGTCCGTAAACTCATCCGGGTTGGCCTTCATAGCTTTGAAGCTGTCACCCCAAACAAGCCATCCTGGAAAGTCTCGGTCAACGAAGTACTCGGGCAATTCTGGCTTCGCAAACCCAGCTAGGAACTTTTCGGTCCAGTTCGGATCGTCACGATCGACTTTCACCTCGATGGTATTACGTGGCTTCTCCTCCTCGCGGATAAACTTCTCATAGCTGTGATCGTATACCGCGCGAGTTTCGATGAGACTGAAGATGCGGGTGAGCATCTCAGCATAGCCGCTTCGGAGTCCTGGGTGGTCATCGATGGAACCTTGAACAGCCAGCTCGATGAAAGACGGTGGTACAAGGGTCTGGGTTCGAAGGCCTGCATTATGGATGAAGATGGTACATTTGCCTGCAATCTTCCAATGTGAATTCTTCGAAAGCTCAGTGAGGCGATTCGCCAAATCGAGTTTCTTCCTTTCGACCTTATCTCTTCTTTGCACGAGGAAGTCATGCCTGGATTTGATCTTTGCTGTGCAATCCTCCTTGGGTTCAAAGACCTGCAATAGATCTTGGTCGATAACCATATATGTCTCCAACGCCTTGCCAAACTCGAGGAGACTGCCATACAAGGCGCTGTTGCTGACCTTCTGTATGGAGGCTTTATCAACGGAAGAAGTCCGGATATAGAGGTTAATCAATCGAGGAGCAAATCGCCAATCCTTCGAAATGGTCTTCGTTAAACTGCTGAAGAGTAAAGTGTATAGAGAACCTTTGATCACATCGTAATCGTTCCTATCCAATGCTTGTTCAAATTTGTCCAGGAGGGGAGGGATGACAAGAGGTCGTCCGCCGACCAGGCTCTTCAATGCAGATTCTAAGGCAGACTGGGCATTGATACGGACTTCAGCATACGAGGACACCGAAGATTCAGCTAAATCCAACAGGAGAGTCTTATCAAGGGCGGACTTTTGCCTGGCAGAAGAGTTGTGTTTCGCTCGTTGGAAATGGTATATCCCAGCCCGTTTGATCAAGAGGGGCCGTGGATATACTTTTCGCAGGCCGTTGACCTTAAAGGCCCGGATATCGGCGGCGTAGAGTTTGGTGACTCGCTCCAATGTATGAGCAGATCGCTCGTTGCCAACATCCGTAATCCACGTCCTATAGGTCAAGTATAAAGCTGTGAAACAAGCAACATCATCTTCCTGGCTCCGCGTCAAGAACGAATGTATTTTTGAAAGAAGGTGGCCAATATCTTCGCGTCGTTTGTGGATCTGGACATAGGTAGTACTCTCTTTCTCAAGGAGATACCCAGCGCGATAATGGAACTGTGGTCTAGTCTCATCGTCCTCAGCCGTCTCAGCTAAGGAGTTGTCATCATCATCCGTTGGCGCAGTCATGCCCATCGAGATGTCACCATCAGCATCTCGAGCCGAGTCGGATTGACCCGACGCCTTCTTTGGGTCAAAGAGCGTTGCAATACCCGAGAGTATAAGACGTAACTGGGAAAGATTTCTCGAGACCTCATCCGACCACTCCTTGTTCTTGCCCTTCCTACTGATGGATGGGTTGTCACTTATGAGATCTGTGAGCCGCTGCATCGCGGTATCCACTTGGGATTCAAATAGTTCCACTGCAAATGAAATTTCCTCCGGAGAAGGAAGATGCCAGTTGATCGTCAAATTGGAGGGCTCCATGCACTTGCCCCAATCGCTAACATCCAGGCCCCTTTCAATGACTTCCGGCTCATATAACGCGCTATCGACGGGGTAGATAAGAGTGAGGTTGAGGAGAAGGTGGTGGATGTAGTTTGATATATGAACCGTAGGTGTGCCGCGGCATTTCTCCTGCATGTAAAGCGCAATGTCAAACAACTCCTTCTTGTAGGGCAGAACACTATCGCCAACGTGAACTATAATCATGCTGAGCATACTAATATGCCAGACCAAGGCCCGATCTCGAGGCAAGACATCAACGCCACTATTTCTATCCGATGCAGCATTGTTGTAATCGATCTCGTTACGAATACCGACGATGAGCATGGGGACGAATATCTTCAAGGTCTTTTCGGGGTTGGCCTTGCATAGGGAATTGCAGATAAAAGCCATTGCATCTCGGGCCTGGTGAACCACATGGCCGCCAACAAAAGTCGCAACCTTCTCCAAAGCCTGGTCAAAAATCTCCGGCGAAAGGGAGGAGAAGAGCGGCGAAAGAGCGGCGGGCAGAGTGTTGATCACACTCTCTTCGGGCGACCCTGACCGCACCCTCGACGACTCAGGAAGATTCTCCAAGAGCGTGAATACTCTGCCCAGTAGAGACAAGACAAATTCACCGAAGCCAGCTGTTGATGAACGGACGATGTTTGCTTCATCCTCATCACTTAGTTCCGTCCGGTAGTCTATCTCAATGTTTGGTCCCTCTCTTTCCATACGCTCCATTTCACCCTGGACCCATTGAATGGCAAGTGCACTATCATGAATATCGCTGCGATCCTTGGTAAGATCGACGAAGGGTACGCTGTAGGCAACAGTCTGTATGAAGTTTAGGGTGTGCTGTGTTTTCGACAAGTCGTTAGCATCGATGCCTGGCAATGCCAAAGCCAGAAGTGCAGTAACGTGGCATCGCAAGCCTTTATGCTTTGCCATGATACTGGCTACCATCTGCAGACTACACAGAGATGATTGTGTGCGGTGGACTTCTACCAGGCCCTGCAATGAGGGATAAAATCGTTGCAAAGCTCCTGGTAAGATCAGGTGTGGTTCTAAGTAAGCCAGACCTTGTAAAGCACCAAAAAAGTAGTTCAGGGACTTGGCCCGCTTTGAGAAAAGACCCATGAACATAACCTCTTTCAAGCTCAAGACAAACCTCCTCTTCAGCTCATCATTAATTCGACGCTCTGGTGGTGTGTCTAGCTCTCCGCTCTGTTCCCTGTTCCAGCGCATGACGAAGAAATCAACCAAATGGAATACGATTGACCCCAGCATGTCCGTCCAGGCGCCCTGGTTGGATGGATGGAAGAATGTATCGATGGATTCCATCATGCCCTCCAGATTCGAAAGAATAGAACCTGGCTTGTCTAAACACGCGGGGGACAGTGACATTCCGATCCACCGCGCAATCGAGTATCCTATCGGGTTCTTTCTTTTATCCTTCTCCAGATACATACCAAGACCTGATCCAAGATCAATAATCGAACTATACGGTGAGCTTGCCTGGCCCACAGGTATCTCGGTCAATCGTAGCAGGGCTGTGAATATCAGATCGGACTGATCCTTGGTAAAGATGCCATACTCGGAGAATTGGACGTGCTTGCTCGTCAGTGAATCTCGGGCAAGCCGGGAGAAAATATCAAAGAAGCATATATCGGCCTGCTTGGAGCGCGCGACAAGGGACCAGAGATGGAAGAAAGTTGGGAGATAATCTTGGGGTTGGAGCTGGCCGGGCTCATCTGGTGCTGGGTGCGTGGGCATGAGCAGGTTCAGGGAACCCAACACTATGAATGCACCGCTAATATCTGATGTGCTGAAGTAGGGCAGCATCTCTTCGAGCATGACCTTCCTTTCTTTAGGATCAAAGTACTGGTATGCATGGTTGCAAAGCGGGATAAGGTGCTTGTGGTTTCGTTTTCGTGAGCTTTGATGTGATGCGATTTCGGAGGGGAGAACAATGCTTTTCAGTTCCTTCCATAACGGCCTCCAGTCTAATATGAGGTCTTCTCCGGGTTTCAGATAGTGCTTTCTCCTGCGATGCGTTAGCCATGCGCGAAAATGGTCTTCTCGAATCTCATAGCTTACTTTGTCAACAAACGAAACATACTCTCAAATCTATCCGCAGCTGAAGAGTCTATCCCGGGGGCCAAGCAAAGCATGTAATAGAGCTTTACGAGCTTGACCCGTAAGGCTCGTGTGATCTCGAACTTGAGATTCAGCCATCCCCTCAGCTCTCTCGTCCAATGGACGGCACCCGGTGCAATGTCTTCCGCCTTGATCGCAATGTATAGCTGCTTCAAGATTTCCTCCAGGGCCGCATTTCGTTCCGCCTCTTCCTCGACATTATATGGGAGGAGCTTGAAGTAAGGGAAGGTTCGAGGTCGGTATCTCTTCTGCTTCTCTAAATCGATCCCATTGGAGCTGCAGCCGAAGCCAGGCGACGTTGCGCGCGATATCGAATCCGATGCGCCGTCTTGGATGAGGTTATGGAGGATCTGTGCGTGGCTGCGGCCACCTGTATAACCGTCCTCCATCGTGTGAAGAGACTCGGTTCGGGAGTCGACCGTTCAACCTCGTCCTCTCGGAGGATCCTAGATCTGAGATCTGGTTAGCAGATGGTCGGCGAAGGGCGCGCTTCGAGGATGGCGGGTGGCGGTATGCTTTACCTCAGTCCGGGGTCAGGTCCAAGGCTCAAGGTAGAGAGAGCTCCTCGTCCAGACGGGAGCACACGACCTTGTTGATGGCAAGTCGCGCGGACAGCTCATTCAGATTTCCCGAGTAGCCAGATGGGTTGGAGCAACGCGACACCCGTATTGTCAGTGGTATTTTCCGTAATTGACGCTGGACAGCGAGTCGGCTGCCAGGAGATGATGTTGTACGGCCTCTCGAGTTGGACGCGGCAAGGACACACAGCCAGCCTCGTCCTCGCTGACTGTACACGACCTCGTCTACTAAAGTCCGAGCCTACGCCCAGCTGATAAATGGTCGATCAGATAGGTAGGTATGGGGTATTAGATGGTATTAGATGGTATGATGATAATCTCATATTCTGAAACAGGATGGGAGCAGAAAGATGGACCTGAATCTGTAAATCACAGTCTTATCTACAAGCCGTGGGTACTTTTTGTCTTTTGGGGCTCCAGGTCGACGTTATTACTTATTCAGATTTTCCTGTGCTATACCCTTCGGTGTTTAGGCATGGCTCATACGCAAGGCCGTCAACCCCATGGGTCTACGCGATCACTATTGCCTGCTGCTAGATGGGCCTCTATGCTGGATGCTGACCACCCCACGCATAGAGAGATACATGCATTGGGTCCCATTGTCTGCTGACCCCCAAGAACACTGGTGAAGACGTAACATGTGCTGTGGCCTACCTCAGGTACCTAAACATCAGAAGAATCAACCGCTTCGGCAATTGCACGCCTCGGCTTTGAACGTCGTGAAGGGCGCTACGGTATCACCCTTCTTCACCAATAGAGAAAATGCGGACGCGAGACGGTCCACCACTTCGGCTTCATAAATCAATGAGATCCCTAACATTGATATCCATATTTTCCAGTAGTATCTGCAATACATAGGAAGTAAAAGCACAAGGTCTGCGCCAGCACGAGTCCCAAACCCCCTTGTACCTTTAACCTTCCTCTTTTATACCCATAATAAACCCATGATCCCGCGCCGTACTCCTGTGCATGGCGTGGTATTATTTTATAAAGTAATACAATAATGAAATAGATAGAAAGAAGAAGTGGCGAGAGCAAGCTACACCACACAGCCCTTCACGTACGCTAGGCTGAGCGTGTCTGTGACCGTCGAAACAAATTCGTAAACACTTTCCACCGACCAGCCTTCGGCTTCTCACTATGCCCCGAGTCCCCTTTCCTATGCATATGGTCGATACTATGCCTCGCAGTGGGGTGTTCCAATTGCATCAGGCCAGAAGGAATGTAGGTAGACTGTACTCGTCGCTGCGGTCTCGTCGGGGTATCGGGAGTCGTGATAGACGATCCCGGGAGGTTGAGGGAGGTCGGTGTTGCAACAGGACTGGACACGCTACTGTTCCCGTTCTCCATTGCAGCAATTTTTGGAGGGCGCAACACCCTTTCCCCCTCGCTATCACTCGGGACAGTACTCGGAGGATTACCCACTCTCCGTGCGACTACCCGTTGCATGAAGGCCGTGCCGGCCGAGGCCGACCTCTTGGGAATATTCGACTGCTCCATCTGGGGCGAAGATGCGGTGGAGGTGCCCCCCTTCGTGCATGACCGTCGAAGTTTGCCTCCCACGGCTGCGAATGTGCTATGGTTTGATTCCGGTGTGGGCGTGCAGGTTCCAGAAAGGCTCGGTCGGCTAGCATCGGGCGTCACCGATAAAGATCTGACTCTGCCATGCGATGCGCTTCTGCTTCGTGCTGGGGGAGCGCAGGCCATGGCATCATTATATTTGAAATATGGAGAGAGACCTTGGCGCAAAGCAACCCAGATTCCAGTTACTTGGATGAGCTTCCTCAGGTCCTCGCCGATGGCGTGGCTGGTCCGCTCGGGCACTGGTTCATCCTCCATGGAATCATGTTCTGCCTCGCTAGGGGAGGGCTCTTCCCTCGGTGATGAAGATACTGAGGTGTAGAAATCGGGGATGTCCAAGGTATTCTGAGTGAGTGTTGCCATGATTGGGTGGCGACGAGATCTCGGATCCATCACGCTGAAGGTGTACTTGAGGTCAGTGCTGTTGAAACTCGCGCGGGAGTAATCCATGCTACTGCGTGTATTGTTCCTCTTCACCCAACGAGCTGTTGTCCTATGGCCCGTCTCGTCAACCGAGACGAATTCATACAGGCCGGTCGACAAAGGGGTGGCCGCCCACACCGAACCATTGCTCAATACAATCTCAGCCTTGCCAAAGCTACCGCCGGCGTCTTTGGGCACCTGACAGATGACCGCCATCACATCTCGGTTCGCCAGGCTTTCGTCGTCCGAATCTGACTCCTCGCTAGCACGATTGTCGGGCCTGTCATAATCTTCGCTCTTCACCACCAGGACATCATTAACTCCCAATTCTGCCTTGCCACGAAATATGCGCGGGAATTTCTTAGCTAGCCGTGGAACGATGACGGCGGATGGGAGAACATCGACCGCAGGCTTCGGTCGTGAATCGGGTGACAGTTGTTGTAGTTGAAGCAGTAGCCGTGGGCGAATATGCAACAATCGTTGCTTCTGGGTTAGGGTCGGAGCAGGATGTGCGAAATGGAAGGTCGTGCTTGGCCGCCGGCTTCGTCTCCGTCGTCTGCTACCGCCCACGGTGATCTCGCTGGCCTCTGAATTGGCCACCGACCTCCCATCTTCACTCATGGAGTCTGAGTGAGGTTCTTTGAAGCGGACACTGTGCTCTCGGGCGATTGACTCGGACAAGGGTCTGCCGGGGCGATTGATGATGGGGACGGGTCTCTCCTGCTGCATCGTAGCTCGGCGGGGCATTGGCGCTGCAGATTTGAGGGCTGGGGATGAGAAGGCTGAGCGTGCTAGGGGCGACCGCCTCGGACTCGATGTTGCATTGTAACGGGGGTCGATGGGCGCAGAGAACTCGTGCCTATGCATAGCAGCTCCTGAATGCAGGAACATGTTTCTTGGGTGCGTAGAGTGGGAAGGGACGCCCCGGGACGTGGGGCGCCGCCCTTCCAGAGGGACTGGGCGATCAGGAGATGGAGGGAGCGCTGGCTACGGAGCGCTGGCAGAAGGATGAAATTCGAAGCAGTCCGGGGACATTGGATTTAGGAAAGGCCCAGTATGCAGTGGTACTGGGAAAACGAGCGTGGATGAGCGAGCGTAGGGCTGACAGCCGTGCCGAGATGAAGAGAGAGATAGAAGATAGGAAGGGAAGAAGGAAAGAGATCCAGGAGAACTAACAACCAGGTAGCGCGTAGTACGTAGTAAGAGGGTCGTAAAACAAGGAGATATCTGCGACTCTATGTGAGGCTCTGCATGGCCAAGATAGACTTGATCATGCTGGAGAGGGTTGAAGAAAAGGGAGTGAAAGAGGTTGTTGGTCGAGTTAGGTCTTTTCGCGCCTGGAAGTAGTAGTACGTCGAGGGAGGAATGAATGGCGGGGGGGGGAGGCAAAGGCGGAGCGACTGACTCGATATACCCACCCATATACCCACCCGCCGTAGCTGGGGGGCCCTTGGCATCAGAGCTTGAAAGGGCTGGCTGGGGGTGAAGGAATCCTGATGAACGAGCGGAAGGCCGGATGGGCCAGGACGCCGATGATTCCTGCGGTGAGGCGCGACCTTTTTGGGGGGGGGGGCGCAAGTTGGGAGGCGAGTGGACTGGACCGAGGACTGTGGATTGTATATTCGGGGCGGGCCACACTACCTGACTACGAGAGAGAATCTGATTCGGCACTCGTCTGGTCGCCTGGAAAGAACGGGGAAGCTGTCGCATTTTTTCATTTTTCATGAGTTCGGCGGTCATGCGTGGAGCGACGATGGCCCCGGATGCGTGGGCGTGTTTTGGTTGTACAAATGGTCGAGAGACGGCAGCGCCAGGGCTAAGGTATGCTGCTCAAGACTCAAGTTGTAAGAGGCTCAACTGCAAGCAAAAAAAAGGTGCCTAGGTACATAAGGTAATTTTACCATTTTTAGCCCTCGGGGTCGGTGTTATCACAAGTCCGCCGCCTCAAAGGCTGAATGTGCACGAGTTATGCGTGAGTTGTGCGGTTTTATGCTTCTTTATGCTTCTGAATGCAGCATTATCGAGAGGGCTAATCCTGTCGCTGCAGCATTATAAGAGCTACCTTACCTTACCTTACCTACTGAGGCCACTGTCAGGCTACTGATCACTCGGGCCACTGCCGAGCGGCATTTGTCTCTGATCAGCATGACGATGTGGACGGTGTATCGACTTGTGGCGCGCGCAGCTAGTGATGTACCTGGTCCAGTCTTGCAGGACGGGGGCTAACGACTGGATGCGGTACGTCGGTGGTGTATGCTCTACAGTCTCCGATAGAGAAGTATCTTGGTACCTATAGTCAGTCAGTCCTACCTACTACATACCTTACCTACCTAGGTACCTTACCTAGGTCTGGTACAACCTGGAGTAGAAGACTCAGTAAGTCACGTGCGGTTCCTTTGTCTCTAATATCTTAGCAGTGGCACGCACTCAAGGTATTGTAGGATAAAAGGCTCTGCTGTCCGAATCTCCCGCCCTCTCCTGTCGCCCCTCCAACCCCTATAGAGCAAAGCCTTGAAAATTTTGACAGGTTGGCCCGGAGCGAAAACCGCGCCGAATCTGCTTGATTTTGATCATTGGCCTACCTGGGTACCTTACGCTTAAGCTTAGGGGCGCTTGCACTGTGGCTCCTGCGTGTGCCAGCCTTACCCCGTACAGTCGTCCTGGCTTCCTGGACCGAGGTATGATGATTAGTTATACAAATGCTTATGCCGTTATGCACTCTTATCCCCTGTCTTGTGTCGAGTTATGCCCATGCATATCTGCTCTTGCTACGTCACAAGGCCTTGTGCATATGTACAGTAATATTGGCCCACTCGATGACTGTACGGCGCAGTGCTCTGGTACAGTAAGATGATCCCAAGACCCCGAGTCCCTTCCCTTCGGGAGCCCGGGAGTCGGGAGAAACCGTTCTCCAGATCTACCTACGATTGATTTCCGCTACCTACATTTACTGCATCCAGTCCCGATCTTACTACGACTACCTCGGTACCTAGGTACATAGGTACCTACTCTGGCTTCCTGCAGGAAGCGCGGTCTTCGGAGTATCATTTCCTCCGACCTCCTTGCCGAGTCATTAGTAAGCCGCGACCGCTTTTGCTGGAGACTACTACTCTGCCCTCTTCTCTGGAGTTCTGTAATCTGATCTGGATTCAGTAGTAATTGCGGGGACCCACGGCCACCGCCTCTACCCGGCTCTTCCAGATTGATGCTCACGTGCGCCTTTCCGAATCCTTCACCGCCCAGCCGCCGTCTTCTCGTCCACTACCGCCTCATTATGCCGTCCAAAGCCGGCTTCCTCGAACATCCCATTCGGTCCCTCATAACCTGCTTTGTTTCCTGGAAAACTCTGCTGCTTCTAATCGCCACTTGCAGTCCAGGCCAAGGTTATGACACCTCCACCAGTCTCCTCCTTTCAAGCCACGACCCCACCGGCGCTCCGCCTCTGCCAGTAGCCCTTCACTACTTGGTCAGCAAGCTAACAAGATGGGATGCCATCTATTATGTCCGGGTTGCAAATCGAGGCTATTTGTTTGAGCAGGAGTGGGCCTTTGGCTGGGGTTTCACCAGCTTAATAAACCTCTGCACTGCAAGTACGCTTCTCCTGAGCCCTACCTCTTCAAGTCCACACTAACAGCACCAGTTCTCCTGAAAGCGGGAATCCCTCATTATCATGGATTGGAGGGCCTGGTGGCAGTGTGCATTGCCCACACAGCACATCTTCTCTCGGTGCTTGTCTTGTTCAAACTCACTGCAGCTGTTTTCCCCAGCTCATCATCTACCCCAGGACTGGCGCTGACAGCGTCCCTTCTGCATATCATATCTCCCGCTGGCCTCTTTCTTTCATCTCCTTTTGCGGAGAGCTCGTGTGCTCTCCTTAGCTTCTTAGGTTGCTATCTTTTTACGAAGAGCGTAAGGTCTGGGGGACAGCCCACCATTGGTCACGACCTGCTTGTCTTCGCCTCCGGTGTAGTGTTCGGTCTTGCCACGACACTTCGAAGTAACGGGATTTTCAATGGCCTTCTATTACTCGAGGAGGCCTTACGGAACCTGTTCTACTTTAGGAGTGGTCCTCCTTTAGTGAAAATCCGTCGCCTTGTTGCCACAGGGTTGGGCGGATTGTGTGTTGGAGCTGGCTTTCTGTTACCACAGTACATCGCTTATAGTGAGTATTGCACCCAGACTAGCGTCCAGTCGAGACCGTGGTGTGAAAAAACTTTGCCAAGCATTTATACGTTTGTTCAAGAGCATTATTGGTAAGAATGTCTCATTTCCCCTTGTTGACTGCCTTTAACATGTGCAGGAACGTTGGTCCGTTTCGCTATTGGACCCTGTCAAATGTGCCACTATTCCTTCTCGCCACTCCAATGCTTCTGATCATGACGATTTCGGGAGTCTGGGCTCTAAGCTATGAGAGTGCTATTACACCTGGGAGTCTCAGGGCCAAGAAAGCCCCCTCGGCAGGGCCTGAAGCTGAAGCATTCCCCGTGCTTCGCAACCTAGCCGTCACGCAAATTCTGTTGACTCTACTTACCTTTACTACCGCTCATGTGCAAATCATTACAAGGATCTCCTCCGCATATCCAATTTGGATGTGGTTCCTTGCTATGTCATTCAGAAAGGGGAATTCTTCATACGCGAATTCTGCGGTGAGAATTATCGTCATGTATGGCATCATCCAAGCAGGGCTTCTTGCTTCGTTTCTTCCGCCGGCATGAGTAGTACGGCCCTGTCTTATAAGTTAATTGGCAGTATGCACGCTCTGCAGAAGTCTAATCTATAATATATCTTGTATTTCAGACATTTCAGTTCATCTTCACACAACTCGGATGAACTTAACGAGGATCAAGCTATCTCTCACCAACGACAGTATGTCTGAGGAAGGCAATCGTACCTCATACGTCGCCCTCAAACCTGGCTTTGCAGCTCCTGGAACGGATCGACTGTCGAGTCTCCCATGGTACATGTGTAGTCTGATCGAGGCTCCTCAACATGGCAGACATAGGATGTCCGAGATGAAATAGCAGGTAGACATGTATCCCAGAGTATATATATGCCTTTTATAGGGGATGTATAAGAGGATTAAATGTATGCTAACTGTACAACCATCCTTCGTGTATCTGATGTTCCCTTTACCTCGCCTTGGCTATCCTCTGTAAGGTTGCGGCCTTATCACCTTATCAGGGGAAGCCGTTGGCGCCAGAAAAAACGCTAGCGCGCGGGTTCTAGCTCCCGTTTGGTACATGTTGGAAGCGCTGTACAAGTTACAACCGCAACATTCTAATTTCTGAGTATCTTCTGGATGGCCAACTCGTCAGCACCTGTACAACACTCCAACAGCTGAATCTTCCGACCTGAACCATTGGCGCCAAATGAGGATCAATCCAAAATTCAAATAATGTGGCAAAACAATGGTTATGGAGGCCATTTTCCGAGTAATATGAACCAAGATGAATTTCCACCCCCCTTTGCAGGTACTCCTGGTCCAGGACAGCAATACTTCCAGCACCCACAGCCGCATCTCATGCAGTACGAAGACGGCAATGGCGAGAGCTATATGAATAATGAATTCCAGCCTCAAGTTGGGCTTTTTAATAATGAAGGAGCCTTCTTACAGAACCAATTCGTCAGCCCACAAGCCCAAGTAAGTCCTGTTGAAAGACAGGAATTTTCTCTATCGCGCCCCTTCCAAACCCCCCCGCGGAGTGTCTATGCTGATATCGTCTCTGCCACGTAGTTCTCACCTCCGCGCTTCAATATACCTCAACCCACCGCCCCAACTCCTCCTCGGCTTACACAGATCAACGCCAGAGCTGCAGAGTTGAAAGCCCAATTACTTAAGGGGAGGGAGGGCCGAGCAGCATCAGCGACCCCTCCAGTTAACGCGCCGGGACTGGGTGCAAAACAACCAAGTGCCCCTGGTAACCCAAGCTCGTTACGCAACTCTCCAAACACGCCGGTGACCGCGGCTGCCGAGGAGTTTGAGCAGGAGCGCAACATCAATGAGCTAATCTCTCAATATTCCGAATCCAAGCCAGCTACAGATACAACTGTAAAGCAAGAAGTAAAAAATGGCGCACCGAATACCTCTACTTTGCAACAACATCCGACACACCCTGATCCCCCAGCGAAGTCGCAAATACCTTCGTTAGGAAGCCCTACGAAAGTAACAAAACCAGCAATCAATAGTAATCTAACTGTCAATACAACAAGTGGCAAAACCTCTGAGAGCGGAGATAACAGGAATGGCTCGATATCAGAAATATCAGAGGGTGAAATACTTGAAGAATCAACGCCAAAAGAAGCACTGCCACCAGCAGAATCAAAAGAGTCTCAAAACACATCGAAGAAAACAAATACTGATGCGCAGACCACTCGCAAAACTCGAGATGAGCCAGCGCTCAGACCAAGTTATGGTCAAGGCTCTCGTGAAGAGTCACTACCTCCACCTCCAAGCAACTCAAAAGCGCAGCCTTCACGCACTCGTGACGAGAAGCGCGAAGAATTCGATTCACGCCAGGAACGGAAAACCTATCATCCGTCAGATTATGATAATGAACGTGGACCTTATTCTGGTTTAGATAAGCAATCCTATCCTCGTCGCGAATTTCGTGAACAGAATGAAGAGTACCGCAGACCCTACAAGAACGAACAAAATCAAGATGAAAGCACCAGGCCTATTCGCGAAGCAAAACCGCCTACCCTGGCACAATTATTACCCCATGACGATAACTTGAGAGAATGGCTAGAGATTACTGGCTACCACAATGAACAATACAGGGACAAGGTCTTGAACAGACGACGAAAGATTGCAGCCTTAGACGCGGAGAGAAACAGGCTCCTGGCAGAGATGGAAGCCGAAGAACATGCAGGCTTTCCCATCATTACAGGGGCTCATACGCCGAGCTCTGTAATGCTAGCTCCACCACTCCCTAACACAGTAGGAGTCCGAGGAGATGCCGCCCCGAAAGCTGGCAATGCAATGCCTGAATTACAGCGTGACCGTATCGTTTCTAACAAGCGTCCTTACAGCGATGTCCAAGACCCACGTGATGACGGAGGCGTGGGAAAGATCCAGCGTACTGATGATCGTGGCCCGCGAGACGAAGATATTACTTCTCGACATTCCAGACCGAGTGTCTACGAGCCTTCCCGCCCATTATCGCCTGACTATCGTGATGAGAGAGATTCTTCCCGTCCTCGATATGATGATGGCCGTGGCCGTGGCCGCCCCTCTAGCCGTGATCGTGATCTATCTCCTGACTCGAGGGGCTATGACAGCAGACCTCGCGGTAGAGCTTATGACAGGGGGTCGGACGACTATGATCGTGACGATTGGCGAGACCAGCAGGATAGGGAGAAACGTCCGTTTGAGACTCGGGGTGCGTATAGAGGACGTGCTTTCGATCCGAATTTTAGAGGTCGAGGCCGTGGTTCCAGAGGGCGCGGTGATTTCCAAAGCCACCTGGATTCGAGATCCGATTCGAGCCCCTTTGGATCCAGAATTGCCAATGGCAAACCATACAAGGATGTCAGGGGCTTTGAAAGGGGTGGAAAAGGTGGTCAGTGATACCGCTCCTATTGTTGAATGTTCTTTCTGCAAAGCAAAGACGTGTTCATGTATCGCATTAGTGGCGGATGAAGTAATGGACGAGAGCATGCCATCTGAAAACGAAACATCTATTTCCATATCCGTTGTGCGTGTTGTGTGACAAGTGTCTGAGAACCATCTATATATCCACAAACGACATAAGATCCTTTTCAAAAAGGTCTACCAAGCTGATGTACACGGCTACCGCAGACACCAGATACTTCATCGTAAAATCCTTCAATGAAGATAACGTCTTGAAATGCATCCAAGATGTACGTTCCACACCTTCCATCTCTTCTATCACCTACCTCTAACCACTTTCAAAACAGTCTATCTGGACCACGCAAGCCCAAAACGGGCCTATCTTCGCTGAAGCCTTCCAAACCTGCAAGAACGTAATCCTAGTCTTCTCGATTAACAAAAGCAAAGCCTTCCAAGGCTACGTAAGTCCCTCCCTCCCTCCCCTCTTCTCTTCCCCCAACCAACTAACTAACCCCTTTCTTTCCTCGCGCAGGCACGCATGGAATCCCTCCCCGGCAGCGTCGACGTACCCAGCTGGCAAAAAGCCATCGCGTGGGAGAGCGCGGGGGCGTTCAAAGTGCGCTGGCTCGTGATCTGCACGACGCGGTTCCAAAAGGTCGGCCATCTGAAGAACGCGCTGAATGAGAATCAGGCGGTGCTGATTGGGAAGGATGGTCAGGAGATTGAGGAGGCGTGTGGGAGGGCGCTGGTGGAGATTATTGATGAGGAGGTGGAGGCGGCGTTGGGTGGGTGAATTTTCTGTGGAGGGGAGAGGGGGGTGGAAAGAGGGGGGTGCAAAGAGGGGGGTGCAAAGAGGGGGGTGCAAAGAGGGGGGAGGGATGAGAGGGATAGGGTAGGTAAGGTTATGATTTATGGTGTAGATGCTGATCATGACGATGATGATGATGATGATGATGATAGCTAGGCATACACATTTAACCAAGCTGATACTTTCAGAGTTTATACATATATATATGTATCTAGGTACCTTACCTTAGTATAGCAAATAACACAGTACATACAAACAACATCTTCATGTAACTAGCGATTCCCCCTTCTCCCTTCCCCCTCCCTCTAAATCCTATACCTAGGTAATCCCCAATCTAATCCAATCCAATCCCTCCCCCAAACCCCTTCCCCAAAACCCCCTGAATCCTTCTTATATCATCAGCCTCTGCCACAAAATCCCTTTTCTGTCCGAACCTCACATTGCCAACCCTACATTGCCAACCCCCCGGGAGAATTTTTATTTTGTCTTCTTATCTCACCTTATATCATCCAACAATTCTACATATATATATTATAAAAAATTTTAATAAACTCTACCCCTTTGAGATTTATTTGTCAGAAGTAAATAAGTAGGTAGGTAGGTCTCCCTGCATTGCTTCGAGATGAAACCCCAGTATACACCTGTTTCCAGACAAGAAGAATCGCGGACAGGGGGGATAACACTATCAGACCAGATCGGCCACTAGACCAGAGCTTGCAAGCAAGCTGGTGTTTTTGAGCACAGAGCGGCTGTTGGGATGGTGGGATGGATGGATTTTATTAGAGTTTGAAATGGAGTAGGAGGGTAGGTAGTTTGTGATAGTGGGTGAGTAGGGGCAAGTTTGTAAGGACTTGGAAAGAGGGTTCTTGGTCCCGCTTTCGTAAGAGGAGGATTCTTTGAGCAGTTTTGCTGGGCATTCAGGTTGCATGGCGGTGCTCCGGTGAAACAATCACGCTCCTCGTATTGCACATCTCAATGGATGTGCGAACGAAACTAATCGCAAGCTGGTTGTATCTTTGATTGTTTGCTTCAGATATTGACTGCACTATCCGGCTGCGAGAGCCATCTCTCCCATCCCCTTACGCAACGAGGAGCTCTCCTCCTCCCCATCAACCTCAATCTGCATATTCGGCCTATTCTTATTCAGGCCCTCGAGCAGCATGCACGCTTTGCAGATCTCCTGGCTCGACATATACCCGCAGCGCCGGCACGTGCCGAGGGTCTGCCGGACCAGCTTGCGACCGACGTCCTTCTTCGCTGCCTTCCGTGGCTCGGGCTTCGTCTCTATTCTATCGTGGCGCTGACCGTTTGCATTGTTGGAGAGGGCTGAGATGTCGATCTCACGCCCCGCGGCTTCCTCGTCTTGCTGCAGCTTCTTTTCCATCTCCGCCATCTCCCCACCGCTATTGCGACCATTCGTGCCGCAGCCGCCAGCGCCCTGGTCCTCACCATCAGCACTTGACAGTGAGGTCTTCTGGCTCTTGCAATGGCTGACCCCCGTGACTTCTTCCGGCACCAGCCTTGCCATATCCTCCCCGCTCCGCACCACGTCCAAGATCGCGCTCGGCCGCACCCGCTCCAGGTTCTTGATCAGGCTCCTGGCACTGCCCCGGAATGCCTCAGGGCTGTAGATGCATTCGGTGCTGAAGTAGTCCAGCTTCTTATGGTGGGCGTACAGGACGATCTCCTTCTCGTATGCGTATTTCAGCGGCTTGCTGCGCCGGACCTCGCTCGTCTCGTCGCCTGTCACGATGCTCGTGCTCCGTGCCAGCCGGGGCAGATCTCCGCGCAGGAGATTCATCAGGATCGTTTCCGCGACGTCGTCTGCATTATGTCCCGTTACTACGTGCTTGATCCCCAGCATCTTGGCGCCCCGGTCCAGCGCCTGCCGCCGGAAGACCCCGCAGTACGTGCAGTTCCCCTTCTTGCCGATCGTCTCGACCACTTGGTCCATGGTCCAGCCGTAGAGCTCGGCATAGCCCACGATCTTCAGCGGCATGTCATATTGAACTGCGTTCCGCTTCACGGTCTCCAGGGAGTCGTCCCTGTAGCCCTTGATTCCTTCGTCGATGCTAAGCAGTACCAGATCTAAACCGTAGTTGTAGCGCTCGTTGAGGGTTTTGAGGACCGATGCGAGCACGGTCGAGTCCTTCCCCCCGGATGCGCCGATTGCTATTCGGTCGCCGGGCGAGAAGAGGGAGGTGGAGGTGATGGTATGGTGGATTTCGGCCTCAAAGACAGCGATGAAGCAAGCTTTGCAGAGTTTCTGGTGGTTCTTCGGCCGGATTATCAAGGCTCGAGAAACCTTGCAAATGGCACATAATGCAGGCGCCATATTGAAGAGAGACAGAGCAAAGGAGGATGTTTGTCTTCCTCAGTCTCCTCGTGGTTGGAGTACTGCAGTCATTTGCACCACCTTTTTGCTCGATGAGCAAACATAAAGTCACGTGGTGAAAAATTGTCCGCTAACGAGCGCCAAGAGTTGGATGCCCTAGCCGCACATTTCATATTCTCGCGAACCTGGGAATTCTTTTTTTTCTGAACTTCCATCGACAACCACCCAACGACAATCGCTGCTCTACTAACCACCCAGCGACCCGATCATCATGGTAAGCTACCAACAACTGTCTATTATGAATTGAACCTACTCGCCACCGCTCTCGATCCTCTACGAGCAATCGCACGTCGAGATGCGCATTCCGTCAACTGCCTGCGGGCGTTGATGAAGATCTGGCTTGAGCTACACCTGTGCAGAAATGCCAGTGTTGTCTCTTTAGAGTTCAAAGAAGATTATTAGTGAACATTTCGCTGATGTCTTCTTTTCTCAATGATAGCCTCCCAAGTCCGGAAAGAAGGCTGCCCCAGCCCCATTCCCAGCGTCCAAAGCTGGCGCGGGATCCAAGAAGGGCCCCAAGGTATGTCTGATCTCGAAGATCCTGCTTAGTGTATCAGTGCTGACGAGCCCTAGAACCCCCTCATCGAGAAGCGCAGCCGTAACTTTGGCATCGGTCAAGACATCCAGCCCCGCCGAAACCTCTCTCGTATGGTGAAGTGGCCCGAGTATGTCCGTCTCCAGCGCCAAAAGAAGATCTTGAACCTCCGTCTCAAGGTCCCACCTGCGATCGCTCAGTTCCAGAACGTTCTCGACCGCAACACCGCCGCTCAGGCCTTCAAGCTCTTCGACAAGTACCGACCTGAGAGCAAGACCGAGAAGAAGGAGAGATTGTTGAAGGAGGCCACCGCCATCAAGGAGGGCAAGAAGAAGGAGGATGTCAGCAAGAAGCCATACGCCGTCAAGTACGGTCTCAACCACGTCGTTGGCCTGATTGAGAACAAGAAGGCTTCTTTGGTGCTCATCCCCAACGATGTTGACCCCATCGAGTTGGTTATCTTCCTCCCAGCTCTCTGCCGCAAGATGGGTATCCCATACGCCATCATCAAGGGCAAGGCCAGACTCGGCACGGTTGTCCACAAGAAGACCGCCGCCGTCCTCGCCATCACCGAGGTCCGATCTGAGGACAAGACTGAGCTGTCCAAGTTGATCCAGGCTATCAAGGAGGGCTACTCTGAGAAGTACGAGGAGGCTAAGAGACACTGGGGTGGTGGTATTATGGGTGCCAAGGCTGTCGCCCGTACCGAGAAGAAGCGCAAGGCTCTCGAGAACACCATCAGAATCTAGATGCGTTCTTGGGTGTGTCTGTTAACGGCGTTTTTTATGATATCATGGCATGGCTAGGACTTAGCTAGGGAATCGAGCAGTAAAAAGTTACAAAGCTGGATGATACCATAACCCTGTTCCCCCTGTTGTGTCACTTTGCTTGTGTGCATTATTCTCCGAATACCCTCGGCTGAAACCCCCTGCTAATCATGGACAGAAATGAAACGTCCCACCCAACGCCCCAGTATCTCGAGTTGTGTTCTAATAATGCTTACTGTGACTCCAGCAACGCTGACTTCCACGGTCCACCAGGGCAATTTCACCTGTGCCGGATCGCCGGCTAGGATACCGTGTCTTCTCCTCAAAGACGCCTTTGCCCAACCTGGCTATAATCTTCGTCCCAGATCGGATAGAGGGGAGGAAGGACTCGGATGCGGCATGAAAAGGGGAATCATCTGGGACATGGTGTTGCATGGGCTGACTACACAGCTTCACGGCAGAAAGATGCACATGGCCTTGCATCACGGGCATGGTTCGAGATGTCTCCTGATCTCTGAGACGTGGTGGTGGAAGCACTGTGTGTTTGACATGGGCCGAGGGGTTGGTTATTCATGATGCGTCTTCCATATATTATTATCACTCGAAACTGCAGCTCCCAACTCCACCGTAGAATATTCCAAAAATATTTATTTCTTCGTCAGAACGTTGAGCCTCCACCTGTATCTATAGAGCATTGTCATTGGGCAATCGCACACTCGTCTCCCACCGCCTGCCCGATCTGTTCGCACGTACGGAGATATATTTTGGCTTATCGCAGACCCCGAAATTCATCCGTGGAATAAGCGGATTGCACGTTCTCGGCCTTCTCTAGATACAAATAACCTCAACCCTTTTGCATTGCAACCCTCTTCTTCCTATACCCCTTTCCGCCCCGATATCTCTATTGTTACAATCGCCCATTTCCTTGCATCCTCACAGTCTCGCAGTTCTCGCACACATATCTCCCAATGGGCGCAGAAGGTGAGTCAGAACCCCCGCCCCACCGCAGAAAATAAAATCCACATTCCATGAGCAGGACAAAGTTACTGACGGTCCTGGCAATTGTAGAAGATGCTTTTAGCTATGCCCTGAGCTCCAACGCTGCCTGGGCAGGCTACAAGAACCACCAAAACCCAGCCTTCTTCCCCAAGCTCGCGACCGGCCAATCGCCATCCATTCGTACGTCTCTCTTTGCGACTCCCCAACAAACCCCCCATCCAGCAGATCGAAGCATAGCATGCCCTCGAATGGAAAATAGCTAACGAAACCCTCTAGTCTGGATCGGCTGCTCCGACTCTCGTGTCCCTGAGACCACCGTTCTAGGTCTCCAGCCCGGCGACGTCTTCGTGCACCGCAACATCGCCAACATCGTGTCGCCCACCGACATCAACATCTCCGCCGTCGTGGAGTATGCCGTCGTGTACCTGAAAGTGAAGCACGTGGTCCTCTGCGGACACACGAGCTGCGGTGGCGCCGCGGCCGCGCTGGGCGACTCGCGCGTCGGCGGTGTATTGGACACTTGGCTCACACCGCTCAAGACCGTGCGCCATGCGCATGAGGCCGACCTGAAGAACATCGAGGATGCCGGGAAGCGGGGGGTCCGCCTGGCGGAGCTGAATGTCGAGGCGGGCGTCAAGGTGCTGATGAGCAATTACGTGGTCGAGGAGGCCATTAAGGAGAGAGGGCTTAAGGTCCATGGCGTGCTGTTCGATATCGCGACGGGTAAGATTAGGGACTTGGGGCTTGGCAATGCGGGCATGGTGGGCGAAGATGGGGAGATTGTGAAGGGTCACCATGGCATGTTGGTCTTCAAGGAGGGAGGGGTCGCTGCTATGACTGTTCAGTAAAGGAGACAGGATTGATGGCGTAGAGACGGCGTAGAGAGGAGGTGAACTTTGTGTGTTACAATATCTTAGGAGCGGATTTGGTTAGGTGAGAGGCGCGGGCGGCGGTTGCTTGAACAGAGCAGTAATATCAATAATCGGAGAATATATGGCTTGATTATCCCTGAAATGCAATAGGTTGCTAGAAGCTGGTATACACACTGCTATCGCTCAAGTCGTACAGTACGGTGAAAAGCTCTTATGTAAGGTTCAGATGATCTTCATCAAAGCGCTACGTGTCTCCTCCTTCACTTCTTGCTTTAGCTGTCGAAATTGCCTGAGTAATTGAACCTTTCATCAATCTCATTCCATCATATAACTCCAGTGGTATCATGACTATCTCGCCCAGCAATCCAAAAGGGCCCTTCTGCCAAGTTGTACGAGCGACACGCATTGCAACAGACTCAGACTAGTGCTCAGAAGTCCTCGAAAGAGGTACCTATCCCCTTCTCTCTCGCAAGTCTCACTAGTTCTATCCCAACACACAGATCCATCAAGCCGAGGCCTACAGACTTGTAAATCACGTTCCCCTTGCTCAACCATTTGCTCATCTGCTCCCCGTCCTTGCTCTGCTTCTTCCCGCTTGCAATTTCAGGGCCGTGTGTTCGTCGATGGAAGACCAGGGAGGAGGGTCTTCGAGAGAGCGTTGAGAAAGATCCGCTCCGCGACGCGGGCCTACTGGGGTCATGGCTCTCACTGCCATCCTTCAGGGCCTGTGCAAGACTTCCCCGCGGGCTGTCCAAGCTATCATGAGAGTCATCGTCGTCGATAGCTGAGTCGTCTTCCTCGTTCGCAAAGGTCTCGTCCAGCATGATGATCTCGCCAATCTCGACTACATGGCGGGGCTCGAGGCCCGCCCGGGTTAACTCGCCGGTCTCCTCGAGACACTTGATTGTATCGACGAGCACAACCCCACCTTCCTCGGCGCGCTTCCTGATGTATGGACCGTGGTGGTGTACTTTTACCGCTTGTTGGATGATCTCCGGGGGGAGCTCGATCATATCCTTTTTATAGCTTCCCACAGCGATGATCAACCTTGCCTTGAGCCTCCCATTCGGTTTGGTGAGGATCTCGTGGTCGAATAGAGGTTTCGTGCTAGGTGTCATGCAGAATATTATATCCGCATCCCTGATTTGTTGCTTCACCAGACGGTGATATTCGCTGTAATTCTCAGCGAGGATTTGAAATTTGGCCTCCCACCTGCATCATGTCAGTACAGAACTAAGGGCTCATGCGGAGCGTATGTACCATCCTTCTCTCTTCTTGATCTCGGGATCCACGTTTAGCAAATTCCTGAAGAAGTTCCGTGCTCGCTCACTGAACCGATGGTTTATCAAATACACATGCCGGATCGTTGGCCCGTGAAGGAGCAGCGCAAGTCGCACATGCCAGTACCTGAGCGTGTCAGCGAGAGTTTCATGAGGGAGAAGTAGCTGGGTTTCCGGAGACTTACGCTTGCTTGCCAGCTCCGAACACGGTCACTGTCTTAACTTTCGAACGCCGAGCCATCAGGAGGGAGGACGCAAGAGCGGTTCGGAAAGCGGTCAGTTCTTCGGCATTGATGAAGCCAACAGGCTTCCCGTTGTTTGCCATTACCGTGAGTGCACCTTGCGGCGTCGCATTGCTGGCATCCGCAGACGGTTCGCCGGTGGGTCTGTCTCCAGATAGGCCTGCTGGTAGGGTAACGACTAATTGGGAGTTAGTGCCTGTCATCAAAAAGTTTATCCAAGATAGGATGGGTACCTTTCATGCCAAGACCGGAAGAACTTGTTGAAGGCATAAAGAGGGTAGTCGTTCGTCCGGTAGCTTTATCTGACTCGATCACTGTCCGTTCGGGCTGATTTATGGCACATTCATCCTGGTTTTGCTTCGCAGTCGAGTAGTCATTGAGAGCTTTCCGCAGCGCTTGCTGCAACACTTCTACTTCCCCTTTCGTCAGGCTGTGGAGAATGCTCTTCACGTCCGAGTCCGAGAGGACCGTGAGGGGAGCCATGACTGGAGGCAAGTTGCGGCGAGAGGGTAGATCTTCGAGGGAGTCTTGATATCTGATAGCTGGCAGCTGGTAGCTGATAGCTAAAGTGGCTGGAGTATTTCTGGAACTATCGTCTTGGACTCCTCATGTGTTTGTGGACGGAGTCATTCACCCGACCTTTATCTGGCTAACACGTGATTGTCTCCTTTTGTTGGCGAAATGTCAGTTCCAGATACGGTGGTCTAGAATGACGTAGTTTCACGCGGGGAGCTGGTAGTGCCGCCCCGCCGGAGAGAGCCACCGCCAACCTCACCGCCTTCAAATATCATTGCTGGACCCCTACTCCCTAGGCGGAAAACTTGAAGCTATTCCCAGTCTCATACCTACCTGTATTTCGTACCTAGGGAGTATGACAATTCCAATCGTAGAAATGTATAGCTGTCTAGTTTTTTAACTTATAAGCAATCGGATTCAGAGGGACTAGCAATGGCAAAGTTTTGGTGTATCTCAGATCAAATATTCATGCCTCGCGGTAGGTAAGGTCAGTATGACGCCGTGGCTCCATTAGAAGCTGGGAATAGCTTCAATCTCAACCGTTGGCAAGTCCGCTCCCGAGTATTCTGCCGGCACTACCTTACCTTAGAACACGTGTAGCCGCGCACTCGCCCTAACCTGACCTGGTTGGTTCGGATAGTGGATCGATCGGGGACAAGCGTTTAACTCCGTAGGGCACGGAGGGGTACAACATGTAGCTAAGTACCTTTACCTTACCTTACGCCGGAAAGTCTGTTAGCCCCGACGGACCTGAGCTTATAAATTCCCTTGATATTGCATCGTTCTTATTTCAAGCATTGCCATCTTGCGACGGACCTCCACAAGTGCACCTCGACTTGAACAGTACCCATCTCAAGAACCCTCAATTGGAATCAACAGGCTCCCGCCCATACAATCAACATGGCCAGCGAAGCTAAGCCAAAGATGCAATACACCCGCCTGGGAAAGTCGGGCTTGAAGATCTCCAAGGTTATCTTTGGCTGCATGTCCATCGGGAGCTCTGAATGGCAGGACTGGGTTATCGACGAGGATAAAGCTCTGCCCCTCCTGAAGCATGCATACGATGTCGGGTTGAACACTTGGGACACCGCAGACATATACTCGCACGGCAAATCCGAGGAGATTGTTGGAAAGGCCCTCAAGAAGTACAACATTCCCCGAAACAAGGTGGTTATTCTGACCAAATGTTATTTTGGTGTCAGCCAGGACGGGAAGCAGCTTCCAATTGCCGAAGCCAGCGTTAATGATGGAGATATGGTCAATCAGGTTGGATTGAGCAGGAAGCACATTCTCGATGCAGTGGACCAGAGTGTTGCCAGGTTGGGCACATATATCGATGTCCTGCAAATCCATAGATTGGATCGTGACACCTCCAGAGAGGAAATTATGCGAGCCTTGAACGATGTCGTGGAGAGTGGAAAGGTTCGGTACATTGGTGCTAGCAGTGTAAGCAGCCCTCCCTGTTGAAAGCAGGAATGAAGTCTCACAACGCATATACAGATGGCTGCCTGGGAGTTCCAAACCCTACAGAACATTGCGGAAAAGCATGGCTGGCATAAGTTTATCTCCATGCAGAACTACTACAACCTGATCTACCGTGAAGAAGGTATGTGGCTCCTTTTTCAATATACAATCGGTGTTCTTGAGCCGCTTGGCTGATTCTTGTGCATGCAGAACGCGAAATGATCCCATACTGCCGAGACACCGGGGTTGGCCTCATTCCATGGTCTCCAATTGCCCGTGGAGCCCTTGCCCGACCTTTCGATGACCGTACCACTACCCGCGAAAAGACGGACAGGATGCTGAACAACATGATCCGAGGGAAAGAGACACAGATTGATAAGACTGTAATTGGCAGAGTTGAAGAGATCGCCAAGAAGCACGGTGTCTCAATGACAACAATTGCCACCGCATGGTGCTTGAGCAAGGAATCAGTCAACCCAATTGTCGGATTGAGTAGCAAGGAGAGAATTGACCAAGCAGTGGAGAGTGTGCATTTTGCGAGCTCAGGCAAGTTGACAGCGGAGGATATTGCCTACCTGGAGGAGGCCTACGCACCGAAAGTGATACAGGGCTACTAAAAGGTAGAAGTAGCACAAATACTGGCCTGCGACCCTCAGGGAGGGTCTACCAAAAAGCACGTTTTGTTTACTTGAGATGAATGGCACTTGATTCAGCGCTTGGAAGATGATTTTCAAGATTTGAAGCGCCTTCCGCATTTGCATGCTGCGTGTTTTCCCCTGCTGCTTGTATGTTATTTCCCAACAATGGTAGGTCGAACTTACGACAAGTATATGATCTAACTTCTAGAGGGCTATCATAGAGATATCTCTCTTCACAACGAAGTATTAGAATGATTTCCTTATATGCCCCGCATCCTTCCCTACCTACTCCCCTTTTCCAGCGCGCATCGAGTTGCCTCTTTAGTGATGCCCCAACCCCACCTTTACGATAACGATTGATACACCGTCGTTATACGGCACGACGACCATCGAATTTTATCCCACGAGAAAACCAAGGAGCCTCGGCCATCCGGTACAAGGCTAGATGGCAATTCAAGGTCTGAATAAAGAGATTGGGGAGTTCATTTATAAATAAGTGAACCAAAGTGCAAATACTGCCCCACCTCGTCATATACCTATCAACCTTCAATCCTTATCCGGCTTTAATTTTCCGACTTCAACAAGATCCAAGTGGGATCTGATCAAGGAGAATTCCAATCTCTGAATTGATTTCTTTCCTGTCCCGTAAGCCTCAGGTCGGAGGCACTTGAAAATCCTACCATGCTGCTCCTCAGCATTCCAGTCCTGGCATTCATCGCTCTCCTACTCCTCGCTCTCTACAAATTTATCATCTACCCAGCCTTCATATCGCCACTTTCAAAAGTTCCAAATGCCCACTGGACAGCCCCTTTTTCCCCGGCATGGATCATCTGGACCAGGTTCCGCGCTCAAGAAAATCGGACGGTTCACGCGGCGCATCTCAGATTAGGTCCCGTCATCCGCCTTGGTCCCAACGAGCTCAGCGTCAACGATGTTGCGGGCTTAAAAACAGTCTATGCAGGTGGGTTTGAGAAAGGAGAGTGGTATTCCATCTTTGATAATTATGGGTATGTCGCTACAACGATGACTAGTTCTCTGGATACTGATGTGCATTAGAGTACCGTGCATGTTCTCAGTCTGGCACTCCCGTGAACACGCGGCACGAAAACGGATGATCTCAAATGTGTATTCTAAGTCCATGATGCACAGCTCTCCTGCTCTTGAGCGACAGGCTAAAGTAATACTCTACGATCGACTTCTCCCAATCCTCTGCTCCTCGTCCTCGGCGTTCCCGAACGGCAACGCTATTGACATCCATGACATCTGGAACGGAACTACCATGGACTTCATCACCGCTTATCAGTTCGGTCTCAAGAACAGCAGCAACTTCCTCCAGGATGAGACATACCGCCGTCACTGGATGTATCTCTACCATTGTCGAAAGACATATCCTTTCTTCGCACAAGAGATTCCACGTTTGACCAGCTTCCTTAAATTCTTCCATATCCATCTCGTGCCAACATGGGTGGATGATGCAAATAGAGAACTGGAAGCTTGGACGCAAGAGCGTTGCAATTCCACCGTGGCATATCTCAAAGAGTCAGCCGCTGACGACAAGGATGTTGGCAATGAACCTGTTGTCCTAGGGGCTATGTTGGCCGGGATTGAAAAGGAGAAGAAGGCCAAAGGAGACACATCCGTGCTCGCAGACACAACACTCAAGTACCCGGAACTCAGCATCGCGAGTGAAATGATAGACCAACTCGCCGCAGGACACGAGACGTCCGCGATAACACTCACATACCTCTCTTGGCAACTGTCCAAAAACCTCCCATTACAAGACGCACTCCGCGCCGAACTCCTCACACTCTCTCCCAACATGCTCCTCACATCTTCCAATTCCCACAACAACAACAACAACAACAACAACAACAACAACAACAACCTACCCAACCCCAAAGCATTAGATTCCCTGCCCATCCTCCACGCCGTCCTCATGGAGACGCTCCGCCTGCACGCCGCCATCCCCGGGAACCAACCCCGCGTGACTCCCTACCCAGCATGCACCTTGGGACCCTACGCCATCCCCGGCGGCGTCCGCGTCGGCGCACAAGCCCACAGCGTGCACCGGAATCCCGTCATCTACCCGGAGCCCGAGAAATGGGAGTACACGCGCTGGATGGATGACCGGAACGGGTACACGGAGGAGCAGAGGCAGGCGCGGGATCGCTGGTTTTGGGCCTTCAGCAGTGGAGGGAGGATGTGCATTGGGAGTAATTTCGCTATGCATGGTACGTTTTCATCTGTCTCCCCCCCCCCCCCCCCCCCTTTTTTTTTTGTGTGTGCAGAGACGAAAGAAGGGGCTGATAAACTGCAGAAATCAAATTGGTCGTCGCGGCCGTGTATTCGAATTTCAGGACGCATCTCGTGGATGATGAAGGTATTGAGCAGATGGATGGCTATACAGTTGGGCCGAGAAGCAATAAGCTCTTTCTGAGATTCGAGAGGGTTCTGGAGCAATGAGGAATTTGGGAATAGACGGGTGGGAGGATGGAAATATAGATTTGGAGGGAATGGGACATGAATGACTTGCTGTACGGGGGTTCTAGAACTGATAAAGGGAATCGGTTCTTTTAGATTGATAAATCTCCTATCTCACGATCACTTAAGCTGGCATGCTGATGTAGGGGGCTTGAGTCGGATTCCGTGATAGAGTCCTTGATGACAATAGAGGCCTCGTCCAGACAATACCTCAGTGGTAGATGCGTGCTAATGTAGAATATGCTGACAACGCTAATGCACCTAAAGGCTGTATTAAAATGCCGTATCCAGTTTCAGGAAGAAGAGGGATTTGTCCTTTGGGGATGCCTTCTCCTCGAAGCTATTCTTAGCAACGCCATAACGCAAGCTGCCCGTCTGGATTATCCGCTTCATAGCCGTTTGCTCATGTAGAGTAATTCGACTTCAGATTGAAACTGCCTCGGGGACTGCTTACCCCAGATTTCAACTCCCGGGAGGCCAAATTCCAACAGCTCAGAGGATTAAGATCTTCAGGATCATTAACCCCTATGCTTCTTAAATGCTTCCTGGACCGTCATTCCCTTCCTAACATCCTCCTTCACCCGATCATCAGCCTCCACCAGCCCCGGCAGCATCGACAGCAGTTCCGAGACCTTGTCCTGCGGAATCACAACCACGCCATTCGCAGCATCGCAGAAGACCAGGTCTCCAGGCCTGACTAGCGTACCATCAAGATCGAGCGGGACCTGGAGCGCGTGCGGCGCCGCCTCTGCGCCCGTGCCCGTGATTGACGTGCCGCGCGCCCAGATCTGCATCCCCGCATTAATCCCATGCTTGTCTATGAACAAAACGAAACGGAACAGGAGAGAGTGCCTCGGGGAAGGTATCCGGACAACAACTTACAGGTAATCCGCTTTCTCGCAGCTCCGCTATGTCACGCACCCGCCCATGCACGACGACCCCCTGGGCACTCCGCATCTGCATCCGCAGCGCCATGATGCCGCCGAGCACGGCACAGATCTGCCCCTTGGGTTGGCTGAGCACGACGATGGTCTCGGGCTCCGTCAGATCCACGTAATGCTTCCCGGCAGGCACATTTTTGGGCGGGTAGCTGGAGAGATCCGGGGCGTTTTTAGGGGCGAAAAGGACGGTGGAGGCGGGTGCGATGATGATTTGGGAGTCGGAGGGAGTGGTAGAAGGGGTTATCAGAGTTAAGTCGGGGAGGAAGCCGCAATTAGGCACCTTGAGTTTGAGGAGCCCGTCGGAGATGTCACAGGCTGTGTAGTTCTTGAGAGCTTGGATTTGCTCGAGGGATGGTTTGGAGGTCATCTTGCGGACGAGTCTTGGCTGTGGTAGAGAGAAGCTGGAGGGTGCGTGAAAGGGGCTGCTTTGTAGTAAAAGTGGGTTATATTGGCAGCGAAGGGGAAGCCTTCGAACGAGGGGCATTGAGTTGAACCTCTGGATTCGAAGCTGGAGATCACGTTTCAATGATTCAAGACTCGTTCTTATCAGATCTTGGACCTCGGTTAGTGGGGGAGAGGGGCCGCCGCTTACACACTATCGGAGAATGCTCTAAAGCGGCGACATATCGACAGCACAGTGGAAACAACCACCAAGTACGATGCAACATCTCTTGAGGAATTGAGCAAAGAGTCCAGGGAACGCAGCTAGAATGTGACGCGTTGCCGTTGAATCTCTTTTCATACTTCGTCAAGTATGCAAGCTCTGGGGTCTGAATTCCAACTCCTGTTCCCACGCACTTGCGATGATTTGGTATGAAATCATCTGCCAAAGCCTCTGTATAGGTCGCTAGTTCTCCATGTTCTCATAGCCTTGCTGGAGTCGATCAAGATACCATATACCTCGTCTATTCAACTTGTAGCCGTTGGCGACGGCATACCCGGATATGTCACTGATATTGCATTTGGCCTCACTTCAGAGGCCCAGTTGACCGTCTTCTGCCGAACGAAGCGCTTCTACGTTACTCCGTACTCCGTCGGCGCAAAATCCATGTCACTGAAATCGCAGAAAGGAACCTCAAAGCACAGACGAGAATTCCTACAGCTTCTCCATGCGATCCTATCCGAGGATCACGCCCAATCGCGGCGAGCCAGATACTTTCTGAGCTCTGATGAACTGGATTGTGACTCCATCTCTTCCCCATCTTCGAGGAGGTAGCGCCACAACTCCCGTGAACGCCACAGATGCACATTTGCACTAGTGCTTCAACCCTCTTTTGCCTTATCCCTGACGCCCAAAGAAATTGACAGCACACCGGTCCCGATCTCCACACCCGAGGACTCCCGCCCCCGAGCGTAGTAGAACTGTAGTATCTTTGCTCGACCCTCCGAACCCGGAATCGAAGTGTCTGGAAGTAAACACGCCCTACTCCTGCGAAGCTACGTCTCACAGGAATGCTGCAGCTGTTGGACGTACGACTGAGGCGTTGCTAAGCTTATAGCGAACAAGGAAAATCCACGTGCCAAAGCGTGTATAGATATAATGTATGCAAAAGAACAGAAAAATGATGTTATGACTTGTCAAATCGTCCAGACACTGGATAAGGAATGGCCTTGACAGGCTCGAGCTTGCTCTGTGGAAAGAATGTACCCTTCATATTGAAAATATGCTCTCAAGTTACTACCTGAAGCGCATGTTGTGTAAGGAGATGCAGAAAAGGCAGATGATATTCTTATCAAACGTACCTTCATGAACCTACTGTACAGAACCTTGCCTCTATCTTTGCTGGATCCAATCGAATGCTCTGGACTTGACAAGTGGGGGCTTTCATACAGTACCTCCTCAGCATTGCAACGGCTCACATCCCCAATAATCATCTGCACCGCGTCCGGAGATTGTGGAATACCAGTAAGGGGCTTCCGCTGTACCGATAGAGCTGTACAAGTCGCGTCGTGGGGAGAGGTCCTTGGCGTCTCTTGCGGCAAGGGAGAGCAACTCGACAGAGGACGGTGCAACTCTTCTCACCGTGTCTGGGACTCTGTAGTTGGCCGAGACGTACCATAGGAGCGCATGCATGATGGCCGAACGCGCTGGACCAGTCTTTTGAGTAAATCAGTAAATATCTACTGCGTACAGTACCGGATGCCGTAAAGGTTACTTTGATGTTCTCGCTGATCAGTGCCTGTCCTGTCCCCGCTGGCCGGTGTTGTCAGGCGCGGGCCGACGCTTCGCATGATGGATCGAATAACGGGCCTCCGAGGCGTGGGCTACTTACGAACTACAGACATACCTCCCGCAGCACCAGGCAAGAAGACCCAGAAGACTTGAGAATATACCTCTCCCCGCCTGCCAGGACGTCTTGCGAGAGGAGTCTCCTTGTTCCCCCGAATAGCCCCTCACTCATGAGCCTCGCCCTTCCATCGAGCCATCGCCACCCCGAATCTTCTCGAGGATCCCCCGTCTCACGAGCTGTCTCATTCGCAGAGCCCTCCCAGCTTCTGCCGTCGTGCTGCTGGCCTGCATAAAGATCCCAAGAGAACCCGCTTTCCCTGTCGCCCTTCTGACGGAGCAGCCACCAACGACTTGACTGACTGCGTCAACCAAACCTCTTCGACCTGCCCCACCTTGCCCGATTGTGCGGCTTGCAGAGACCCGGTAGAGCGACTCTGGAGGTGTCAAGATGTCGATAAAGTAAGTTGCAGCCTAAGACCCCATTCAGTCCCGCCCCCTCCCTCGCACACTTTCTGCCTCTTCACATCCTTCTCCCAGCCGTGCTTCCATCGCGGTCGCTGGAGAGACGAAACCATCTTATCTTGCTGCACCCTTCAGACGCGAGCAAGGCTGCGTTGCGAAGGTTGGACCTGCATTGCGTAACTGATAACTTGCGCCCCACTATCTGCGGTGCCATGTATCAATTTCACCAAGAATTGCATTCGTTTTCTTTGCAATGTCAAGAGAGAAGACTAAAAGCGGCCAAAAGCTGGGTGATGACCTCGCCTGGAGACGGCGGATTCATCAAGCTACCCAATGAGCGAATACTATACACATCGCCCCCTCGAACGAGTCTACAGATCTCGACGCCGAATACATTCCCTGGGACCCAACCCTTCTCGGCCAACAGCGATGCTGGAGTTGTCTCCATAACAAACCAGCGGCTCGTCTACCTCCCGACCAATCCAACCCCCGAGCTTCAATCCTTCTCGTGTCCCATACTCAACACCCAAGACGCATACGTACGAGCCCCCTTTTTCGGCGCCAATTACTGGACCGCCCTATGCAAACCCGTTGCAGGAGGTGGCATTCCAACTGCTCACGCAGCAGTCGAATTACGACTGACCTTCCGAGAAGGCGGGGCCTTTGACTTCCATAACATCTTCGAACAAGTCAAAGAGCGATTGTATCATGCGTATACACTGGCAAGGGAAACTGGGCAGAGCGGAACAAGCGTTGATTTGGCGAATGTCCATTTAGAGCAGTTACCAGCTTATGAACCGGCTCAGGAAGTGGGGAGGCAGGATTCAGAACCGGTGATCTTGAGTCCTCGTCCTGTTCGCCCTACGGAAATAGATAGCGGGGCGCCAGGTGTGAGGGGACTGGATGAGAGCTCGCACAGTGCGATGAGTGTTCCGGGACCGGACGAGCCTCCGCCTGGATATGAAGAAGCGCAGGCACAGGCTGTGAGCATAGATCTGGATCAGAGGTTGCGGAATGGGGCACATACACAGGCACAGTGATGGGTAGGTATGAAATAACGACGGGTATTGCAGCGTTTCATCTGGTTGGTTTTGGTACAGCGACATGAGGAATGAGGCGGCGTTCAGGTTCTATCCAAATATGAGGTTAGTTCTACAGAGGTCTGGCAAGGGGTGTCTGTGCAGGTTTGGGCTTTACGGCACAGAGATCAGATCTGTGGAACCGTCAGATGCAGTTCAACGAATACCCGGCTCCAAGCTCAAGTATATAAAACTTGCATTCTTTTGAGGGAATGAAGCCATGATTAGTAACATCTAACCTGGACTACTGATCTCTGTAATTGCTCCTCCATAAGGTGCAGACCATGATGATGGGAAGAGCCTTTGGGAAGAGGCTTGGGCTTGTCAATAACTGGAACATTCCAGTCATTGGTCTTGTTACCCATCTTCGTAATAGTCCAATGCTTACAGACTGCTCTCCATTGTGAACTGGCTCTCGGAACAGACAGGAGAAAGTCATAGCACGTGATCTCAGACTGGACCTCATTCGCCAATCACGAGGCAGTAAAATCCAAGCTTCTCGAAAGGCAACTCGGCTCTCGCCAGCGAGGATCTTTCCAACCCGACCTTTAACACTTCATCAGTTACCCAACCCATCATCCTCGCCCATTGAGCAATCAATCCAGTCGAAAACCGACCAAGATGGGATTCTTCGATACCTTGAGTGATCTCGTCGCTGCGGCGGCGCCATGGTCTGCGGTCGAGGCCGAGGCGGTCTCCGATGCCACCACTGAGGCTCCTGCGCAGAGCGAGGCCGAGGTAAAGGTACGTTGGCTTCTCTTCCGGCTCAGTGTGCTTTCATCGTGAGGATTGAGGTGTTCGGGAGGGAGCCCAGGGCCGGTGTTGTGGGATTGAGGGGAGTTGCGTTGTGATTCCGGGTCTGCGGACCTTCTCGGGATCTGCCCCAGGCTGTATGGGAGGGTGCAATGGCTTGGTTTCTACTATGCTCAACGATGCTAAATTGTTCAATGGCAAGCTAAACTGACTATTTCCCATAGGAGGCATCTACCGACAGCGCAGAGGAAGCAAAGGAGGAGCAGTCCGAGGAAGAGCCAGAGGCCGAGGAAGAGGAGGAGGAAGAGATGGTCGACCCCAAGGAGAAGTTCGAGGAGGGTGAGTCACTTTATTTTCGCCAGTACCCGAAGAGCAAAGTCTCGAGCTGCATTCGCAAATGAGAGAAATACATATATATGAAGATGAGGAATGCTTTGCTCTAATGGCTTGGAACTCGTTGCGACAGGGGGAATGGGCTGCTCGATCAAAGACTGATAGCGTACAGAATGCAAGGAATCAAAAGAGTGTGCTCCTGCCAAGCACCACTTCGATGAGTGCGTGGAGCGTGTTACCAGCGCGAGCAACGACTCAAACGACAAGAAGCACCCCAACGAGGACTGTGTTGAAGAATGTGAGTATTTCCAAGTCGCATCACCGTTTCTTGTCCGAGCCAGCTCTAATCTGTATACGCAGTCTTCCACCTCGCTCACTGCGCCAGCGAATGTGCCGCCCCCAAGCTCTGGGCTGCTCTGAAATAGAGCCCGAAACCGTATTAATTCGCGATCCTGAATTTGCTACGGGATTTGGGACTTGACAATATAGATGATGGGGACTTAGAGGGTGTATTTGTGGTGGGCGGGTTGTACAAACCACGTCAAAACGAACCTTTTTTCTGTACTCGTACTGCCGCATAAGAGATCTCCTTTTCGACGAACTGCATGTAGTATAGGAAATCCGAAAAGCTATAGATTGTACTCTGACCGTTGCTTCTCTTGGTGAGATGCTGGATGGGGTTCTGAGCTTACGTTCTATATACGGTAGGGAATTAAACTCAAGAGGTTGGAATTGGAATGCCAGTTGCTGCTACAGTACGTACGCGGCGGGGATTATACCGAAAGATAAAGGCCGAGAGTTGTTTCGCGCCGAATCATGGCACGAGACCATACGGCTCTCCTCTCTACCCTGGCCATTCCCTAATATGTATAGGTAACGTTGTAAACCCTACTCTGGCTGCTCTCGTCTCGCATCACGGCTCGATGATTCCCTCAATTTGAGGCCAAGAATTGCCTTGCCGTCGAGGACATCGATATCCGGCCAGGAACCGCATCTGGTAAGGTGACCAAGGTCAGTCCTGCTCCGGACTCCGTAGGGACGATGACATCTGCCAGCGAGCAGCCTGAGGAAGCGCACCGCGCTGACACGCGAGTCGCAAGTAGTAGTGGGCCAGACAAGGCCGGCCTAGCCGGTGACGGGAAGGGAAGGGAAATAATACTTGGAGAAGAGGCGCCGGGATGGACAATCATGCGGCCCCTCAGTAAGAAGGGGAAGAAGATGGCGGGGAGCAGCACAAGGAGAGCCTCCAGTGCGCATGCGGGGAGCAGCGGCGATGAGGCAGATTACGATCTCCACGAGAACCTTGAAGCCTTGCGCGAGGTGACCAGCGAGGATGAATTGCTCGAGGACGGAGAGGAGGAGGAGCGGGCGACAAGAAGCAGAGGAGAAGCACCTCGCAGCAGCAGCGCGCAGAGAACCCACGACGCTGATGCTTCAATTGAGAGCAGCGCCCCGCGCAGACGCAATGTGGGCGAGTACAAGGTCTATAAACGACGGTGGTTCGGGGTGGTGCAGTTAGTCTTGCTGAACACCGTCGTTAGCTGGGATGTGAGTTCTCCTGTTCAGAACTTAAAAGCCTCAGTCTCGCGGTGACATGCACGTCTTGTCGGATTGGTTCCTGCGTTAAACTGACAATTGCTTGCAGTGGCTCTCTTTCTCCGCCAACTCGACGACCGTCTCCCAGTACTACGGGGTTTCCGAATCGTCCGTCAACTGGCTCAGCACGGCTTTCCTCTTTGCCTTCGTGGTCGTGTCGCCCGTCGTCGTCTATACTCTGCACCGTGGCGGACCCAAACCCTCGATTGTCACCGCCTCGGTGCTGATCTTGGTGGGCAATTGGATTCGATATGGCGCGACCAGGTCGGGGCCCCAGGGCAATTTCGGGGGGGTGATGTTCGGCCAGCTGTTGACGGGATTTGCACAACCATTTGTCCTCTCAGCTCCCACCAGGTACTCGGATTTATGGTTTACCAATACCGGCAGGGTTGCTGCTACAGCTGTCATGAGCTTAGCAAACCCCTTTGGTGGGGCTCTGGCACAGTTGATCGATCCGTTTTGGGCGGGGAGCCCTGGTGACATCCCCAGCATGGTACTCTATGTTGCGGTTATTGTACGTCTTTATGTATATATACATACATATATATACCATATGTCCCCATTGTCCCTGACAGCAACTGACCCGTCCAGTCTTCCGTCGCATCTATACCGTCCTTCTTCATACCTTCTGCACCACCGACACCATGCTCCCCTTCCTCAGCAATGCCCAAACAGCAGCTGCTCCCTTCGCTGCGATCTTTGTTCACCTCGCCCGAGTTCTACATGGTCATGGTCCCTTACACAATCTACGTTGGTCTGTTCAATAGTATCTCCTCCCTCATCAACCAGATGCTCGCCCCTTACTCCTTCTCGGAAACCCAAGCCGGGATAGCAGGGGGCTTGCTCATCGTCGTAGGTCTGGTCACCGCCGCCATCACATCGCCCATCATAGACCGTACCAAAACCTACCTCCTAGCCATCAAGATCCAGGTGCCCATTCTAGCCGCGTGCTATCTGGCCTTCACGTGGGCGCCCGGCACGCGGTCCATCGGCGCCGTCTACGCGATCCTCTCCATCATGGGCGCCGCATCCTTCAGTCTCGTGCCCGTAGTTCTCGAATACCTGATCGAGATCACGCACCCTGTATCCCCCGAAGTGTCGAGTACGATATGTTGGACGGGCGGCCAATTCACGGGCGCCCTCTTCATCCTGATCTCGGACGCCCTCCGAGCGGCAGGTGCCGGTGATGGGTCGGCAGACGACGGCTCGAAATTCCCCCCGGGCAATATGTACCGCGCCCTGGTCTTCCAGACCGTGCTGGCGCTTGTCGTCGTCCCGTTACCGCTTGCGCTGGGCTGTTGTGGACGCGGTAAGGGCGTTCGAATGAGACGGCTCGAAGCGGATAACGAGGCAAGAAGAGCCAGTGGAGAGGTTGAAGGTGCCGGGGCCCTTCATATTTAATGTCTATTATTCCCTCTACCTCTATAATAGAACACTTAACTCCCATAATATAAGAGAGAGAAAGAGATAACTACTCAATCATCCAAATCCCTCCCAGTAACCGCAGCACCAAACTTCTCATAATCAAGAAGTCATCACCCCCTTCTAATCATTCAACCATCCGATATAAATCCACCTACCTACCTCCCTTCGCACATCCCTCATCTTCTCGCACAGCACTTCCTTCCTTCCTCCATTCATCCCCGTAGCTAAAAATCCAATATTACTCTTCAAAAACATGGATCTAAAACTTGACATACACATTACTTACCTTACTTCTTTCTTGCTACCGTATCAACATTAACAATAACAAAACTCCTATCTTTCAAGAGTCATCTACCTAGATCGATTGATTGATATCATAATAGCCAACCAAACAGACTTACCTATCCAGATTTGCCACACATATATTTTATATTCCAGATCTTAAATAGCATTATTAGTGCTATTCTATCTATCCATCATATACACTTAAACTTTCAAAAAAGATAAGATTAGATTACAGTAAGACAAGAAGAAAGAAAGAAAGAAAAATTCCCATATCGCAAAAATTTGTACAAAAAGATCTGTTTTGTTAAAGAGATTTGTGATGTGCGATAACACTAGGTAGGTAGGTAAGGTAGGTGGCTATCTACTTCTATTTCTTGGTTATGTTGATGATTAATATAAGGGGGGTATGTGAAGTTAGGTAGGTAGGTATATCAGAGTTCTTAGATGTTTACTAGTTATTGTATATATAGCTGTTTGAATACAGTTATATGGCTGAGGATGTTGTTGACCTCCCCCCCCCCCCCTTTCTGGGGATCTTTCGTGCTTGACTGACAATACAATACAACTTTAACCTGTGACTGTGATGTTGTTTAGAGGCATAGTACAGTAAGATATGGTTACTGGTTAAGAAACGTGCTAATCGTTCTTTACCCCTTTGACCGTGGATGAGTGCCAGGATTAAATCTCAAGATTCTCAATTACTATCTCTCGCTTGGTGGTTCAATGAAACTGGTCCAAATCGTCTGGCTCGATCTTAGACATTCTGGCAATTCCTACATCACTATACGGGGAAACGGGTTGTGAATTAAATCCTGTCTATTCTGCTATACTCTCGTCATTAGGTCGTTAATTCGTGGTCGTGCGATCATTAAAAAACTGAAAACCCCTGTCTCATACTAGAGCTCCAAGCCTTCCTCTTCCCTCAACTAGGGGAAGGGAATAAGAAGAAAGAAAAGAAAACATCTCAAAGTCCAAAAGAGGGCTGGTAACCTGACTACCTATCTAACCACGGCTCCGTATTTTCAGAGCCAGGCATTATTATTTCCAATCTCCTCTCTCTCGTGTCCAAAATCTAAATCCATATCGATCTTCGGGACCGGATCGGGAAGTGCAGTCTTCTTGGGGCTCTTCCGAACCGTGCTTTGGTACTCGGTGCTTGGTCCACATCGCACGTCCTTGGTGTTCCAGCCATCGTCTGCGGCAGCTGAAACCCAGGTTCTCAGTCCTGCGTGTACGCAGCCATAGAATTTCTCTTTGCAAAGTCTCATTGTACCTCCCATGCATTTCTCCCAGCCCGAAACGAGTAACTGCTGGCGGACGGCGTTGCGTTCGTCTTTCGTTGGGAGACAGGCCAGGATTCCGTTAATAATATCGAGGTGTGATGCGAGGTAGTTGGTAGCATCCCATTCAACACCGCCTACATATGGTGCTGCTGGAACGGGCGGAAGTTCAGGTGGGAAGTGTTCAACCATATATACATGGTGAGGATTGGAGGCATCAAAACTGCCACCTGAAGCAGACGAGCAGCTGCTCGTATCATGACTATTTGTCGAGCCACTGTCCTTGGATTTAATAGCCGGAAGGGCGATAACATTCGTGTTGTGGAGGAAAATCCAGAAAACCTCTTTAGTTACGTTGACGACTTCTTTGCACCAAACCTGATAGGGTCGGGGGCGACGCATATCAAGGACGAAGTCGACGGGCCGTTCAGATTCGCTTGGTTCGGGGTCCTTGAGGTAGGATAGAAGAATGTTGGCTCGGTCAGACCGCTCATTGAGGGGCGCTGACTTAAGAAACGTGAATAGAAGCGACGTTATAATATTACGGGTAGTGAATTCGCTCGGTCCCTTCTTCTCTTCATCAAATAGCATATGCAGAAGTGCGGGGAAGAGGGTTCCGTGAATATTGTTCAGCTGCCGAAGAGCAAGGGCCGTAGTGGTGAGAGCTTTGAGGCAGAGGAGAACCTCATGTAGTAAGGCATCTTCGTGCTCCTCTCTGTAGCATTGTTAGCATGGAAGAACAGAGTTGAAGACCATCAGTGACATACCTCCACTCCACTTCCATTATTCTGTGAAGTAGTCCCACAATCTCCTCCATTCCCCCGTGTCCAATAAATTCTTCTGTCCATGCCACCGTCTCGTTACGAAGTAAGAGCCTCAACTTATGTAAACGGCCGACCTCGACCAATTCCGGCTTCTGGACCTTTCTCAGGTATGCAACGAAGTCTTCTGGAAGTTGTCCTTTCGCCTTTGCCACCAACGCGTGTGCGACAGCAGCACCTGACATTGAAAGTGATCTGCTTCCCCCGTCTACGCTCTCTGAAGAGTTCTTCCGAGAATGGTTTCCCAAAGTGCCTTGCGGTCTTTGCTTCTTCGTTGGTGATTGGGGTTCTTTGCTGCTTCCTCTAGATAACGATCCTTTAAATGACGTAAATGTTAGACTTCTAGGTCTCTTCGCCTTGGCTTCAGGCACATCATGGGCAGCAGTAGCATCAGCACTTGAGTCGCTACCGTTGGTCCCAGGTCTGCCATTCCTCGCCGCTGCAATTTCGGCCCAGTCCTGCTTGATAAAATCTCTCTTCATCGATTTGGCAAGATTCCTCATCTTACCACGCTGGTGCTCAGGAATATTCCGTCTATCCAACATGGCCTCGAATTCTCTGTCAATGTCTTTGTCCTCAAGGACTTGCATAGGTTCCGGGGCTGCTGGTCCTTTTGACTTTGCACTAAGAGCAGATACCGCTGCTAAGACTCTCTGTCCTCGATGTGGGCCGGTCTTTTCGGACTTTGCTGCCACCTCCCTTTCTGAACTGGATCTTCTCGCCCCGGAAACTTTCCTTATTATTTCAGCACTATTCCTCCGGGAACTACCTCCACTAATACGTCTGCTGATATCTTGTATGCTGAAGTTGCTTGGAAGGTATGTTGATCTCGGCCGCTGTGAGCCAGAGTCACGTCGTCCCAGAGTCGGTGCATGACCTGGGCCTTCATAGAAATTTCGTTGTTTACCGGGAGAATATTCTCGCGGTGTATATAGATCGATCTCATCTTCCAAAAACTTTCCTCCTAGAGGTTGTCTTGCGAAACACTCGCTGGAGAACTGTGCGTAGATAGGAGGTGGTCGAGCCGGCGTGTCGGTCGGTGCTGGTGAGGTAGGGTTTTGGTTCTCTTTGTCTTTCTGTTGTCGAGCTTCCTCTTCTGCCGCTTCCTTGCGTAAACTCTTCGAGGACTTTGTGCGTGAGAGCAGATTGCTAAGGTTTGTGGATGACTTCGTCCTCTTCGGTTTAGTCTCATCCTTCGACTTGGAAGCCTTATCCCCATCCCTCCCAGTCAAGGATTTCAAAGAAATCGAGCTCAGAGTCTTCTTATGTAATGACTTGTGCCCTTCGCCACTGGTATTGGGACGCTTCCCCTCTTTGGACTTCTTCGGTGGGTTTAGAGTTTGGCTCTGCTGGTTTTGTTGAAGTTCCCCGAGCGCTCTGTGATGCGGGTGGTCGTGTGGTAGAAAGGAGATTGCTTGGTTGACACCGTGACGTGATGAACTGATGAAGGGATCTTTGGATGAATTTGAAGAGGAGGGTGCTTTCTCAGAGACTGTCCGTCTGTGCATGAAGGATCTTAGCACAGAGGAGGGTTTGATGTTGTGAGAGCCATCCGGCGGATGGTGGTTCCTGAATGCCATGATGAACAGCAATTACCAATTAATGATAAGGAACTCAGAGCTTCAGAATCAATGCTCCAGTACAATGCTGCAAGTAATTGGTTTCATGACGGTGATGGTGATGGACTTCAGTCTTCAGGTGTTCGGGGAGAGTACACGAGGGGATTGATGTTCGTTGCCAGGAGCAACCGGCGCGACGTACGCACGTGAGTTTAGCTGCATACACCGCACTGTGCCTAAACATAAGCGCATGAGGTTGATTAGCTCCTATCAGAGCTAAGGCGCGGGAATTCAATTGAGCTTCGATATCCATTCAGCCATCTTATCATTTTATATATATCTATGCTCATGTATCCGGGTCGCTTCTTCTAGCTTCTTCTACCAGCTGAAAACTCCCCTCTGCCTATCGAAACCACCTCTCAATTGGCTTTCCGGCTTTACTACCTTCCCTTGAAGAACCGTGAACTTCACGATACCCTCACAGTCCTGTGGCTTTACTCTGGCAATCCATATGCATTGTGCGGCTCCTTCTAAGTCACCCTCACCCGGCACCACATCCGACGGCTTAGGCTCCTCTCCGCCTAACTTTGCCCTCTCCAGTGTATCTAACCCAAAAGCATTTGCTTTTCTATAAACCATCACGTTGGCAGAATATTTATGTCCTCCGACATGCGAAATGAAGTATATCCCCACGCCACCGGGCCGCTCATCGTCTAGATCTCGGTATAGCCCTAACGGCCTCAGATGTCTCTCGAACTCTTTCCGGAGTAGTGGGGCACTCTGCCCACACCGAGCATCTCGTGTCTTTTGTGAACAGAGCAGAATGAGCGCGCGGTGAGGACAGGGACGGGTCGTCAACTGCTCCGCAGTTGGAAGAGGGTCGGGAAGAGAGGAGGGTATAGTAATAGGTGCCAAGGGCGTGGTATTCGAAGGGGACTTATTGAGAAAGTCCGTGATGAGGGAGTTGACGGATTTTGGGGTAACGTTCTGGATGATGAGAAATGCGGGTAGGAGGAGGACAGTTGTTGGTTCGGAGTAGTCGGTGGAGTGTGAGGGAGTAGGCATATTCGAGGCAGAGAGCATGAGTCTCTGGAGAGAGAATTAGCATCGTATTCCTCCAGACTTCTGCGGATGGTTAAGTACCCCGCTGCTTGGCTTCACATCGGCCTTCTTCTCAATGGCTTCCATCACACTGCCCTTCTCGTCGGCAACATCTCTCACCCAATCGGTCTTGCCAGTCGCCACGAGAATGTGCTGACTCCATCCCTTGATCTGGCCGTATAATTGATCATCCTCGTCTATCTTAAACTTTGCAGGCAGCTGAACAACGCAAGTTTCGCAGTCATGGTCGCAATCCTCTCCGTCAATTGCCGGGTCTACTTTCGGGAACAGCTGATCGATAGGAGTTGCTGAATTTTTCGCGGTGCCGAAGAAAGATTTCAAAGCGGTCGCCATTTTGCCTGAGCGTCGTGCTGGGGCGGGCGCGGATGTTTTGTATGACATGGTGGGGTCCTGCGCCTTAATCAGATCCGTGCCAAGCAGCCGGGGGGGATTATGAACGCTGATTAATGGCTTATCTGATCGGATTCGCTTCTCACTTCTTGCCGTCCAGCGGTTAAAGCCGAGCCCGAAGCCGAAAGCTGTCCCGACGCCGTCCCGATGATGGACGGAAGGTTGACTTGCCAAGTATCAACAAACGACCACGAGTTCCGGGAGGAGCAGTCCTCTTGTATGTTTATATATCCGAGAAGAAGACCCCCATTGTTACACCGCTGACGTGTCTTGAACCAGTCATCGGGCTTGAAACTGTGAGATTCGTGCTTTCTTATGTCCGCGCCGCATCTGCGTGGAACTGTATGCCTCGCTGAGCTCGGATCCGAGCATCTCGGCCGAGGAGGCTACGCCCCTATTTGTCTCTTACCCGTCTCAGACGCGTGATATATAGAGAGGATGGCTCCAGGTATCCTACTGTTGACGGGTGCTCCCGAGTCGAGCTCCTTGGATTGGAACCACCCTGGGCTCCTGGACACCTTCAGCGCGCCATTTTCTCGCTTTGCCGGCCTTGATGCTGGTGGAGATGTCGTTCCAGCAACACCTGCACCGGCTACCGCCTCCCCAGAATACCCGTCTTGGAGATCTATTCCCCTCGAACGGCAACATCTCGCGACGGGCCACTCGCAAGATCATGGCTGGCAGGAGGAATACCAAGGAACGTCTTTCTTTACAACTTCGGCCATCGGGTCTTTCGTTGAAGAATGGTCTCCGGGAGCCGGGCAAACTTCGAGCTTTGAATCTACAGCAGAGCAAGCCCTCTCTCAGTTCTACGAGCAGTCGTACGAAAGACATGAAGATGTTGTCCCTTCCCAGATAGCCGCCGCTTCAGATGTAGGTACCTCATTCTACAGCATTGATACCTCATTTGATGCCACAGAGTCGTTTTTTGATTCCCCATTGCGCCCAGTTCATGGAGCAAGAGACATCCCAATTGCTGGTCATCTAAGCCTTTTGAAAGACATACCAAATGCTTCATATCTCAACTCGATCCATCCGCAAACAATGACTGTCAATCTGATTATTGGGATTATTTCCATTCTCCCACCCCGAGCAATAAGGACGAGGCGAGGAGCAGACGTCGAACTCGTTGAGATCCTTGTAGGCGACGAGACAAAGTCCGGCTTTGGAGTCAACTTTTGGCTCCCACCCTCCTCCCAATCTGCTCACGGTAGCATGAGGAATGCGCTTAATGGATTACGGCCTCAGGATGTCGTCTTGATGCGAAATGTAGCTCTGAGCAGCTTTCGGGGGAAGGTCTATGGACAAAGTCTGAGGGGAGAGATGACGAAGGTGCATCTTATGTACAGGAATAGGATCAACAGGACGGATCTGGGTGGATGTTATAATGCAGCTGACCTTGTTTCTGACGAAAACCTGAATCCGCAGGTCGAGAGGACTGCCCGAGTCAAAGAGTGGGTGTTAAGATTTGTTGGCGTGGGAGATGGGCGGAGGAAAGCCAAAGGCCGAGTGTCTGATGTGATTAAGGAGACTTTGCCTCCAGATACCCAATGAAGACACGAGTCAACTTGTCAATTATAATGACGGGCTCGGACTGGGAAAGCTCCCAGCGTCATATACTCATCATTCTGTGCGATTCAAGAATGAGAAAATAAGTAAGCGCAAGCGGAGGAGAACCGGTAGATCACTGGGATGCTCAGTCCCTAAAAGAGCGTGGATTAGGAGAGAAGCGCAATCCTTCATACCGAAACCAGTGAACGAACATTGCTCATGGTATGGCGTAACTTGATACCCAATGAAACGGGTACTTTCAAACTCTTTCACGGATATGGAAACAGCGTAGATGTCAACTGTGTGGTTGTAATCGAAAAGATGTATTGTAATCAAGCGTCAGCGTAATAGCCTCGCCTTCAAGCCGTCTAAAGCACTGTTAACTACCAAACATTCAGGTACCGTGGCCCGGTCCTTGCCACTCCACTTAAAACGCCATGCTAATACCCTGCCATGCCCAAGCCCAAGCCAAACCAATACCTTACCATATATTTATTTTGGACACCCACCAGTATTGCAGTTACTCCGCACTCCCTTGAAATCTCATGCCAATTACCCAGCTGCCTTCGAACTCAACTCCTCGTCTGATTCTTGTTCCAGCTTTCTTCCAGACTGCGGCACCCAAACCAATATCGGCAACGAAGAGTTGCCATTCTCTACCCTTGCCAAGACCTTCGTCATCAGAAACGCCCTCACCCAACGCCATCGCCTCCAATAATCCCTTTTTCGGCGTTCCCATAGCGACAACGTATTTTGCGTGTATATAAAGTTGTCTTCCATCGATGATGCTGATCTTCCCTGACGTAGGGTCGATACCTGTAGGGATATCAATCGCTAAGACCGGTGCTTTGCTACGATTGGCCAGCTCGATAAGTTCGTAGGCTGTAGCTTGGTCCCCTGTCCTTAATTCTTCAAAAGATATCGTAAGGCCAAGGAGACCGTCAATGATCAGTTCAACAGGTGTGTTGAGATTTTTGACATAGTCTAGAAGCTCGACTTTGGTGACCAGTTTACCTCCAAAGCTGCTAAAGACCTTCAACTGCCGTCGTAGACCCACGAGGAGTTCCGTTTCGCGTTCTAGACCGAGAACACAAACGACAACATTTAGGCTATGATTTCGGAGATGCCTAGCCGCTGCCACTGCTCGGAGACCACTCTTATTGTTGCCCGCAAATACGACGACCGTTGGAATTGTGCTACTTTTGCCCTGGGTCAAGCCACGCCCACCTGTGTTCAGCGCAGACAAGGCGACCTCTGCAATGCCTCGACCTGCATTCTCGGCCATCATGTCTTCCGAAAGTCCAAGCTCGGTGTCGGCTATATTTTCAAGGTTAAGCATTTGAAGGGGAGAGATAGGTTCGCAACGGCGATCTGATGGGACGAGGTAGAAGGCCGGCTTTGAAATAGAAGTTTGAAACTGCTCCTATTAGTGACTGTAAAGCCAAATTGCTACAGTTGTCTTTGGAAGATGACTTACTGATTGCGTACGACCTGGTTGGGCACTTGCAATTGAACCCCTTTTTGTAGAGACGGGCCTTCGATTTGAAGCTGACTTGCTCTCGGCCCTGCGAGAGACCCTGCCACTTCCTGTATCTCTCTGGCTGGTTCTTTCTTCGAGATCAGTGTCGCCCGCTTCGCTCTTCCAAATGTCGGTCTTGGTCTTCACAGTGCCGGTTGGTAAATCCAGGACATTCTCAGTATAATGCAGATTCTTGCCCCCAGAGGTTCCTGGCTTTGGCTTTGGTAACCTGTTGTGCGAGACCAGTCGATCCTCGTCTGCAATCTCATCTTCTGCCTGTATCTGGGTGAAGATGGTCTTCTTGTCGAATTTGGCCAAACTTCCTGCGAAATCGAAATCGCCCATATCTTGTACATCTGTTGCATCTTCCGTTGCCCATCCATTTTCATCCGCCAGTCCATTCCCATTGCGCCTGGCCTTCTGCCTCTTGAGCGTTGCGAACGGTTGAAAGGACGGATTTGGCTCTAGCAATGGTGTCTGCCTCCAGCCTTTTGACTTGGACGTCTCTTTCGCTGGAGTGACGTCTGGTTCCGGCAAATCACCATCGGCTGTTTTACGTCCATGCCCCCTTCGCCTGCGATTTCTCTTTGCCGGCTTGGTTGCTGGCAGAGCTGGGGAAACCTCTGCTTCTTCCGCATCCTTTTCGTCCAGAATTAGACCTTCTCCTATGCCACCTCCCTCCACCTCTGATATATAGATCTGTTGTATTGGTTCAACCAAAGTCGCAGCAGTGATGTCCTTGGGTGCTCTATCACTCCTACTCGTTACTGTACGGGAGGAATCAACTCGTTCCATCAGGGTCGGGTTCAATTGTGGAAATACCGGCATGGATCGATTGACTGGTGTTGGCTTCTTGCCAACGCTCAGGATCGCAGGATCTTCGAAGTTTGTCCTAGGTAGCGCCTTCACAGGTGGGACGTTCGATTGGGGACGGGTATTTTCATTGGGGGCTTCGACCAGTTCCGAAATCTCCACCGCATTGATGGTAATCTCATTGACATATTTTCCGTTCGCAGGGCAAGTTACTGACAGAGGGTGAGGAAAGGCCAAGGATGAGCATGTCTGAGGAGTTCTTACCATGTCGCAGAGTTAAGCTTTTCCCTGGTTCAACACTGCTGACGATGCCCCTCAATTGAGCACCAGGAGGTGAGTTGAGTGTCACCAGCATGGTGAGCCCAATAAACTGGTTCGACATGTTGGGCCCTCTGAATCTCTAGCCTCGCGCAGTCGCAGTCGCAGTCGCTCAAACGGATTTCTGGCACACAGCTGGTCTTGAAGAGGGAGACAGCGAGAGTTCTGGGCAGCCAACCCAAATGTCTTCGACAGGTTACGAGGGAGGAGGAGATGAGAGCTGGCTACCTATGCAGAGGATGCTATGGGTTCGAGAGGGAAGTCTGGAGGAGTAGGACGATGATGATGGCTCAGCCCGCCGCTTGATATAAATAAATATTTAAGTTACCTATTTACTGCACTGTAATATTTTGCCGAGCGGGGAAAAGTCACTACTGCACACCGTAAGGAAAGGGGTGCCAATATGAGCTAAACATACCTTACCTACCTCAAGGTCTGTAGGGAGACCATGCGTAAGACACTACTTGGTATTTATTTCTTTGTTCTGCATGGAGCCAAGTAAGGTATATCTAGATAGACTCTAATGATGCCTCACTCCCGTCTGACAAAATCCCAACAAGGTAGGCTGCGCCGAAACCATATCTGCCGCTGCATAAAGAGTCAAGCTCCTACTCCAAAGGAACGCCAAGCTAATGCTGAGATGCTCTATCAAAGTCATGTGGCAGGTAAACTGTAGTCTGCCCTAGACTATTCAGCCCCTGTACGCCGCCGCAGCCATAGCTTCCTCATCATCATCGACTTTATATCTCGACACCTGCTCCATTGTTCCTCCCTTCTTCGAATCCTTCTCATCCTTCACTTTCTTCATTGGGAGGGCCTTTGCTACCTTAGGGTTTTGCATTGCTTTGTTGGCGCTATACAAGCTGTTGTAGAACTCTGCAACTCGAGGATGCGCCATGACCTTGTTCTTGTCGAAATTATGCACTTCAAGCCCTGCCTGGCTTGTTGCTCGACTGAGTGCAACATAGGCCTGGCCCTTTTCAAAGACCCTCTTCAGGTCAATCTTAACTCGCTCAAGAGTTTGCCCCTGTGCTTTATGAATAGACAGTGCCCAGGCAAGGATGAGTGGGAGCTGTTGCCGCTTTGCCTGAACTTCTCCGTTGGGGAGTTCAACTGTCCATTCTTCTGGTTGGACAAGGAGTTCCCTACTAGTTCCATCCGCGACTGAGAAGAGGACAAGAGGGTATAGTCTACTAGTGTCTGGGAGGGGACTGCCGCTCTGGGTGCGAGCAAACTTCGAGATTGATATACGTGCTTCACGCTGACGATCATCCAGATCTTCTGTAGCGATATTTTTATCGACGATATCCGGGTCTTTTTCATAGATTTCGAACGTCGTCTGGTCCATAAAAGCAATCACTTTTCCAAGTGATCCGTTGACTAGACCATCGTCCATATTCTTTATCAGCATAACTTGAGCACCTTTCTTTAATTCAATCACCTTGGGAGCCATCATGTTGCTGAGTAATTTTTCACGCATGACTGGATCCGAGGTTCCAGAATCTATAGCTTCGTACCGTTGACTATGTCCGTGCAGATCGCGCATCCTAAAGGCGTTGGAATTTTCAACCTCGTTCCTGGTTGGGAATCTGAAGTCTCTATCAATATTTGTTCACGATAACCAAGGGTCCAACCTACAGTTCCGTAGCTTCTAGAGAGTCTTCATACTCAATCTTTCGACTGAGCTTTCGAAACGCCTCAACAGTCTCATCCGTAATTTTTCCAAGGCGCATCTCGTTCAGCATGTTCGCAAAGACTATTTCGTTAGTTATATACAAAAACCCATGGCGAGGAGAGAAGTACCTGGATCTTTTTGACGGAACACTTCTGTCAAGCCGATTGTATGGTGTATAGCAGTAGACCATGTCCCGGCGTCGAACGCGAATTTAGCACCTCGAGCCTTGTTGTCATAATCTGGCACGGGTGGTAATTGGAAGAAATCACCGGTAATAACTAGTTGGATCCCCCCGAATGGCCGACCATTGTTTCGTATTGCCCTAGCTATCCCCTCGAGCTTGTCAAAAAGATCTCCGTCGACCATGGAGATCTCATCGATAATCAACACCTTGGTTTTGAGCCAGCGATTCTTGGCTTTTGGGTTTCTCTTGACCTTCTTCACGAGAGCAGGGACATCCTCTTTGCCAAGTCCGATACCCCCGAAGCTATGTAGAGTTACACCACCAATGTTACATGCAGCTAGGCCCGTTGATGCAGTAACTGCTACTCGTTCAGGTTCTCGACGGTACTTTTTGCGTAATTCGGCGATGATGGCTCTCATCAACACAGATTTCCCAGTTCCAGCAGATCCGGTGAAGAAAACGCTCTTATTTTGATTCACCACCAAGTTAAGAACATGCCTCTGCTCGTCGCTGAGGGAGATCGGAGACAGAGACGCCTTTTTGCGGGAGTGTTGTTCCATAGCTTCGAGAGCGGCATCATCTATCTTCCTCGAAGCCTTTAGTTTGTCCTTGAATGCATTCTTTTGTTCTTTCATCGCGCTGGCTGTATTGTTCCACGGCATAAGCTTGTCTGTTGTCTGAGGGGTTTCCACACCGTTCCCCTTGCCTCCATTCGGACATGCGTTAGCAAAATGTCCTTCTTTCTTGCACCGGTAACAGAATTGATGTGACGAAGAGCCAGATGCCGCTCTCGCTGCCAGTAGCTGCGACCTCTCTTCTTCCTTAGCAGCAATTTCGTCTTCTTCTGCCCGTCTCTGAGCCCAGGGAATGGTTCTTCGTTTCGCCGGGCGAGGATTTAAATCAGCATCTTTCGCCAACTCTGATGATTCTCGACTTGCAATCTGCTTGCCATCTTGTCTAGCTAAAGATGCTGGGGGTGGGGCCATGTGCGATGGAGGGGATGAAGACCAGGTTGGCGCACTGCTAGGGGGATTTTGTGAGCTCTGCGGTTGTGATTTTGAGCGAGGTAACTTAGGCAGAGCATAGGAGAATTCGGAAGAAGGTGCTATGTTTTCGGAAGGCTTCGGTGGTGCTGGCATAGAAAGAGGGAGCTCATAGTCCATATCCAAGTCTAAATCGGCGTCATCCTCAAAGTCGTTCTCGTCAAACTGGACCGCATGGTGATCTACCGTAGAGACTTTTGATTTGATAGGATCTTCTTCTGTGAGATCAATCGTGGCAGGGACATCTTGGAAGGAGTCCTGCTTGCTCAACACCGAGGGTAGTCTAGCAGCTATTGGAGCTGTGAAGCTTTCCGGTTTCCTCTTCAAGTTATGCTTGATATTCGGTGACCTGGTACCAAGAGTACTTGCAGTGTTCGTGAAGCCAGTGAACCCTCCCATTGATTGTGTTGATTGACGAGCCTTCTTGAACTGTTCCTGTATGTTTCCATTCTGAGCCGGGCTGCTGGAGGGGAACAGCTGCTTTGCAAGATCATTCTTCGTATTTGGAGCTGCGTACTCTTTGGCGGCTCGACCTAACATTGCGTCTGCAATTGAAGAGTATGTACGTCTCGGGGTTCGTACACTAAAGGCCGTTATGGATCGATAAGGAGGCCGTCGCGCTTTCCGCCAACTCGCAAGCAGTCCTCGAGTTGCTAGAGAGAAGACCGGAAAGCCTAGCAGTCTAGCCGGCATACAATCGAAGCTGCTTAGGAGTCGGGGATTTCGTCAAGCCGGGACGAAGGTTCAAAGCGGATGTTCCGTCCTACAATTTCTGTCAAGTGTCTTCGCGTCGCGGAGTTCGCGACTTTCAAATAACGCGCTAGCCAAATTAGTAGCTGCGATAAGATTCGCGCGTACAGTGCTGCAAATAGGGGCGGGGATAGAGATCGCTTCGGTCCTAGACTGTACACTTGACTGTTAAAGAAAAGAAGGCATATTGACGACATATTAGTTGTAAAGCTGTTATGCTACGGGGACGCAAACAATCAAGTAAAGTTTCTTGCATCAGCCTCAAGACTAGAAATCAACCTACCGTCCTATCTTGATAATGACATCCTTAACTACCCCACCTAGGTAACTAAGTATTATTATAGCTTCACGTCCGTTACCTGACATAAAAGCAAATTATTCGTACTACAGAAAACCTATTGCTGCATGGCTATTCGCCATCTTCGTTATCTAGGTATGTAACTGTGAATTGATAGATCACTATGTCCGGTTTCGCCAGCACGCTACAGCTCCTTTTACACGGCGAATCAATTTCAGCATCAATTTTCAAATCTATTGGTTATCAAAGGACCCGATTGGTCGAGCTTCGAGATAACACTCTTTGATGTATGCAATTCTTGGTCGACATATTTAGTGCCGTGAAGAGGAAATTGAAAGTATGGCAGCAATTGAATCATTGAAAGCAGTTCAGTCATTGCAAATCACTATGAAACTGTAGGCATGGGTCGCAAGTATAATGCACAGAGCCTGTTGTCATTGAAGCCTTTCAGACTATATCTCATATAACTAACCGCCAGTACATTTAACGACAAACGACGACTGCGAAGCAGATACGGCACAATATGGATTGGGGTATGTCGCTATAGTAGATTCGTGGACTCATGAGGATAAGAGGCGAAGGAGAGAAGGCTATAATCAATGCCGAAGAAATCCAAAGTCGACGATAACCTAGGAAAACAACTTTTTGTCGACGTGAAATCACCTATCCAACACTAGAGAACACAGAAACTACTAATCGGAACGAGTATCTTGAAATGAAGAGCCCTATGCAGTTTCATGCTGAACGGCCTAGCCGATACCAGGCACGAAGAAACGCAGATGCAGAAACTAAGTAAGAAAGTACGCCTGGGTTGATATCCCGAAATCCTCCAGAAAGCGCGGAACAACAGTTGGAACATCCTGAAGAAAGCTTCGGAGGATCGTCTTCGAATATGCTGATTATCCCTGGTACCCACCAAATCCATTCCCAAAGCTTTGGGCTGCGGGCGCGCTCCACTGAGCGTTTGGAGTTTGCTGAGCACCGCGGCCATAACCACCAGCGCTGGCAGGACCTCCATAGCCCATCTGTGGGTTCTGGTATTGAGCGGGAGATTGAGCTGGTGGAGCACCATAGCCACCTTGTTGACCAGGGAACTGGCCTGGAGACTGCTGATTAGCCATTGGCCCGGCTGATTGAGGTCCTTGTTGTTGAGGCATACCACCATATTGAGGGAAATAAGCTGACGGCGTTCCTGGATAACCTCCAGGAGTTGGACCGCCCTGCGGACTATAGCCTTGTTGAGATCCATCGAAACCAGGAATAGTAGGCGCTTTGTCTTTACCCCACTAGAAGCAAGTTAGCATGCGAAAAAGTAGCTAGTTCGGATCAATCCACGTACGCTGCACTTGAGGGGACGGCCATTGACGTTGTAGCCGCTCAACTGACAGATTGCCATGGCGGCATTCTCATGGGTATCCATCTTGACGAACGCAAATCCTCGGTCAGCTTGGAAGCGAGTCTCAACAACATATCCGAAGTTCTGGAAAAGTGGCACAAGGTCATTTTGGGTAGTGTAGGGAGTTAAGTTGCCAACGTAGCAAGTAGTTTGCCACGCAGGGGTCTGCTGAACAATCATATCATAGCTCTGGACTCCGTGGGTTGGGAAGTGGTGGTGACCGAAAGGAGTAGTTGGAGTCATGCCCATTGCCGACATGGCTTGTTGCTGGGAAATCGATGGCTGACCCTTTTGATTTGCCCAGTTGCAGCGAATGGCCCGAGATCCCAGCCACTCTCCGTCCATTGAGCTCAGCGCCTTCTCGGCATCCTGACGTTCGCGGAAGGCGACGAAACCGTATCCTCTAGATCGTCCCGTCTTCATATCCCACATAACGCGAGCTTCAGAAACGGAGCCGAAAGCTGAGAAAGCCTGAAGAAGAACTTCATCGTTGACTTCGTTCGAAAGATCGCCGACAAAGATATGGAAGTGGTTGGATGTGTCTTCCTTGTTCGATGTATTGGATTGGTAGGCCCAGTTGACGCGGATTTCCTGTGGCATTGTCAGCGGCGGAAGATTGGCATGCTAGAACAGTATAGCTTACCGCTTGGTGGACACGTCTTCCGTTCAAAGTCTGCATGGCTCGTTCTGCTGCTCCTGGATCGTCGTATTCAACGAAACCGTAATTGAATCCCTTCGACTGGAACTAGACCGCGATTAGCATGCTGAATTTGGAGGGTTCGATAGTGAATCTGTTCAGAGGAAACCAAGGCTGAAAACTTGTAAAATTCCTTTCAAGAGAATTTGACGCAGCTAGTGCTGGAATTCCCGAGGAGGATTTAACAAAGGTAAAATTGATACTGACGGCACCTACATTCTTGTCAGGAATGATTTTAACGTTTTGAACATGGCCAGTAGTTTCGAAAATCTGGCGGAGCACCTCTTCCGTAACTCTCGGATCCAGGCCTCCAACATACAACGCACGCTTGTTCGGCTCAGGAGCTGCGCGACGAACAAAGCCGCCTGCGCTATCTGGAGACATCACATTTCCATTCTCTCCCAGCGGCGAGGTGATTGCAGTTGGGATTGGATTCGTGTTCTGCGGGATGATGACCGGAGCGAGAGGCGGCGGGGGCATGTGGGCCGGGTTCCCTCCATTATGGCCGTTTTCGTAGCCCGGCGCACCAGCAGTGGTCTGAGGAGGGGGTGGCAGCTGGGCACCCGTCGGGGGAGGACCGTTTTCAGACATTGCAAAGAAGAGCAAGAAGCGAGGAAAGTCGGCTTGTGGTCGTGCAAAGCAAATGTGCAACTGGCAAGATTAGAGCCGATAAGCAATTCAGTCGACTTGGAGAACACGCTGAGAAAATCCGACAGTATCGAGATCAGACAGGAGGAACGTTAAAGCTTAAACTGCGGACGTTGCGCTGCTCAGGAAGCTCCTGAGTGACTCGAACGATAAGAAGCGTGCTGGAAGACTCGAAAAAAATCGGCGGACAGCGAAATTGATCGAGAAAAGGTGGAAGGTCGAGAAGTGAGAAAATCGCTTTTACATAAATGTGAGCGATATGTTAAACAGGTTGTGACAGTTGACTGTCGAAGGAAGATGGATGGGGCAGCAGCAGGCAATTTTGAGGGGGGAGGCTCTGCGACAGACCGAGAAGAGGAAAGTAAAGAGGACGGATGGGACGACGGGGACGATGATGATGACGATGAGGATGGAATAGAAGAAAGGAATCACGAAAATGACGAGAGGAAGAGAGAGGAGAAAAAGCCACTCAGGATTCCAGACGCCGATCGATGATGAGGAACCGCGGGTGGGAGGAGGGGAGGGGATCTTTTCTAATAAGGTGGAGGAGAGAGGAGAGGAAGAGGCATCGCAGAGGTGAAGGCTTGCTTGCGCCCGTTGGGGTCTAGCGCCCCCGCTTAACTATGAGTGAAGAGCTGCTGTGGCACTGTGGCACTGTGGCGAGTCCTAGGTAGTTCTGACATTACCGTATTAGCTACCGTATTACGGGTTTAATATGAGATATATATATACACATGTTCAAGCTGCGCTAATCCGGAGAGCGAGAGACGGGAAGAGGGAGAGAAACGTGAGTGAGGGACAGACGGAGAGAGGGAAGACGAGGCACTTGGCAAGGGGGGCAAACGTGGAAGCTGAAGGAAGAGTTGGATCCAGCGCTCGCAAGGCTATCCGCCCAAGCAAGCGCCATCTGTTCTGGCTCCTTAGCCAGGGCCAGCATATCAGCACGATGGATCACCTCTTCAAGTCACAAAAGGAAGATAGGCAAGGGGGAGAGAGAAAGACCAGGTTTGGGAATCACACTCAAGATTTAAACGACTTTTAAGGATGATATTGCCTGAAAAGCCAGACGAAGGATCACACAGTTTTCTTGGGACGAAGAGTTCATGAATTATTCGAACCTGAAAAGCGCAAAAGCAGACTTGCATATAGAAATAACCAGAGCATCATGCTGTGCATCCCTCCTTGAAGGACATCGTCCTCCCGAATTATCACGGAATCGACATATGTGAAATACTTAGTTCCTAGCACAGTCTTGCCTGTCATATGTACAGTACTTCGCACAGCAGATCTTGTTCCCGCCAGCTTCAGGTACCGGCTGGATAGCGGCAAGCCTATGGCGCATAGGTGTTGGTCGCGGAGTCGCGGGTCCAATCCCCCTAAAGCTAAGGTGCCATAGGCCCATAGCTGGTACAGCTGCAGATCGAACATACGGAGGTATATCCGCTCTTGAAGGGCATGTCCAGGGACAGGAAGACGCCCGCCTGAAAAGTGAATGTATATGTAGCTAAGGTACATATAAAACGTGCTTTACTGGCCCCGATAGGGATCCTAAAGTTTCTTCTTCTTGTCGAAGGTCACAACCACGGGTATCAGACAAGTGGGGTGAGTGAACCTTGGCCCACCGAGGCGTATTATGTAATATGATCTATTTATCCGACGAGCTACCGCGCACGGACTTGTTCTTCACTGGTCAGTGATCCCTACTTACTGACTTGAAGGTTGAATGGTACTTGACTTTATTATTATTCACCCTCCCATCTCTTTCACAAGCGATCGCTCTGTTTGAACTTTGGAGAGCCTTGGTTGCTGGCCTTGCAACTCTGCTCTGCCTCCTCTCTGGCGGACAAGAGGACAATTCAAAGCGGCACGCGGTGCGGCTGTCGAAGGGCTGGGCGTCATGGCGCAAACATCAAATCCAAAGAATCCCTTGGACGTATTGCAGGGCATGATCGATTGCATTGTGAGCTCCAATCTCCAGTTTCCCGAGACTTCACCAGCTAATATCGTGAAAGCTTATAGAGACTGGCAGAGCGCTTCGCACAGCAGATAGAGAGGGGCCAAGGGCGCTTGGAAATATCCATACTAGGCTTCGCTCCACCATCCCCAGCGCCATTGAGAACTTCCATCAGGCGCTTGATGACATAGAATGCGAAATTGTGAGGGATCCTTCATATTGCAGGGAGTATGAGCGTGGTTATGTTAATTGGTGACGTAGGTTCGGGCAAAGGCTGTGCTGCTTCGAGATCTTGAAGAGCTGCGAGCCAAACGGATCGCGTTAGAAAACCCACCTCCAAAAGTTATTGAGGAACAGATAAAGGATGAACCGACGGCAGATTTGGAATTGACTCAAGAAAACAGCGCGCCAGAGAACACTCAACCAACGCCTCAACCAACAGTCAAGGAGGAGGACGTTGCATCTCCACCCGCCCCAGTACCGCCGACCCTGGATCCGCCGAAGGAGACTATTACAAAAGTCTCAGATGATTCAAAGGAGGCACATGGGCCATCTCCGTCAAATGCGAAAGAGGTCAACGCAGACTCAAATGCTGTTGACTTAGGTATAAATACCTCGATTGCAACTGACCCTTCTGCTCCAGGCACCGCTGGGATGGAGTCAATCGATTCTCTATTTGACATGCCTGATGACGGCAACAATAATGATGATTCGGCTCTCAATTTCGATGGGATGGACTTCTCTATTCACGACTCAAATACTGAAGGCAACTCACACGCTCAGAATAATGATTTTGATCTCTCCACTTTTGGAAATAACCCACAAGATTTCAACATGACAGACCCTCAGACCTCAAATAACACAGGGAATTCAACTAATCCCCCCGAGAACAAGCAGGATGACATGTTTGGAATGATAAATAATAACGCCGGGGACGATATGATGGATTTGGATTTAAATATGCAGTCCGCAGAAGAGAGTGCTTTTGACAGTATGTTCCTGATTGGAGATGATGGAGGTACAAGTGGTGGCGGTGATATGGATCACGGAGCTTTTGACAACGCGTTTTTCGGCCTGGATAACTAGATGCTGACGCCGACCTCCGTACGGCCTTACCACGCGGTATGCAATTCCTACATTGAGAATAGGATATGGACAGTTTATGGAGGCCAGGGGGGCATAGAGAGGTATCCGTAACTGATCTAAGCTCAACTTCAGGTAAGGCTTCCAGGAACTCCACTCGGCTCTACCTTGGCTTGAGTTCAAGCTGTCGGTTCTTGACAAAAGCAATCTCGATGCCGATTGCTATTGTAGTCACAATGACACAGCCCTACCAGGTACCTCGGTGCAACTCCCATGCCATAATGTTTTCAACCCGCCTGTCACTGCGGTGAATGGGAGAGAAAGATAAGACCATCTTGACTCAATAAGTTCTCTTATCACATCATGGAATCTTAGGTGTGACTCTTGCTTTGTATGTTCTCTCAACCAGTTCTTACTGTTCAGATCATTATACATTCCCCATCCCACCAATGGATGACTATACTCCAGGGAATCAAAGATACTGTCTTCCATTTTTACATGTCTTTGGCATGCAAGTTTCATCTATTTTATCAAGGTACAGAAGTAGGAACACTTCCAGTAACATTATTTCTTGAACAGGCATCAGCGAAGTATTTCTACTCGAACCTTCAGCCTCGCTGTGGCAGTCTGGCTACAGTAGCAGGACCTGCACATCAACACTGGGACTAATGTCAGCGGTCAATCCATTCTGCTGCAATGGTCCCATCCCCCGTTGCTTCACGCACATCCTGTCACTAATACCGGAGGACACAACCTATACCCCCTTATCCTCTTCCAGGTCCGCGAATCCACTGATAACTTCCTTCCTAAGTTCTACCGTCTGCTGTCTTGTCTACCCGGCTACTACACAATTTGAGGCATTATTCCTCTCTTACTTCTCTATGGTCTCCTTCCAGGTCATCGTACAAGTCACGAAGCTGGTCTCCAGAAACGACATCCACGAGGCGGTCTCGAAACGGTACTTTGTTCGGTACGGCAGCCGATGCATTTCTTCGGGGGGCCGCGAGATTTTGAAGGGAAAACAGTGGAAGGAGATTGCGAAGGAAGAAGCGGATGAATCATTGAGACCTCCTGGAAGCGGGATTGAAATAGGGGATGGAGAAACGTGGATTGAATTGGATGGTACGGAGAAGTTGTGGTGCGAGACTCACAGGGCATTTTTTGAGTTGAGAGTCTGGATTAAGGACAGTTGACTGCATGGTTCTTGCTGGGTTCTGTTAACTGGAAATCTCGGATGGCCGTTCAACTCCGGATTTAACTTGCGGTACCTTGAATAATTACAACAGGACTCTCTTCCCGTCATCGAGCCCAGTTTGACTTGATCTCTTTCCGCTCACTTAATTTTTTATAAATGGGATACGGAATACGTCCAATGGTCTCCTCCTCCGCATGCCCACTTTCCAGCTTGAATGTCCCTCGCATCTCAGAGTGGCACCCCTCCCCAAAGATGAACAACAGCATGATATCAAACAAGCCATTCACGTTTCGTGTCTATCACAACCTCACATTCACACCATTCCCCCCTTTCCTAACCTCGTCACACAGTTCCTCAAACTTGAAAGGACAGTCATAACCACCACACACAGCATTTCCACAATGCGCAGCGTCTCCCCTCTCATAATTCGTAACAGGTTCTTTTATATCATTCGCTTTTTAATATCATGTGTTATAGACCAGCTGTCCTAGTAACTCTGCCTACTCTTATTAGGAACCGTATCCCCTTTCCTTGTCCATCGTTTCGTTTCCTCCTACGAATTGATATAGACGACAGCCACAGTACTTCAAATCAAGCAGAATACCGGCCTAGGTATGGAGCCCGATGATTCCCCTCTCGCTCTCAAATTATTATGATTCACATAGGTTTCTGAACACTATTTAACGTTCGCGCTCTAACATGAATCCAGCTATGGGAGGCCATACACGGCGAATGATCCACATAGCGACTCCATAACGAAGAATGGTAGGATACGTACGAATGTACTCATTATGAGATCCGGTATCCTTTGACCATCACGATAATTCTCAAACCATTTCTCAAGCCATCACACTATCCAAGAAGCATGTCTATTCCTAAGCCCATATTCTGCTGCGGAGCACCCGTGCCAGTGAGCACATCGAATAGCAACAAGCCCCACAATGATCCAAACCGAGAACTTCACCACGCATTGTATCGATCATTCCTAGCCTTCGCGGAACGAAGACAACGGGCAGCGGCTCTGAGGGCGCTCATTCTCGGCGTCGATACTGAGCCAACACTGCCCCCACCCACGAATACACTTCCAACTTCCCAGCAGCAAATACCAACGCCAGTCCTCACCCGAGAAGCGCTTGAGAACAATCCCATTACTCCCAAGACGTTGTACGTCATTCACCTCACAGCTCGCCAGGATTTCGGACCCGTTCTCTCACACAGATACTTCGTGTGTCCGCTGAACCTGCAGCATGATTGGATCGAGGCTTCTCTAGAACAATGGTTCGCGACGGGGGAGCAGTTCAAGTTCACGGCCGAGAAGTGGGACCTTAAGTGCATAACAGACTCCAGGTTCTACCGGTTGACGCTGCGACCAAATTTGGCGATGAGGGCCAGTCCGTTGACTGTTGGAAATACCTAGAGGCTAGGTTTTTCTTAGGGTGGTGGCATATGAGATAGACAGTGAACATGGAGCAAGGAGACTCGTCGAACTGCGTTGCTTTATAAAATCGCTTTCAAGAAATTATCTTGTTCACATAGGGGGTGTATCGTTACGGTCCTGTTACCCTGAACAGCATACGTACGTCACTTGACGACCGGATTATTCAAGAAGCAGAAACATGAAATATTGGAGCATTTCTGAAAACCACCCTAGCTCTCATCGAACTCTCGAAGCAGACATACATTGGGACTGTAATGGGCTGTAAAGGCGTGAGCGTAACAGATAAACTCGGATTGACGTCGGCAGTAACAAGTTGCATTGACCAAGTCCCTCCAACCTCGGCTCTTCGCTAATCGCGTCTCCCTTGCAGGTCCTCTATCACAATCTACATTCACATGATTCTTCTGTCCCTTTCTTTATATCTTTTAGAAATCCTTGTCGAATATATTCATATCTCTATGTTCAAACTCTGTTCCCATCATCAAAATGTCTGAAATACAAGATGCAGCAGCGTCAGAACCTTCACCAGAAAAGTCAACGCCCCTCCCAGCGCCCTCCTCCCCACCCCGCACTCCATCAGTCGAGACTCTCCAGAGCTGGCTCCCCCTATATCTCAAGAAAGCAGACCTTACAATAGATCGCCTCTCCACGATCCTTTCAACTCCCTCCGGGACCGACACCATCCTCCTCACACTCGGCTACTCCAGCCTCCTCTGCTCCACGGTCCTCTCCTCCATCTCCCTGCGGCGGCTGCAAAACAGCGCCCGCCAATTCATCGAGAAAGCCATCTCGCTCCCCCCCAACACCGCGCTGATAATCGACACATCTGCGATCCCTCCCTCACGGCTCCTCATCGCCGCCCAACGACTCAAGGCGCTCTCGAGCCTCATTTCAGACTTCCGCATCTTCGCTCGCCTGTGGGGCCTCATAGGGATCTGGAAATGGGGAAAGAGCACGCTGGCACACCCGCCTGCGGATCAGCTATTGAGACAGATATCCTATGCGCAGGTGCTAGTCAATATCTTCTACCAGTACTTGGAGAACGGCGCGTATCTATCCTCCAAGGGCGTGGTGGGCTGGAGCTCGGAGAAGCAAAATAAAGCCTGGTTGTGGAGTTCGAGGTTTTGGATGGCCCATGTAGCCCTGGATTTTGTGCGCCTGTATCGGGAATATGCGCAGCGGAAGAGTCGAGCTGCGGGTGAGGTGAAGGATGATGCGGTTACGGAGCAAGGAGAGGCGGAGTGGAAAGCTAGGTGGAGGAAGGAGATGGTGGTCAATATGGCTTATGCGCCCTTGACGCTGCATTGGAGTTTGGAGAAGGGCTTGGTTGGAGACTTCTGGGTGGGACTGCTGGGAAGTATAGTTGGTATCACGGGATCGAGGGTTCTGTGGAAGAATACTAGTAAGTCGTAAGGGCAGGAATGCAATATCAGCTCTTCACTGTCGCTGGGACGGTATCTTTCAGACTGTTGGCAATATTGTAAATGTAGCATGCACGGAAACGAACTCAAGGATAGACAAATCAAAAATGGAGACAGTAGGTTTACTTGTCATGTAAATATTAGGTACCTAGCCGTGGATCATAATGGTTTCTTGGGTCATCAGCATGCATCATGAGTCTGTCATTGCCGAATATTTGGATCCGAAAGTGTCAGTAAACAACATATGAGTGAAGCTTCGACCTACTCCTACCCAAGGTAACTAGCGGATTCGATGACAATTTCAAAAGATAGAACAGAGATCCTACCTATAGAGAAGCAATCATCAACCCACTCAACTATGACATCCATCGATAAATAACCAGATATCACATCTTCATAATCCCCAAGCCATTCCCTCCTTCTCTCCAACCCAAGATTATTTCAAGCCTGGTCGCTACCTCCGGATGGGTAGCAATCAGCGTCTGGAAAGAATGAGACCGGCTCAAAGCACGGAAATTATCTTGATCCTGGAGCAACTTCTTGAGCCAAGCCTCCAATCCCTCGTTCACTTTGCCAGACATCGTTATCGCGCCACAGATCTTGGTGAGCTCCTCGCTCCTCAGGGGATAGTCATCATCGTATTTCTTCAGCGCTTGCAGGGAGTATTCCACGGCGGATTTGGCATTGAGGTTCGATGCCAGTATGTTCACGCCGACGAGATCAAGGAGCGTGTTGACGTCGCAGGTCTCTTCGTTGATGAAATCGATCAGCAGTTGAACGACGTGGTCTGGGACCTCTTCCTCGGACTTCTTATCCACGAACTTGACGAGCTCCCCCTCGAATTTGCTCGAGTCTGCCAGGTAGCTCTTTCGAACCGTGTAGGACTTGCCCCGGACCGTGACATTCTTCGTCTTGAAGGAGTACTCTTTCTTGGCTTGCGGCTCCGAGTTGTCGCATCCGCATGAATGCTTCCTGCATGCACAACCATGATCGCGATCGCTGTTATGCCCATGATCAGAGTCACATCGAGGACAGCCACCGCGGGATTTGTCGTAAAGCTGACCCAAGGTGTACAGGTCTTCGGGTGTTAGGTCTCGAAAGTCTCTCAAATCTGCCAACCTTGCCAAAGCTCCCAAGCCTCCCGTGTTTCCCAGATTTCCCACGTTTCTTGGGTTTCCCAGGTGTCCCAGGTTCCCCAGGTGTCCCAAGTTACCTAGGTTTCTCAGTCCAAGGTTGACTAGGTTTGGCAGGTTTCGCCCGTTTCCTAGGTTCCCTATATTTCCCAAGTTCCCCAGATTCCCCAAGCCTCCCAAGCCTCCCAAACCTCCTGACTGACCCAGTCCACCCAACCCCCCCGAGCCAAGTCCTCGTGAGCCGCTAAGATAAGCCTCAAGATCGCGGATTAAGTTCGCTCGGGACTCCGCGCCACCGTATCGATCGGGATTCTGCCCTCGTCGACCTCGCAGGGGCGCCTCTCGTAAACCCAATTCTCGTTGAGCCGCAACGCCAGCTGGATATCCACTATCTCGAAGCCCTAGTCCCCCTAGACCAATGTAACCACCGTCTCCCCTCAAGGCTTGCCCCCGTGGTGAACCAAGTCTTCCATACTGCTGCTGCCCGTCACGTGCATCAGCCCGAAAACCAAAGGGTCCTCGGATGGGGGAAAGCGCCAGCTTGTCAGGGTACATATTCTTCTTTGTGTCTTTTCAGGTAATGAGAAAAGGAAGCGATTGAATATGTTGAACAACCGGGACGGTTGTGGGGAAGACTGAAATCCGAACCTATATGTATCTTCTTACCTCCAGGAGCTCAGGAGTCATAATATCCATAGTGCAACGTGGTGCGAGCTCCCGTTGCAAGACGACAGAAATATGACTTACTCCCGTCCGTGTGTGTGTGTCGTAACAAAAAGACGACGTGTAAAATAGAGACTGGAGAGTGAACGTTACCTTATCAACCAACGAGTCTCACGTCAAAATCACACGGGCTATGCAATGCAAACAAGCGCCGGTGAAATTCATGTCTGACAAGTTTGAGAACCACTGAGATCGCGAATATACAAAGAGTCGAGGCGAATTTTCTGCTGTGTAATGAAAGTTCCCGAACTAGAAGCAAGCACGCCTGGCATGAACCGTTGAAATACACGTTTTCGCTACAAACAACTAGTTATTGGTTTCAATCCCACCATTAGAGAAACCGTATTAAGAGAGCAGCCCCAGCCGGGCGAGGCTTCAGCGGGGACATGCGGACACGAGGACACAGCAACCCTGCGAAACCCCGAACCCTTGATTTCCAATCATCTAGTAGTTTTTGGGTGCTCCGGGGTAGTCATCTCTGCCTCCCCGGCTCTCATCAAAGTGTCTCTTTCTCAAAGCTGCAAGACGCTTCTTCTTGGTGACGGAGTTGACGTATGTCCCAATGCAAAATGCAACAATGTTGAAGAATGGGACCCAGGCATGCTCGGGAAGGAATTTCTGCGCGAAGGCGAGAGTCAGAGGGGAAGTGACCCAGCTGACCTTCATGACAGGCATGAAACCCGCCTTCCAGGTCGCGTGGACTTGATGAATGGTCCTCGCGCCGGCGATAATGGCCATTGATATCAGGTATACAGTGTTCTGGATAGGAGCAATCTTGTATCGTTTGTTAGCACGGATCGAGATCCAAAAAATGGTTGAGACATACAATTAGGTTGCTGACAAGAATCTGGAGGATCTTGGCCCTCAAGCTGGTTCGGCCGGCAAACAGCTTCTGGAGGATGTTGATCAAGACGTGACCCAATGGTGCGCTGATGAAAGCTCCATATGCAGCCATCTTCGGGACTCGGGAAGTGAAGTAATGACCATTCTTATTACGATCCTTTGCAATCCACGATGCGAGCAGTTCTTGTAAAGCAGATAATGACCCGGATGTCAGCATCTTGGTTCGGAGGGGGTTTGTCTGAAGTTGCCTGAGGTAGGCCTGTACGAGGAGCAGCTGGTCAGCATTCTGCCAATGTGACAAGCAGCTCTGGACTTACAGCCAAGTAACCAGGCTGGCCAACATTTGCCTTGCCTCCAGTCAACGCAACACCGATCTCATCTGCCAATTCGTGTTTGTGTCTGGGCAGGGGAATGCCCTGGGAGCCGGCGGCCTGCTGTATGGTCTCTGTAAACTTGACCGACATTGCGACAATTGGGAATTGTGAGATTCCGGGGTTCTGCAGATAGGATGCTCGTTAATATAGAGTTCTTTCGGCGGCAACGATGCCGAGAGCTTGAGTAAGTTGGGCAAAGACTCAATGTTTACAGTCGCAGCCGAGGCTGTCGCGCGACAATAGACGAGTTGTGCCATTCATCAAGACCGGGGGGAGCAAGGGACCGAGAGAACTGACTGACCTATGGTGTGTGTCTCTGCTGATACACCTAGCGAGAAGTGGTTTGATTCAGAGAATGAAGACAGGTGTGGTGTCGGTGTACTGTAGATGTCGTGCTCCTTATTGAATCGGCACACGGAGGATTATTGACAGGACAAAAGCCAAGGTTCCCCAAAGTGGATTGAATGCGGAGCAAGCCGCGCTAAGAGCTCGATGTCGCAACGACAGCCACGACAACGGACAACGGCTGATAACCACCTTAACCGCGTTTCTTGCCGAAGAAGATTTCTAGATTCCTTACGAACGCCGTCCGTTATTCATTGTTCGCTTTATTGGTTCACCCGCGCTCAAGTGAGACGCTTAATAGGAATTGACCATAACTACTAGGTAGCTATGTTTCCCGTTGTCGTGCCCCATCCGGCTGTGACAAGCTCCGGAGTGTGTGGCCTTGTCCTTCGGAGGTCGGCGATGGCTCCACAACAAGCTCTGGTTCTTCGTCCTGCTCCGCCTACGAAGATGAACGGAGCAGAATCCTCTTCGTTTTATGCTTTGACGGGTTCGTCTTTTAAGAGGTAAGAAGAGCGGAGAAGGGTTATTCTTTGTTTTGCATGTTGCTTCTAGAAAACTTGGATTCGAGATTGGGGAATATTTACTTTGAACTATTCGTTGCTGTACTCTTGATGTCTCTGCGAGCTGCAATGTTTACTGTTTACTCGCACGCCCATTTACAAATCCTAATATCATTGCCCATGTGGTATCGATTTTGAAATGTAGGACTAAGGGGCAGTGGGACTCTTGAGAGCTTTTGCTATTTTCTCAGCACATATCGGCGAATACTACTCGTCTAGGCCAGCTTAATCAGGTCAAAAACCAAAGGGCTGTTTGGATTTCTATGTAGAACACTAAAGATTTCTACTGTTCTTGAGTACGTGCGAGTGCTTTCCATTCAACTATTCTAGAGTTCTGAACGAAAGTGCCATGAATTTTATTCTGGGGTTCAGAATTTCTTTACATGCGAGAGCTTGAAAGTTTCAACTACACGTGCCGCGCCCAACCCCAAGTAGGTACCTACCTACCTACCAAGGTTGGTATCTTCTCACCCCCAACATTTGGAATACGCGCTCTGCTTGTTCTCCAAGCAGATGAGATAATACCAACAGATCCCTCGTATCTCGACGCGCGGGTTCAAGTATGGCGACTCCAAACTCTACGCCCAGTCGCTCGGCCATACCAACAGCTACACCTTCCGCAGCCCGTCAACGTACTAGGTCCCGAAGCCACACCAGGTGTACACATATGACAATGACCCGCTTGTACACCCAAGACTTTAAATGTGAGATCTGTCTCCAGATTCCGTCAATAGGCTGGCTGTGGAGATGTAGCCAAGACCGAGAATTGATGCTGGAACATGCTCTGGAGCGTGGCTATCTAGTAGGTACCAACCAAGCAGTTTAGAGCTGCTCGCTGACGGATAGAAGGAGAAGATGGATGGTCTCAGTGACATCTTTCCAGTACCAACTTCGCCGATGAAGGGAAGTCCCGCTGCCCGGGTATCGAAGTTCAGCTTTTTGGAGGAGGTTAGTGAGGAGGCCCTCAAAACATACACACCAGAACAGGTGACCCAGATACTCAACCAGAGAGCTCGTGTGAGTAACTACCTCTTCAGAAGCTTACTTAACGCGATACCGAAGCTCGAATTACTGACAAGACTCTAGGTATTGGAGGTAGCTAGAGGGATGGATCCTGCAACCCCAGACGACGAACCGATTCGTTCAACCGGCTCAACCGATAATACTTCATCACCATCGCGCCCAAAACCTTCTGAGTCTCCATCAAAGAAACCCGCAAAGCCACCGAGAAAACCCTGGTTGCCTGCGAATGGTACAGAGTGCCAATTCAAGTGCTGCCACCATTGCCGACGTTCTTTCTCCAGCCGGGGCTTCCTTAGTCTCAACGGAATAGTCAATGGTGACCTCCCTCTAACTGTAACCACTGGCTTTGGATTCCATCTTCAGAAACACAGACCTGTTGCCCTTGTCAAACACGTAAAGAACCTCGGTCTTCGACCATCTCCCCCTCCAGTAAGTAATTAACGTCCCTATCCATGGCAATCATGACTTGTGACACTCCTAACAAATCCCAGCGTGACCCGAATTCCAGCCCCCAAAGAGTGCAAATGCAACAGAGAAATCAAGTACACTCACCAGCAATTCGTCGCCGAGAAGGGGGACGGCGGATTGCTGGGGGAAAGGGGCGTGGAAAGGAGTCGGGGTCGACGAGGCCGAATCCTAGACCCGGGGGAGGGGGGCGGCGGACGGCTGGGGGGAGGGGGCGTTGGAGGGAGATGGGGTCGACGAGGCCAAATCCTAGACCTGGGGGAGGGGCAGGTCTAGGACTCGGTCTCATCGACCCCGCCTCCGCGAACCCATTCCTCGAACGCCCCCTCCCCTCAGCAGTCCGCCGCCCTCCCCCCCCAGGTCTAGGGTTCGGCCTCGGCGACCCCTTCTCCATCCAACGCCCCTTTCCCCCAGCAATCCGCCGTCCCCCTTCCCCAGGTCTAGGACTTGGTCTCGTCGACCCCGCCTCCGCGATGCCACTCGACCAACGCCCCCTTCCCCCAGCACCCCCTATCCGCGATCCATCCTCTCCCTTCAACATCTCCATCTACAACCAACAACGCCAGCCAATGACTCCCCGAATCGCTCCCCAAATGCCTCCCCGCCACCGCCAACGCTCCACCCCCAGCACCGCAAATTTCGAAATCGCAGTCCGCACTCCGCTGCCCGCGCAATCACCCCAAGAGCTAGCCACCATCTCCACGCCCATGACGCCGATGCAGGAGAGCGAGCGGGTCGGCATCCTCGGTAGAGCGCCGCTGGATCTGGGAAATGGCGTTGCCGTCACCGAGGAGGCTGTCGGTTTGCACGTTCCGGATCTGATTACGCAGTTCTGAGCTTATGACGTTGGGAATGGGCACGGCGTACGTGTGTTGGAGTATTGGGAGTTGTGATTACAGAGGGCATTGTTTGATTATTTGGATTTGTGACAGTCTTTGCGCAGTGGTTACGAAGGAGGACTTGCGGAGTTATGCGTACCTGGCTGGTTGGAGCGCTTTCCTCGAATGGCTGGATGGATGGCATTGAATAGTGAGCTTGCTGTTTTGTATCCTATGTAGGCTAATTTACTCTTGTCCATTGTATACAAGGCGTGCAAATGAGAATAACAGAATGCTTTTCGGAATAACGGTAAAGGAAAAGTCATAACAGCATTACATTTTACTTCGTACTTCGTACAGACTCGTAAGTTCGTAACACTTTCGTAAAGCCCCCAGCATGCCAGTGCCAATAGACCAGGCCCAGCCATTTTCGTATGTACGTTCATTTTCACCTCTGAACACCCCAGAGTTTCCGCATAACCATTATCGAGAACGATTGGTCTTCGTCTCCTGATCCTTCCTTTTCGCTAGCAAACTCTTGAACGCCCCCAGCGATTTATCCAATCCTTCTTCATTATGAGCGCAGAATTTGTAGCTCTTCTCTTCCGTAATAACTTGCAAGCAATGCCTCTTCGTTTTCGAAAGGGGATCAATCTCCACAGCATTGATGACGGAGGACAGCGGTATTATGAGCGTGGGCGAGTACTCGGAGTCGTTTTTGTACAGAGCGAAATTCCTCGGCCTGATTACAACCCACAGGTCCTTCCACTGCCGAACTCCTCCTTTGTTTTTCAGGTATAGGAGGTAACCCTGCCACACGACACGCTCGGGATCCAACTCCATGTTGAAACCGCTCATCTGGCTTATATTTCGTCCAAGCATCGGTCGGTCACCGGCCTGAACAGCCCCGGGTTCTTCTGGTATGGAGACACTAGAAGTGCCTCGAGCTCTTGACGGTTCAAGGTCCGAGAAGTCTGATTGAGACGCTAATTCGTTCCCAGAATACTCAATTGTATGCGATGTCCGTCGCTGGCCAGTGAGACCGAGGGCTTTCGTTCTTGCCGTTCGAGGTATAGGATCGTGGGGTTCGGGGGAACTGGATCCTAGTCGGTCATCATACAATCGTCTTGACTGATTGTAGTGTTGCATTGCTCTGTCAAACCCGTTGTATGTGCCTGTTCCATTTCCTCCGGGACTCGCAAGGAGCAACTCCTCTTCTTCCTCTTCGATTCGTGCTTCTCTTCTTATAAGGTCGACCCATTCCTCAGCGTCCCTTCTCGACGCAGCTTCGAGGTGATAGTTACGCGACGGTGAGAACAAACCAAAGACATTCTGTCGCTTTTGCTTGGGATCTTTGAGGAAGGCGACGGCAGTGAGGTCTGCCAGGTTGATTTTTTGCCGCAATTTGTCCTCGTTCTGGTCTTTGTATATCGACAGGTAATTCGCCCGAAGGACTAGGAATATAGGCTTCCAAGCCTACAGTAAGAATTAGCATAGAGGTCTCGTCTTAGATACTCCACGGCATCTTCACCTTTGTCTTGCGAGTCCGCTTCTGGACGAAACCGCTTTTGAGGACACGATCACACTCGTAGCTTCCATTCTGGTTGACTGGAGAAAACACGTCGGGATTGAGATAGGAGTTGCGCAATCGACTTGCGGAGGATGGGGCCACAGTAGCTGAAGATCGAGCAGGCATCTGGACAGCCCCAGGTATTGGTTGAGGCTGTGATGCTTCTGGCAGAGGTGCGTGCTGTACATCCGCCATGGTGGCGCGTGCAAGAGTCAATAGAAGGTAGGTAGATGAGGTCTTGGAGACGCGGAGACAGTGTGCACCACTTCCTTTCCTCCTGCACGAGCGTACTGTTATTACTGTAGGCGCGTTTGGCGCACGGTCTGTGGAGAGGGGACGGGTGTGATTCGGGACCAGCCAGCTGCTTGTTGGGAAATCACAACCCCCCTCTGTATTCCTCTCAACAGCTTGATGTCCAAGGCGCTCTGCCCATGGTGAACATTCAAGTCGGAGGATCGCGAGCACTGGCCTCGGAGGCTGGGAGTTACCAGGGAGGCGCTCTGTGCGGTGGAGCTGAAACGGGGATGCTGGTTGTTCTGAGGGAAGAAGGCTTCCAGGCCAGCCAAGCCATTCACCGGCTACGGCGAGGCGAAATGTGATGTTGCAGGGACGCGGAGCTTCAAGAGATGGAGCAACGGGAATAGCAACACAGAAGGGGATTGCTTCATGCGCAGAATCCTGCGGATCAGGGGGAGAAGCGATTGGTATTGGTATTCGGGCGATGGGCGATGCGAGAAATAAGAGGAACCTGGCCTGCTCGGTTCGCTGATGTGTTGATGTGCTGATGCTGATGTGCTGATTTGCCCCCTGAATATACTATTTTCTGCGTATCTGTGCATCTTTGCCCGAGGCTCGAACAGTCGGTGAATGCCTCGTCAACCAGGCACCCGTCAGGCACACTTTACAGGACCCTGAACCCGTCAACCTTTGGCGGGGCTGGAGGGGTTAAGTGACGCATCTGCAGCCGCATCCTGAACAGAAAAAAACACCAAGGGAAAAAAGGGAAAAAAAGGGACAAGAAATCATCTCGACCGTACAGGTTTCGCAGAGCAATAAGTTCCCCCCCTTTGCGCCTCTGCTCTTTACTGGCTATTGGCGTACGCCCATTTCTTTGAAACATAACATGAAGGATCATATCCAAAATGCCTGTCGTTAACCCAGAGAAACTGGTCGCGCTACAGCGGAATCCAGAAGGCATTAGAAATGTAGGTCAGACGGAGGGCCAGGTTTGTACCACAGCTAACATCATCTCAAGATCTGCATATTAGCCCACGTTGTAAGTCGCATCCGCCCGCGGTTCCTCTGAGCTTTTACTGATAGAGTAAATAGGATCATGGAAAAACTTCTCTTACAGACGCTCTTATTGCCACCAACGGCATTATCTCCCCGAAGTTGGCTGGAAAGATCAGATATCTGGACTCTCGGCCAGATGAGCAACTGCGGGGGATTACTATGGAATCTTCTGCCATCTCTTTATACTTCTCTATGCTACGGAGGTCTGCGCCTGACGCGACGCCAGAACAGAAGGAATACCTGATCAACCTGATAGACTCACCTGGACACATTGATTTCAGCAGCGAAGTGTCGACTGCTTCGCGGCTTTGTGATGGCGCTGTCGTTCTAGTGGACGCTGTAGAAGGTGTGTGCAGTCAAACTGTGACTGTGCTACGGCAAACATGGGTTGAGCACATGAAACCTTTACTGGTGATCAATAAAATGGACAGGCTGATCACGGAATTAAAAATGACGCCTGGAGAAGCTTACATCCATTTAAGCAAATTGCTAGAGCAAGTCAACGCCGTTCTGGGAAGTTTCTTCCAGGGCGAGAGGATGGAGGAGGACCTGAATTGGCGAGAAAGAGTCGATGAGAGGATTGCTGCCTCTGCAGCCAAAGAGCAGGAGCGAGCAGACAGAGAAGCTGCCAGCGGAACAAACAACGTATCAGTAGACACCGATGCAGTTCCCCACCAATTCGAAGAAAAGGACGACGAGGACCTTTACTTCGCCCCCGAGAAGAACAATGTTATCTTCAGCAGTGCTGTTGATGGATGGGCTTTTACTGTCAGGCAATTCGCCAGCTTGTATGAAAAGAAGTTGGGTATCAAGCGAACAGCAATGGAGAAGGTTCTCTGGGGAGATTTCTACTTAGATCCCAAGACCAAGAAAGTGCTGGCACAGAAACATTTGAAGGGTCGGAATCTCAAACCAATGTTCGTCCAGCTAGTCCTCGACCAGATCTGGGCTGTATATCAAGCAACTACTGGTGGTGACAAGGGAAAGGGGTGCGTGGATCTTCTTTTCATCTTCTGTTCATATAACCAATTCAACCTGGCACATCAAACTCTGACCTGTACCTTTTTAGTGACCCTGCCATGACGGAAAAGATTACCAAGTCATTAAATATCACCTTGCCTCCTCATATCACACGATCTCGAGACCCTCGAGCCATACTCACAACGCTCTTTTCGGCATGGTTGCCTCTATCTACAGCGCTCTTGGTATCCGTTATCGAGTCATTGCCATCCCCGCCAGTCGCTCAACAAGGGCGACTGCCAGGCCTGATTGATAGCTCTCCAGGTGCTACGCACGTTGATGCAAAGCTTCGCGAAGCGATGGTGGAATCAAAAAGCTCTAAAGATGATCCAGTGGTAGTCTATGTTAGCAAGATGGTTTCTGTACCTGAGAGTGAGCTACCAGAGAACAAGCGCCGAGGCGGGACCTTGAGCCCCGAAGAAGCCCGGGAGATGGGCCGTCGGAAGAGGGCTGAGATTGCGAAAGCCCAAGCTCTAGCACAAGGAACAGAGCAGGATTCCCTGAATGGAGTCACTGATGCATTTGGCGGAGCAAGCCTTGAAGAAGTAAATACCGAAGAGGAGGTTCGAGAAGATCCGGAACATCTCATTGGATTTGCAAGAATATACTCGGGAACATTATCCGTTGGCGACTCTATCTATGTTCTTCCGCCAAAATTCACACCGGCAAATCCACACAATCAGCCCGAGCCACATAAGGTTACCGTCACGGCATTGTATCTGCTCATGGGCCGCGGTTTAGAGCCACTGACATCAGTACCTGCTGGTGTTGTCTTTGGCATAGCTGGGCTCGAAGGTCATATTCTCAAGTCAGGAACTCTCTGTAGTCAGCTTGAAGGCGGTATCAATCTTGCCGGGGTCAACATGGGAGCCCAACCCATTGTCCGAGTAGCTCTCGAGCCCGTCAGTCCAGCAGACCTTGACAAGATGATCAACGGACTCAAGTTACTTGTGCAAAGTGACCCTTGTGCCGAGTACGAACAGTTTGAGAGCGGTGAACATGTCCTCCTGACCGCCGGAGAATTGCATCTTGAGCGCTGCTTGACCGATCTCCGCGAACGATTCGCCAGGTGCGAAATCCAGGCCGGTGAGCCCATCGTGCCGTATCGCGAGACCATAGTCAGGGCGGAGGAGATGAAGCCGCCTGCAAACAAAGAACTGGGCAGAGGGACAGTTATTTCTGTCTCCGCATCCAAGCAAGTTAGCATCCGATTGAATGTTCGTCCTCTGCCTACAGAAGTCACGGAGTTCTTAGTAAAGAATTCCCGTGCTATCAAACGACTGTACTCTGATCGGCAAGCCGAACAGAGAAAGAAGGTCGGAGATGGCGAGCAGCGGACGGAGCAAGAGGAGGTCGACGAGGATGAGGTTCTCAACGGTACGAAAGTGCTGTCATTAGAAGAGTTCAAGAAACAGCTTCAGACTACCTTTGAGAGTGTAAAGGGCCAGCGAGACGTGTGGGCCAATGCCGTAGAGCAGATTACTGCTTTCGGGCCACGAAGGACAGGACCAAACCTTCTGATTGATGCTACCAAGGAGGGAATATGTGGACGATTGTACGTTGTTCCTCCTCCCCCTCCACCAGCACGATTGCTAACAACCCCAGTCTCCGTGATGCAGCAACAGAAGAGACCCGGCAAGCAGTTGGTCAAACATTGCAAGCAAGAGACTTTGCGGATAAGATCAGTTACGCATTCCAACTAGCGACTCAGCAAGGGCCACTATGCAACGAGCCGGTCCAAGGCATCGCCGTCTTCCTCGAAGAAGTAACCATCACAGCCGGAACGGACGAAGAATCCTTAGCACGAGATAAATTCGGCCGTCTCACCGGCGAGGTGATCAAGACCGTGCAGCAGGCCATCCGTCAAGGATTCCTAGACTGGAGTCCCCGTCTTCTCCTCGCCATGTACTCCTGCGAAATCCAAGCAAGCAGTAAGCACCCTCCCCTCCCCCCTTTCTCTCTCCCCAACCCCTACAAAACTCGCTAACACCCCCAACAGCCGAAGTCCTCGGGCGCGTCTACGACGTGCTCACGCGTCGCCGGGGCCGCATCCTCTCGGAATCGCTCAAAGAAGGGACGCCGTTCTTCACGATCCTGTCGCTCCTCCCCGTAGCCGAATCCTTCGGCTTCAGCGACGAGATCCGGAAACGCACGTCGGGCGGCGCGTCGCCGCAGCTCATCTTCCAAGGCTATGAGATCCTGGACGAGGATCCCTTCTGGGTGCCGTTCACGGAAGACGACCTTGAGGATCTGGGAGAGCTGGCCGATAGGGAGAATGTGGCGAAGCGATATATGGATAAGGTGAGGGAGAGGAAGGGCTTGATGGTTAGTGGGAAGAAATTGGTGAAGGATGCTGAGAAGCAGAAGACGTTGAAGAGATAGGGTAGTTTGGGGGGGGGGTGGGGGGGTTGCTTGGGGGGTTGTGGATTGTTGTATATATCATACCTTATCTGATACTCCGAAGATACGACGAAAGCTTTGCTCGTACCTAGGGAGACTGATATTTGATCTCGAAAAAAAACGAGTACGTCGTACAGTAGCAGGATGTGAAAGAAGTCAGAATATCATCAACCTCCTGCCCCTTTCCATCACAAGCGAGCCCCTCGTTATGTTGATCATGGAATATATCCAACTGGGTACGTAAGGTACTCAGATGGTTAGTGGGGTTTTGAACCAAGTATGAGATTAGTATCCGTGTTGGAAGGGCATGGGAAATATTAGGTCTGGGGGTGGGGAGAGGTGGAGGGGGAGATGGATAGGGGAGCGGTTGGTTTGAGAGTGCAGCAAGTGGGTATTTGTGAGTTTGGAGCAACTGACGTGTTTCACAAAGCATATTGACCATGCTCTGCTTCAACTTGCTCGCGTTATGAAATGAGAGGAAGGAAGCACAGCTTTGAATAAAAGGGATTCGCTAGTTAAAAGGTATCATCAGAGGCTTTTAAGAGTTTTCATTCATGCTAATACACCATGCAAAGCCGATGCTGCAGAGAAACTCCTATATCCCAGTTCCTTAATGCAAGATTTACTCGTCGTCTTCCTCGTCAGCCTCCAAGGTGGTCATCGCGATACCTGCACATATTGTTAATTTTTCCTTCTTTTTTTCGTTTTTTCAGAAATGTTGCTCGACTTACGGTCCAAATCCCGCTGTCCGCTCTGTGTGATACGTCGACCTCCCTTGTCCTCATCCTGCTCGAGAACACCGATCTTCTCAAGAGCCTGCATGACCTTGCGGTCAACGCTGCCGCTGGCATCGACGTGGTGCGATGGGCGGGAGCCACGGTTCTTGGTTGAGCCGTGGACCTTTCGGAGACGGCCAACACCGACGGTCTTGCGGAGGTAGACGTGACGGGCGATGGATGCGGCACGGACGTAGAACCAGTCAATTGATTGAGGTGGGAGCTCCTTTCCGGCACCAGTCTTGACAGTGTCAACCCAACCTAGGAGAGGAGGCTGGTTAGCAATGCTCTGAAAATTGAGAGGAGTGGGGAGAGAGGGGGGAGAGCGCAATCATACCAGGAATAGGAAGCTTTCCCTGCCTCTTCAAGAAAGCAGCGTATGCCTCGATGAACTTTTGCGCCTGAACACCCGTCGAATCAGCATTATTCCGTCAGCAGAGGTCTTTGCGACCCCCTCACGCCTGCTCCATTGTTCGAGAGAGATTGAAGGTTTGCGCGATTTGGACAGTCGGGCCGTCGATCCTCTGAATCTCAGCTGCCGGGTGCATCAATACTCACATCAACATCGCGAACGGAGACTCCACCGGCCATTTTTGCGGTAGATTGTTTGTTCGTGGGAGGGATGGTTGTCGAGGGTTGTCGAGGGTTGGGTTGGATGCTCAAAAGTTCGCGAAGTCAAATTTTGGGAATTCTTTCTGTGGGTTTGGTGAAGCGAGACGCTAACCCCCGGCCGAGTGACCTTGCCCCATCTGGATTCTGATCACGTGATAAAGATACCCTCAGGTGCTCAGGGCATTGACAGAGGGGTGCTACCTTACCTAGGTAGGAGGTGCTCAAACACAAATAACTTTTGCCCACCAGCGTGTATCGTGTGTAGCATTGATCTCGATTACATCATTGAGACCATTGCCCTGCTGAACCTCCATCTGTTTCGGCTACAACGGCGACAAGGGACGGAGGTAATGAGAATGGTTCATAATGGTCAATTGTACGAGCAATGTTTCTCCATCCTTTGAAAGGCTTGGTAAGGTAACTAACTATTCCTGTTGCTAGATATAGTATGTATCTTGGTCTCTACCTAAGGTACCTATCTATACCTTAGCTGTTGGTCCCTTTCCTACCTATTGCCCCGCACGTGATGGAGGGGTTGTTAGAGTCACGTGTGAAGTAGCTACTTGATCAGCTTCCAAAGCCACAACAACGAGGGGTTCGAAGCAGGGCGAAGGGCGTCTCAGGATCGACCTCATCCATTGGAGAAGAAGCAGTGGCAATGACTTCACCTCAACCACCAAGATCTGGACCGTTTGGCGGGACCGAAGAGTAGTGATGGGGCGACGATGATGCGAGATGTCAACAATGATAATTGTCCAGGCGACGTCATGGGCGGTGAGGCGAGTAGCGCACAGAGAGGGGCCCGCCCCGTGTGGAAATGGAAATGGAAGCTGGGAGAATATGCATGGCGATGCCGCTTCAAGACGAGAGCTGGAGATGGGAATAAATCGTAGAAAATAATATAAAATTAAAAATAAACTCGAGAACGCAGAGTACACATCCAGCATTTCCCAGAATCACCCAGGAAGCGCCCGACGTGCCGCGTGTGTTCCAGTGGTTTCCAGCTTGCTCTCCATCATTTTCATTGTCGAGCTTCGACCAGCTTCTTCCGCCTTCTAGTCAGGCTCGACACGAAATCCCACCACCCCATAAAATCACAGCCCTCTCGCATCCCACATCCTTCCTCTTCTTTCTTCTCCCAAGACATTTTCTCCATCCTCCCCCCATCCCTCAATCCTCTACACAGATATCCGCATCACATACACACAACAAAGAATCATCACACTCCTACCTCGTCCTTAATTCACAATCACCATGGCACCCGCCGTTGGTAAGTTTCCCCTCAACCCCACGCCATCTCCGCACGCCGGGTCTGACAGCTCTATAGGAATTGATTTGGGTACCACGTACTCCTGCGTGGGTATCTTCAGAGATGACCGCATTGAGATCATTGCCAACGACCAGGGTAACCGAACCACACCCTCCTTCGTTGCCTTCACCGATACCGAGCGTCTCATCGGAGATGCCGCCAAGAACCAGGTCGCCATGAACCCGGCCAACACTGTCTTCGACGCCAAGCGACTCATCGGTCGCAAGTTCGCCGACCCTGAGGTCCAGGCCGACATGAAGCACTTCCCCTTCAAGGTCGTCGACCGTGCTGGCAAGCCAGTCGTCGAGGTCGAGTTCAAGGGCGAGAAGAAGCAATTCACCCCCGAGGAAATCTCCTCCATGGTCTTGGTCAAGATGCGTGAGACCGCCGAGTCATACCTTGGTGGAACTGTCAACAACGCCGTTGTCACTGTCCCCGCATACTTCACCGACTCCCAGCGTCAAGCTACCAAGGACGCCGGTCTGATTGCCGGTCTCAACGTCCTCCGAATCATCAACGAGCCCACCGCCGCTGCTATTGCATACGGTCTCGACAAGAAGGTCGAGGGTGAGCGTAACGTTCTCATCTTCGATCTTGGTGGTGGAACCTTCGATGTCTCCCTCTTGACCATTGAGGAGGGTATCTTCGAAGTCAAGTCTACTGCTGGTGACACTCACTTGGGAGGTGAGGACTTCGACAACCGTCTCGTCAACCACTTCGTAAACGAATTCAAACGCAAATTTAAAAAAGGTGAGAGTCCCCCAAGTTCAATTCGCTATCCCCTGAGTTTAAATTATTATCAAATTTTGAATATCTGAACACAAAATACTAATTCAACTTTTACAGACTTGTCCACCAACGCCCGTGCCCTCCGTCGTCTCCGCACTGCTTGCGAGCGTGCTAAGCGTACTCTCTCTTCCTCCGCCCAGACCTCCATTGAGATCGACTCTCTCTACGAGGGTATCGACTTCTACACCTCCATCACCCGTGCTCGATTCGAGGAGCTCTGCCAGGACCTCTTCCGATCTACCACCCAACCCGTCGACAGAGTCCTTGCTGACGCCAAGATCGACAAGTCAAACGTTCACGAGATTGTCCTCGTCGGAGGTTCCACTCGTATCCCCAGAATCCAAAAGCTCATCACCGACTACTTCAACGGCAAGGAGCCCAACAAGTCCATCAACCCTGATGAGGCTGTTGCCTACGGTGCTGCCGTCCAGGCTGCCATTCTCTCTGGTGACACCTCCTCCAAGTCTACCAACGAGATCCTCCTTCTCGATGTTGCGCCACTGTCTCTCGGTATCGAGACTGCTGGTGGCCAGATGACCAAGCTCATCCCCCGAAACACCACCATCCCTACCAAGAAGTCAGAGGTCTTCTCCACCTTCTCTGACAACCAGCCCGGTGTGCTCATTCAAGTCTTCGAGGGTGAGCGTCAACGCACCAAGGACAACAACCTGCTGGGCAAGTTCGAGCTCACTGGTATCCCACCTGCGCCCCGTGGTGTTCCTCAGATTGAGGTCACCTTCGATGTTGATGCCAACGGTATCATGAACGTCTCTGCTCTCGAGAAGGGCACTGGAAAGTCCAACAAGATTGTCATCACCAACGACAAGGGCCGTCTCTCCAAGGAGGAGATCGAGCGTATGCTGGCTGAGGCCGAGAAGTACAAGGCTGAGGATGAGGCCGAGGCTGGACGTATCAGCGCCAAGAACGGCCTTGAGTCTTACGCATACTCCCTGAGAAACACTCTCTCCGACTCCAAGGTCGATGAGAAGCTTGAGCCTGCCGACAAGGAGGCATTGAAGGCCGAGATTGACAAGACTGTTGCTTGGTTGGATGAGAGCCAACAGGCAACCAAGGAAGAGTATGAGGAGCACCAGAAGGAGTTGGAGGCTGTCGCCAACCCCATCATGATGAAGTTCTACGGTGCCGGTGGCGAGGGTGCTGGTATGCCCGGTGGAATGCCCGGTGGACCAGGCGGCTTCCCAGGTGCTGGCGGAGCGGGTGCTACCCAAGATGATGGCCCAACTGTTGAGGAGGTCGACTAAACTGCTTCTCACGAATCTCTTTGGTTGGTTTCTTGCATTTGATGGCATCTTCCCCTGTGGGGGAGCGTTGACAGCTGGTGTCAGGCGGGGCTTTCTCTCATACTCTTGTGGTTAGACTTGCTTGCGGTTTGCGTTTCCTTTTTAATGCGACGACGATACACTGGGAAGGCTGGTGTTTTCTCATCCGGCACTGCATGATGTACTACAGGCGCCTTTATAAAAAAGTCAATAAACTTGGTAAAATTAAAATCTCTGTTCCCAACTGAATGTGATGCTGTGATATTCCACTTTGTCCATTCCCAAATGCAGGATGAAGATCCCTGAAGATCCCATATAGATCCCAATTTTTGGTGCCGTTGATAAGTTAAGATCGCCTAACGAGTCTCGAACCCCAAAACTATAAATAAGTGCGTCCCTAGATAACGCCCGCTTTCAGAAAAACTTTTAAACCGTATAAAATATTTAAACAAAACCAGCACAGATATCTGCCAACCATGGCTGCTGAATCCTCCCAACATGTGTCGAAATGTGCTTACTCGGAACGGGCAAAGAAAACCACCCACCCGTTATCGACGTATCTCCTGCGGCTCATGACCATCAAGCAGTCGAATCTCTGTCTCAGCGCCGACGTCTCAACGACCAGCCAGCTCCTCCACCTCGCCGAGACGGTAGGGCCGTCCATCGTGGTGCTCAAGACACACTATGATCTGATCAGCAACTGGGACTACCACCCGACGACAGGCACGGGCGCCAAGCTGGCCCGGCTCGCGCGCAAACACGGCTTCCTGATCTTCGAGGACCGCAAGTTCGGCGACATAGGCCACACGGTGCAGGCGCAGTACACCGAGGGCACCGCACGGATCATCGAATGGTCGCACATCACCAACGTCAACATGATCCCGGGCAAAGCAGTCGTCGACACCATGGCCGAGGCCGCCGCCCGCTGGAGAGAACGCAAGCGCTACGAAGTCAAGACGGACATCTCAGCGGGCTCGCCGCTCGCCGAGAGCCCCGTCTCGGAAGAGAATGAGAATGCGGGCGCGACGACGTCGTCGTCCCTCTCGCCAGACGACGTGGAACAGCGGGAAGGCTGCGCGCGCGACGGCCGCAAAGCAAGCATCGTCTCCATCACGACGGTGTCGCAGCACTTCGAGCCCGTGAACTCGCCGCGGGCCTGGGGCGAGACGTCGGGAGAAGAAGAAGGAGAAATATTCGCGGGGATCGAAGAGGCGCCGCTGGAAAGGGGGCTCTTGATCCTGGCGCAGATGTCCAGCAAGGGGAACTTCATGACGCGGGAGTACACGGATGCGTGTGTGCGGAGCGCGCGCGAGCACCGCGACTATGTCATGGGCTTCATCTCGCAGGAGACGCTGAACTCCGAGCCCGAGGATCAGTTCGTCAGCATGACGCCCGGCTGCCAGCTGCCGCCCGAGACGGAGGACGAGGATGCGGAGATCCAAGGCGACGGACAGGGGCAGCAGTACAACACCCCGCGGAAACTGGTTGGGCTGCTAGGCAACGATGTGATTATCGTCGGCCGAGGCATCATCCAGGCGGCGAACCCGGTGACGGAGGCGGAGAGGTACAGGAAGGCGGGCTGGCTGGCGTACGAGGAAAGAATCCGTTCTTCTTCATAGATGGGAGAGAGAGCGCGGGGGGGGAGCTTTTTGGGAGTATATGGGTTTTTTGGGATGGGAATTCACAAAAGAAAAAAAGAGCGTGTGCGGTAAAAGGTTGGAAATATCATATCGGCGAAAAGGCCAAGATACCCAGAGGGGAGGGAGGGTTAAGATTGCATGCGTTTTTTATTGCTGGGTGATGAAAAATGCATACTTTTTATCCAAGACTCCTTCCTGACTCCTGTGATTCATTCCGTAAGGAACACCAGGCCAAACAAAAAAGACACCTGATCTGGCTCTTGCATACCCCTATCCTAGCATACCCCTATTCTACCTACAGTATATTGGCCCCCCCCTCATACCGCAGACTTCCCAATGCAGGCACAATCCTTCAATCCACATATCCCGAGCAAACAAATGCATAGAACACCACCTTATGTTACCTAAACCCCATTCCAAGAACAACGACACGACAACAACCCCCTGTCTTTCCCACCCAACAAATCCCTCCCATCCCCATTTTACCTACTAACGCACACATATATATATATATATATCATCAGTACATCATAACAAATTACCACTTCCATCACTTATATCCTGTTTCTACCAACAGTAGGTCGGATAATCATTTACTTAAGTAAGTAATCGTTAGGATGAATCAATCGCACGGGGAAGAATAAAGGGAGGAGGAAATGTCGATTCTGGACCGGTAAGGAACTTTGATGAATAAGGAGGTTGAGATCGAGAATTAGCTAACTAGCTAGCTAGTCCATTTTCACTTGCCCAGTGAATCAATCAACCTCCTTGCTGTGAGAGGGGTACCAGACAGAGACTGTGCGTGTGCATTTAGATAGAAGTCGCGGGTTCTGGAAATCAATATGTTTTTCAGTGATCGAGATTTGCGCAATAAATTAGAATAGAGCATATAATATTATCAGGAGCTCGCGAGGAATAGATATATACATCTGCTAAACATCGATCGTACAAAGGAGTTGGTTGGGTATAATAATACATAGACAGACACATTGAGCTAGCTATCTTCCCTACTGCTCCGTAGATAGGATCTTCTTCAATACCCCTATCTCTTTCTCCCACGCCTCGATTTTGCCTTGGCTGACAGCTAGCTTATCCAATAGGTACTGCACTCTCGGCCAGACTTCTCGGGGCTGGCTCGGTAGACTGCCGAGTGCGTTCAGTTCTGTTTCGTACTTGTCGATGCTCTTGGTCTCGATCTTGGTTAGCTCTGTGAGGATTGCTAGATCAAGCCTGGACTTTAACACGCGGTCTTCGGTTAACAGCTTGAAGGCAGCTTGATAGACTGGCCTCCCAGCTTTGATACTCATTGGCCGTCCCTTGTAGTTATTGATGGTGATGAGTTCAGCTGCAGACAAGGCTTCTAAGACTGCCTCCCCGTTGGAAGCTGTTGGGGTGAGGGAAGAAGCAAATGTATTGGAAAGAAGGACCTCGTTGTATCGGAGACTCTCTTTCTCAGCGAGCGATTTGATAAGGAACCAAGCTTGCTCAGTAGACCACTTGAGATCTGCTTTGTCGATGGCGAGCAGATACATCTTGAGAATTTCGGATGCACTCTGATCTATGATCTCCACTACTGCACGCCTGGGGGGCTGGCCTGTCTTGAGCCTTCGCGCAAAGAATTCAAGGTCCGTGAGTCGTCCTCCAAGGACCTGGATACATTCGTCCAGCTGCTCCAAATCTCGGCGACGTTGGCTGGTTGTCAGTTTATCCTTGTTGCCTGAATCAGGAATGTCGGTGTCTGGATCCAAATGGCTGATTACAAACTTCCTTGCGACCTCAGGGGTGATATCCCCAAGTGAGATTTGGCGGAAGACCCTGTCTGGTAGAGCCTTGCTCAAAGACTTGGAGTAAGAGATGTCGTTGGTGAGGAATATCACGTGGGCGATATTTGAAGTTGTTAACCCAGCAGCCCACTCGCCAATCTTATCATATACGACACCGCTCTCCTCGTTCTTGTGCAAGAAATTGTCGATGACCACCACAGGCCGACATTCTGGGTGAGCTTCGAGCCAATCATCATCACTCAACTGGCTGTCTTTGTCATCTTTCTTGCGATGTTGAAGCGCTACCTGCTTCAGGGCCGTTGAAGTATTTTGCCAGATCTTGGCGAGTTGTTTATCGAGCGTCTCCGAGAAGCCTGACTTGACGCCAATTGTACCTTGAACAGCCAGATCGATCATGCTGCTGATGGAATTCATCCAAGAGAACACTGGGTAATATCCAACAGCTGCAGCCGCAGCCTTGATAGTAGAAGCATCGCCTCTCGCTTCTTGTATCGGCTTACAGTCAATAAGCAATGTATTTGGCCTGCCCTTCAATGCTTGATCAATGACAAGCTCTTTCTTCCCTGATCCACGAGGTCCCTGCACTATTATAAAAGTCTCGGTCGTTTCGATCAACCAGGTTTGTAGCTGTTCGATGATAGATCTTCTGTCGTCCCAGATCGCAGAGAAATTGACTGCTTCTGATTTGCCAAGGCGAAGGGAGAGCAAATCTGTTGCTTGGCTCTTGAACCATTTGTAGACTTTATTGTTACTGATATTGAATGAGCGGTCTATATGAGTCTTGATGAAGAAGGTTCTGATAGGATCGAAAACCGCTACAGTGAACGTAGCGAGCAGCGCTGCCACGGCCGGAATGACAACTCTCGGATGATTGACAATCCAGTCTCTGATCCAATGTGATTTCGTTTTCGGTTCGTAAGAAAGACGTAGCACTGTGCCAGCCTTTCCACCCCCAGCTTCTTCTGATACTTTGAGACCATGTAAGCAGTTCTTGGCCCTGATGGCATGCTTCATTCGGGTGAAGTCCAGATATGCATATTTGGGTAAGACTTTCGAGTCCGCAGGTTGAGAGGTGATTTCGGCAAGCTTCCCATATTTTCGGAACAAAGAATAAAGTGTTTCTTGAGACAGTTCAGCTGCTTCAAGGCCTGGGCTTGGAGGAACAAACTCGACCTTGATTCGAGTGCTAGGGAATCGATACAAGTCCTCGAGCCAGGGCTTGCCAACAACTAAATTAGTCCTAATTCTTTGAAACGGCGAGAACCATGGCTTTATGGGATTTTCTTCCAGATATCGAGAGACAAGGCCTATCATTGTTAAATCTATCTTTAAGATGGATTTCCAGCATACCTTCTATTTCTTTTGCTGAAATTCCATCGGGATGAGAAAATTTGACAAATGCACCCCTTAAGAATATGAGCACATGTTGCGTTAGATTGGAATGGCCCTACCCGTCTTTAAACCGCGGCAATATTTCCGTGACCTTTATAGGGACGCTTGAAGGGAGGGCGCGTTTGACCAAAGTGAGAGGGTGATATGAGGAGAGCTTTTGATTGTTGAACCTCCATAAAAGCTCTGGCAGACTTCGATCGTTATGCCATGGTAATCGAAGGAGCCAATTCTTAACTAGAGGAAAGAGGTCTATGCAGCTGATTAGATCTTGACATAGAGACATAGAGCACACTAGACATACTTTCAAAAAAGAGAATGCCTTCATTTGGACCTGCAGATATATGTCCACTTTTGCCTTCTCCAGTTTCCGTGCTCGCCCTGAAGTAGGTCAGCAAACGCTATCTCTGAATGGCCTCCCAAGGGTTGACTACCTCCTCACTCCTCGCCATATGCCAGCACTCTCAACCTTTATAGCCCTTGGACCTGTCTTTGGACTATTTCCAGCATTGTAAAAGTCTCGAGTCTGCAACCTTGGAGGCCTTAAACCAGGCACACTCGTAGGATTGAACAAGACGCGTCTGGTGCTCTGCATCGTCGCGAATTTTTCGAGTTGTTTTGAATGACCAAGTCTCCACTACATATCGTACTTCATAACAAAAGATCAGTATCTAAAGCGGACCAGAAGTGAGCGCAAATTGCGGCGAGATCAACGCATAAATAGTCCCAGCTTCGCGAAACCAACTGAGGTCATAAGGCTGAGAGATGAAGGTAATTCAAGCCCCACCCAGATCACGTGTTTCGAGGACCCCTGCACGAAATTCCGGAGCGACATCTCTCAATGCAAGTCTCAGCCTTACCACCACAACCCGCCCCTTTCACATCCAGATACGTTTGCAATGGGTTGGCTTTGGTCTAGTCCTTCAGAGGCCGCGCCCTCTTCAGCCCAAGAAAATACCACATCCTCTCCACAATCCGCGGCCGCGCCCCCAGCCGCGCCAGACCACCAGACCTCTTCGAAACCCTTGACCAGAGAAGAGCTCGCAGAGAAAGAACTGCAATCCTTCCTCCAAGAAATCGAAGCAGACACTCGACCGAGCAGTACAAAGTACAATCGAGTTCCACGGCAACCACCGTCTCCAAACAGCAGTCCCAATGACGAGCCTCTGTCCGAACAGCTGCTCCCCAGAACCATGAGCTGTAGAGAGGCCTTCGATGCGGCGTTCTATTGCAATTCGCTGGGTGGGCAGTTCAATAATCTATATCGCTATGGTACGGTGAGGTCGTGTTCAGAAAATTGGAGTGATTTCTGGTTCTGTATGCGTACCAGAACTCTGGGGGATAAGGAGAAGGAGGAGGCGATCAAGGCGAGATATAGGGAGAAGGAGAAGAGGAGATACGGGAGGGATGAGATTGGAAAAAGCAGCGAGGATGTGTGGAAGAGTCGGGAGAAGAAGATGGAGTGGGGAGAAGCATTTAATACCCCCTTTCCAGACTTGCCCGCGAATGACGAAGAATGGAACCGGATGGAGAGGGAGAGGAGGGCGAGGGTGCAAGGCGGCACAATTTCATGAGTTTTTGTTATTGATGTATAAATAGTAATAGTCTGGGCATGGCGATCAGAGGCGTCCAGACACTGGGCCTTGTTAAAAAATCAGGTTAACTTGAAGCATCTAGATACGATTCCCAATATATACGAATCCACTCCTCCGTGTAAACCCGCCCCGAATTGTTCCACCAGCGCAATGCAAATCGACCCAGCGCCATTCCCATCCTCGTAAATTGCGTAGAGCATAGCCATCCCAGAGCTTCCGTCGGTACAATAACGGACCATTTTGGCACCTTGCCGCGATCCCTAATACGCCAGGCGCCGTCCATCATCTGCTGAATTTGAAAAGCCGTTCCATCCAATGCCTAGTACACGTTTCCAACGCCATCATATTAAATTACATTCACTGCGGTCTCTGCATTCCCATACCATTTGGCATCCCGCCGTGTTGAGCCGCCATCATCTGTTGCTGCTGCTGCATTCTCGAGACGCTCATCTGCTGCACTTGTGCTGTAGCAGTTTGTTGACATCGACGTCTGAAATCCATATGAACGTCTTCGGGTATCCCACTAGGGTATTGAGCGTGGAGTTGGGGGATTTGTTGCTGATAGATTTGTTGTGCTCTGCTCTGAACCGCCTTCCGCACCATCAATTGCTGCTGCGCTTGTGGGTTCATCTGTTGTGGATACTGCTGCCCTGCCCCTTGAGCCACCTGGGCATTATGTTGCTGCTGTTGCTGTTGAAGTTGTTGCATGCGTTGCATCTGCTGAAGTTGTTGCATCTGGTGCATCTGCTGCATGTTTTGCATTCCTGGACTATTGTTGAAATTCATGTTCGGCGGCATGCCTCCCGCCCGCTGCATCGCAGCAATTTGCGCCTGGTAGTTTTGGGCAAGCTGGGTATTGTTCATCTGGTTTGCTTGATGCTGCAAGATCTGTTGTGCGTGCATCATTTGCTGTTGACTCATTGGCTGGCCATTCATACTACCAATAGCCTGTGCAGCTTGCTGTTGACGAAGGCGTTGTTGAATGATCGCTTGCTGCTGCTGCTGCTGAAATTGCTGCTGTTGAGCCGGGGTCATATTCATTTGCTGGCCGTTATTCACCATCATCTGCGGCACGTGAGGGACTTGCCCCATTGGTCCCTGGAGCGGGCTGACTTGGCTCATCCTGGGGGTCTGGCTCATTTGTCTATTCAGTGGTGTAGACTGGAGATTTGGTGTGGCACTCGGCATGCGGGGCGTGCCAGCATGGCTCTGTTGACTTCTCTGTGTGGTCATATTATGAGCCGTCGGGCCTCCCATCTGAGGATGATTCTGATGAACAGCGGATCCTGGACGTGGAGGGCTACCACCCATACTCGATGTGGAATGTTGCATCTGGATATTTCCCATACCATTGTTCACAATGGGAGAAGAATGGCTCTGTGGAGTGCCATTTCGAACAATTGGGGAAGACATCTGACCTTGAGACACTTGCTGGTGGAATCGCTGAGGCTGGCCTTGAATTCCGTTCGCGATGATATTGTTCTGTTGTGGATGAGCATGAGCATGTTGACCTTGAGCCTGGGATTGGGCTCCTGGTAAGTTTGGTTGCGGCTGTTGTCCAGCCGCAGCCGCAGACAATACTCGCCGGTGAGCTTCTTGCTGTCGTCGAGTCGCTTCTTGTTGGATTGCCTGCTGGCGCATCCTCTCCGCATCTCGCTTCTCGGATTCTTGCCGGAGCCTCTCTCTCTCGCGGTCTTGCATATTCTTTCTGTCTATCTCCGCCTGTCTCGCTTTCTCCGCCTTTTTATTCTCTTCGTGTTGGATTCTGATGTTTTCGAGCGTCTTGAATCTTTCAAATCGTGGCTCGAAAGAAGCACCTCCAGCTTGCCCATCACCATCTGCCGGATTGGCTCCGCCTTGAGCACCTGTCGTGCTCGAAGAAAGTCTCTCGTCCAGACATAGCATGTATCGTTCCTGTGATACCGCCAACGCCTCATCTGCCGCCATCTCAGCAACAGTTCGCTTTCGAGTCTTTGGAGATGGAGGTTTCTCCGAGTGCATCGGATGAGCAAGAGATTCCAAAAGCATAGCAGATTCCGCAGCACTGCTTACTGGGTCGAGTACTAATGGTGCAGTAATAGCTAATGTTATCTGTGACTCTACAGCATGCACATTGCTGGCATCGAGTTCCGTTTTTGACCTCTTCTGTCTTTTTGCTGGTGGGGCCATGCTTGTTTGTAGCGTGGGTGAAGCAGTTGTGCTTGGAGTTAATGGCACAGTCGCAGACAGTGATCCATTGGTCTCTTGACGAGGCTCGACTCGGCCATCTGCGGTACCGGGTCGAGCCTCGGAGGCTTTGATGGCCATATCAGCATAGTTACTGATAGGAGTTGGGTGAAGAACAATCGTAGAAACTTTGGGTTTCTTTGGTAGATTTCCAGAATTGCTTCGTTGGCCGTCAGCAGGAGCTGCCGGGGCAGGCATGTTCTCCTTGTCTTTTTGCTCGGAACTCTTAGAGCTCCCATTGCCCTTTAAATCCTGGAGATTCTCCTTGGGGAAAGGCACATATGGGGAAGGCGTAAGATGCTGATTGTAGTTATGAACAGAAAAAGGCACAGCCTTTTGTGTCCCGGTATTTACTCGATTCGAATCCTGTGGCGAGGTAGTAGATTTATGGTCGTATACCTGAACGATCATGCATCCTTCGTAGAACGGAATGTTTGATACAGTAAAGAATTCCATTAGGTCATGAGGTATAGTTCGTAGCCTCATGTGTTCGATCAAAGTTCGCATAGGAGACTTGTATGAGAAACTGCCCTCCTGCTGGTCGAAACGAAAGTGGGTTGCATGTAGGTGAACAATCAGAGATGGGGGGGAGCCTCTATATCTCTTGAGGATGTATTCATCACTCTTGACTAAGGAGAGTTAGCATGCTTGAGCCTGAGTGATCCAGTCTACCACATACTGTACGGTTGAGGCTCGGCGACTTGAGAAACAGCCAGCTCTCCACCCAAACTGGCAGATCTAAGACCCACGCTGCTGTTTCTCTGTCCTCTGCCCAGTAATTGTCCTGGAGCATCCCGTCTCGTTCGATTGGCAGATCGCGCGCCCGCGTTGCTGTTCCCAACTCCATTGCTTGTAGCAGAATTGGGAGGGTATTTTGATCCGGAGGGAAGTCTGCTTGCTGAGAGGGACGGCGAAGGGGTGGAGGTCGAGGAATTTATGCCATTTGTTTGGATTCCGGGGGGCATGGGGCGCTTGACTTTGCTCGAGAGCGTTTGAGCTGCTGTCGCCGAAGGCGCCATCTTTTGAACTCTGCACAGCGCAGGCCGGAGCACGTATGGAGCGCCGCGAAAAGCTCGCTACCCTCCTACGTTATCGGTGACTTCGAATTGATTTGTCCATCAAGTGTGGTATCGCGCGCAGCGTGGGTTGGGTGATAGCGACGTGGAGTGAGGGTCGCGCGCGCTCGCGATATAAAGTAGGTGTTACTGTTAAAAGCGTATCTGCGATGCGATAGAGGGATACGAGGCGTTCTTCGATGAAATGCGAGGTCGAGAACTGGTGCAACGTGAAAGACGACGTCAAAGAGGCTTGAAGATTGTATGGGGGACGGGACGATTTAGTCGGACACGCGTCACGTGAATTGTGTTCTCACCTCAGGCTGCCTATTCAATCGCCCGTACTTAGAGAACATCGCATCTAGCGTCGATATTACAATACCAATCAACCTATTTCTAGGTAAGTTTAGTGAATATCTAGCATGAAACTGAACCATAGTGCCACATTCGTGCAACTTCGTGGGAAGCTGAGAATTCCAATTATTTTCCAGAACTCGTGATTCCACTTCAACTCGACGGTCAGCTAAATTCTTTCACTGCATATATATACATCGAGCTTCTCGAGTCAATTCGCATTGATTTGGCCAAGTGGTGTTTCCATTAAAGCTCTAAAGTTTTAAATTCAAGCCGGTTTCAAGTTCCATCGAGTCTAGCACAAAGCTTGACCATCGCCCGTTGCATTCACTATAGTAGGTAGCTATTGTCCACATCCATATCCGGCTCGTCTCTTTCTCAATCTCTCGGCCTCCCCATGGGGATGCTATTCCATTTCTTTACCGGTTTTGTTATCAACCAGTTACAATACTTAGCATTAGTCAGAAAAAGTTTCTCTCGTATCCAGATAACCCAACAATTCTACTTTAGAAACGGGAATAACGCATAGCCTTCCTATCCCTCGCACTAGCTCGGGACTTGCGGTTCTTCTTGATGCCATAATCAAGCTTAGAATATGCGGAGTTAAATAGGTATATGTGAAACTCGGTAGCTCGGTGGATCACCCCGCAAAATACCCCTGAGCGGACTTCCTGTCACGGTGTTGTAGAATCGTTATTAGGTCTGCATGACCTGGTTCTAGAACGAGTCCGGAGAGGCTTCACCTATAGCCAATTTATGCGGAATTTAGGAAATGTGGGTTTTATGTCTTTTGTTTCTTCCACTACATATGAGTATAGACACCCATCCTCCTCTGCCTGTTCGTATATTGTTGTTCCGGTGACCAACTTCAGAGTTATCAACCACTCTGCACCACAGTGAGATTCACACCAAACCTTCTCTCTGTCACATTAACACCACTGCTGCCTTGGCAGCCGCTTCTACCTTGAAACCTCATAGCATCCAGTACAACATGCCACAAAAGACCGTATAACCCGTAGCTTAGAAAAACAGAGCCGAATCAACAGGAAAATCATGACGATTAGTTCCCTTATATCCACCCCCTGAAAGCTAAGACTTATTGTCATATCTTATGGTATATCTGTGACTTTGGTCCATATGCACCAGCATAGATTGACGGAACATCTCCGTCCATCAACCCCTTCCTTCCGTTCGTCTTCAGGTTATCCAGCATTACTTTCAATGATTTCATCGGTACTGGCTTCGTGAGAAATAGATCAACTCCGCTACTGAAAGCCTCCTGTCTCGTATTGGGATTGGCGGCTCCCGTGAGGGCTATGAGTGCGACGGGGTGAAGCCCTTCTTCTCGCTCAAACCGACGAATATGGCGTGTGCTCTCGGTGCCAGACATCACCGGCATGGAAATATCTTATAGTAGTTAGTTAAGTGGTATATTGAGAGTAAGATTATACTCACCCATGAAAATGGCATCGAAACCGCCTCGGGCTCTTTTATATACGTCAAGCGCTTCCAAACCGTTGCAGGCAGTGGCATGGTCAAGCTTGAGCTTTCGCATGTAAGCAACCAGGAGGTTGAGATTGATCTCATTGTCTTCCACGAGGAGGACCCGCATGTTTTCTGCTCCGATGTTTGCTGATTCGTTTGAGGGTTTGCTGTCTATCTCCAACTCTTCCGATGGCTTGATTGGAGGTTCAGCTGCCCGTGGAGGTTCAGGATTGCTCTTCGCCGTTGCCCAATCATGAGTAGCCGAGGTATTCGTGGTAGTTCGTCGGAGTGGATGTTTAAATTTGGGTTTGAGATCATTTATGGCTTCAGACCGGCTGTCCTCGAGCTTTGCCCGGTTCTCGGCGTCGGGGATATTGGCAGCCCTGTGAGATAATGCATTTTGCAATATCTTTGCAATCTTGTGAGGCCCGTAACTTTGGGTGTATTAGCAAGGGGTACCGATATTTTGAAGCATGTATGCAGGTAACTTACGGTTGCTGGAGATAGAATGCCCGGGTGGATCCATATGAGACAGTAGTTGAATCTGAATGATGTGCGCTACAGAGTACTATAGCAATCAAGTTCTTCGACGTTGCCGGTCGGGCATCGCTATAAGACTTCAAAGTGTCCTCCAGGGATGTGATTCCAGATTCCATCAATATTACCACATCAACATTCGAGTCTCCCAACGCCAAAGGGGTTACGCTTTCCATTCCAAACCAATCAGTCAATAACGTTTTCAAGGACGACTTAAGAAGCATCGCGGCCTCCAAATCGGCAGAGAGGATGCCTGTTGGTGTTTCCGCAATACTTGGGTACCTGTCAAAACCTTGCAGACAGAATTTGAGCCCCGTCGTCTCCTTCTTCACCTCACTGATCAAGTCACCATGGACATCCTTAGATAGTGGCGTTGCACACATCAAAGGTATTCGAATGGTGACATCCGTTCCTGAGCCCTGCTCACTAGAAATTTTTATTTTCCCCTTAAGATCATGAACGATCCGGCGCACAATACTAAGCCCAAGACCTGCTCCCTCGGCTAACTCATCTTCCTGAGCGAAAGGTTTATAGACATGATGGTTCAGAAACTCCTTAGACATTCCCTTCCCAGAGTCTTGCACTGACAGTGAAAGAATAGGTCTAGTACCTTTGCCCCGATACTGTGGATCATCCGTAATCTTCAAAGATACTTTCACGTATCCAGAGTTCGTATACTTCATGGCATTGTTGAATATATTCATCAAAACCCTTCTCCATGCACCAGGATCAACTTCAAACGTCCAGTTCGGGCTCCATGCTATGTCCACGATGACTGTGACAGGGGGTTCATCTGACGCTGAGGGTGGCTGGTTCCCAAGCACTACACCGCCACTGGAAGCAAGCTTGGTGATCTGGTGGCCGATGTAGATGCTTTCAATGACTTCTTCGGACAGCACACACACATCTGCGACTTCCTCAATTTCTGCGCCATCCAATCCTTTTGCTTCTTCGCGAGGTTTCCTTGGTCGCTTTCCAGGTCGTTTTGTCCTTTGCTTTAGGTCCTTCGGTTTCATGTTCACCTTCGAGAAATCTAAAACGTGATCTATCGTATCCAGGAGGACCTTGCCAGAAGCCTGGATATTTCCGACCATATCCGTTTGGATTTCGCTCATAGGGGTTTCCTGCAAGAATTCCACGCTTGCCAAGATACCATGAAGAGGTGACCTAAGCTCATGCGAGATGCTCGAAATGAAGTCCGACTTCATATGGCTAATCCTTTGAGCAAAGAGTCGTGTCACCTCTGTCATCGTAGAATTGCCAAAAGCTGCCATATATGCCAAATCCTCAAAAGTGGAGAGGACTCGGGTGGGAGAGGTAGACCATACTAACGAACCCGCAAACCACCGTTCTCTGCTCTGGTCCCACAGAGGAAACCAGAAGACACTACGCGCTCCAGGCAATGCTTTCAAAATAGCCGCCGCTTCTGCTTCCCTAGAGATTCGTTTCCGGCGCGATCTGGAGTCCAAGGAATTGGAACGATGGGGTGACAGGGAACGACGTTTTTCTTTTGTCCCCGAAATTTCGTCTGAATCTGCGGACAAGTACGACCCATCTTCATCAAAATAGAAAACCATTCCGTGAGGGTAGCGTTTGAGAAGCTTTCTCAGGACAGCTTCGGGAAATCCGCAAAGCTCACTAGACGGGGAGTGACCACGGAGGCTCGAACGTTTCCGTGTACTGTAGCCTAATATATTGCATGTTTTTTCAGGCGGCCGGACAGGCGATTCTGGCGGAGTGCCATACATGGAAGCATCTGTGTCAGACGATCTGAGTCCAACATCATCTTCCCCATTCAATATCGCTGCGTCAATCAGGGAGCCCTGTGGGGCCTTTTCTTCAAGAGCGTCCGTCTCGGATCCTCCGCCAAAAGACCCAACACTGGCATCAAAGTACACCACACCAGACACGCCGACCGCTTCCCGAATGAGATTACCTGCTCGAGAAAAAACTCTCTTCACTTCATTTGATAGCACAGCTTCTTGAAGTTCTTTAGAAATCTCGGGTCGCTCAGATTCAGGGGGTAGTTCAAAAGCAACCGAATGACCTTTAGTTTCGGAAGTAGGGGTTACGCCATCTACCTCATAAGTAGTCATTGAGATAGCACGTTCCCGGGGTTGAGAAAGGATTGTAGATGGCACTGTAGTGTCCGAAGAAGAGAAAAGGCTATCTCCTCGAGATGCGGCGGGTCTACCGTCTCCAAGATCTAGATGCGAGGGTGTCTCCGTAGAAGGCGTGGCTGGACAAAAGTCGGATCGGTCTGGAAGGCCACTCATACCATTCACCGAAATCTCCTCCGCCGGAGGATCTTGTACTCCAAAAACAGCATCTGCGACTTCTTTGAGCTCGCCAACATCGTCCCGCGCGCGCTTCGTAACAGTAGATCTGTGAGACTTGAAACCCGCCTCCAACCACCAATCCCTTAAAGTCTCCTTCCCCTCAATAAAGAGTCCGATCGCCTTTACCATCCGTTCCGCCCGAAATTCCTTCTTTTTGATGCGTCCAGATTCGAGGTAATCCATGACTGTTGTCGCCATATCGATTAGATACGTAATCTCGTCTTCGTTCAAACCATCCCGTGGCTTATCATCGACTACAATGTAGGTTCCGATCACCATAGAGTGCAATGGCGAGATGAGGGGTACACAGGCAAGAGATCGCACGTAGGGTGGCCCGGCTACCACAGATTTGTGTTTGAAGGTCTCATGCTTCGTAAGGTCATTTATTACCACGAATGGAACATCAGCCTCGGGAGTGCAAAATAATTTCACCAGATCAGGACCTAAGCCCGAGTTATCTTTTAGCACCCCGACACCGTGCCAAAGTCGATCCTTATGGTCATCATCCTTTTGTAGAGAAAGCGACTGTCCCGCTTCAGCGAGAATGTACTCGGCACTTATGGAAGACAGTGTGATGAGACCACGCTTTGCATTCAATCGCAAGGCCCCAAGCTGGGCAAAGGCAGTTAAGCATGGATCGCTGGAGGATTGAGGAACGGTGGGGCTTTGGGCATCGGCTGTGCCTGACTCCTGGGCTGGCTGATAATACCTATCATAGAGAGCTATTAGATGAAATCGCTCAGGAAGGATTCGGGAGCATGAAGCTGTCCTAACCTGTATAATTCTCGCTCTCGAGCTGTCGCAGTTCTTGACTTTGGCATGGTTGGTCGTGACGCGTAAGGTACAGTAGATCAAGGAGGAAAGGACTAGGCTACAAGGAGAGACAGGACGTAAGAAACAAGGGTGAGAGAATCAAAACAACAAAACCATGATAGGTAGAGAGTGCCTGCACTGGACAGTAACCTGACCGCGAAAGATGGAAAGGTGGAAAGGTGAAGATAATGAATGAACGTGAAAGTCAGAAAGCGACTGTTGGAAGGTGAAATAATGGGAGCGCAACATCGGGTTCTAGACCTTCTCCGACGCCAGGCCTGGTTGTTAAACCTTATATTCGCCGGGATACTACTCCGTATTCCGTAAGGGCGGGGGCCAAAAGTTTTGCATGCCCTGGGTCTGGCCATCGACAAGGCCCGTACCTCCATGGCAGCTTTGTATCCTGCCAATCGGCAGACCAGCAATGGGGCATCAGGAGCCAGAACTGTGGTCTGTTCGTCGGGACGAGCGAGACCATCGGAAGAACGGCGAGCAGGGTATGCAAGGCCGCCATCGGGTCCGGGCGGGGTATATAAAACCGCCCCTGAAGCTTGAGTGGACTGGGCCCTTGGTAAAACATTAGCCTATGGTCGAGCCTCGATAAGAGCACAGTGGGTGGGGTGTGATTGTGTGCGGAGGGGTCGAAGATCTGGGCTTAGAACAGGTATAGTAGATATATACAATTTGTGATGAATCATGCCTCGTCAACAGGAAAGGGTTTGGGCGAATTGAATACTTAAACCCTGCCCAGTAAGTTGTAACATGATCAAAGGGGCTTTCTCTTACTGCACACTATTATTGGGTAAGGCAGAGCAGGCAAATCAATGTGTTCCGTTTGCAATCGTGTCTCTTGTCCCTGGACGCCTCTCGATTATTAATCTTCTGTCGAGGTTTTGGAGGGAGCACATCTCCTCGGCGCCAACAGCTCTCGGAGCCTTGTTGAGAGCCCGTCGTCGTAATGCGCAGAAGATGTGGTGTCGTCGTTGCGCCGTGCGGTTTGCCTTGTGGCTGAAGACTTGGAGGTGGCGTTGAGACGGGGACTGCGGCAGTGGCAGTGATTTTAAGCCACACTATATTTCTCCGCAATGCTCGCTGCACAGTGCACAGCTTGGTGGAACAAACGCCCAAAAGGTTCCATCGCCCCGCAATCATTTCAACTTGATGTCAGAACAAACATGATGATAGTTCACTTCTGTGGAGGCGTTGTCCATTCTTTACGTGTTCGGTTGCACCTGAAGCTGGGTGGGCTATGTCAAACGGCGGGGCGGATTGCTGTATTGCCTTTACCTGATGACCATGATCATCACTTCCAAAAGCATGAAGCTTGTATGATCAGATGTATAAAGGATAAGTCTTGATTCTCTCAAAGTAAATTGATCCTTCTTTACACCCATCAACATCTAGTGATCTAGACACAAGAGCATCTGATCTTGATACCCATCAATTATCACCTCCACCTTGTCCTTGCTCCTTGTCTTTGTCTTCGTCTTTGTTCTCGTCCCTCCATCATGTCCTATGACAACCAGCGAGCCTCACGTGCCTTTCAATGGACAGATTACGAGCCAAAACGATCACTCTTTGATCAACTACGCAGCCGAGGTCGTCAGAATAGCTCTTTATCCCAAAGATCCAACCTCCCTTGCACACCACGTTCCCTGAGCATCAGGAGTCCTTCCTCGCACCCCCTCACAAACCCGTCTCCCCCCACCAAGCGGCCAAATCGTCCAGGGATGAATGCCTTCACAGTCTCCTCCAACGAGCCCCCGCCGGCATATACCCCGTCTCCCACCGCCGCATCAGGGCCAACTATTGAACCCGCTATATTCGAACTCGAATCACCAACAACCACAACCAACCCACCAGTCCCCGTCTCCGCCACAAGCCATGGAGAAGATCCCTACGCCTTCCTCACCACCTTTGATACCACGCTCCTCATCGACGACTCGGGCTCGATGGCCGGTCGTTCATGGCGGGAAGTCTCGCAAGCTCTGTCCACCATCGCGCCAATAGTCACCCAGCACGACAACGATGGCATTGACGTCTACTTCCTGAACCATAAATCCAGCGACCCGGGCTCGCCCGCCGAAGGGATAGCGGCTGGGGGTTACCGCAGGATCAAGAGAGCCGCAACCGTCACCGAGGTCTTCCAGAGAGTGCGGCCCCAGGGCGGCACACCAACTGGCATCCGAGTACACAATATCCTAAAGCCCTACCTGGCTCGTGTCGAGAAGGAGCTCGCAGCAGACAGGGAAGTCAAGCCTCTTAACCTCATTGTGCTTACCGACGGCGTTCCATCAGATGATGTCGAGTCGGTGCTCCTCTCCGCTGCGAAGAAGCTGGACAAGCTCGATGCACCCCCCTACCAGGTCGGCGTACAGTTCTTCCAAGTGGGCAATGAGGAAGGGGCAAAAGAGGCTCTGGAGGAGCTCGATGATCAACTGGGAAACATGGTCGAAGGCGGCGTACGAGACATCGTGGATACAGTGACGTGGACCGGTGGGAGAAGTGCTAGTGAAGGCGGCATTGGCTTAACTGGCGACGCGGTGCTTAAGGTCGTATTAGGGAGTGTTGTTAAAAGGCTTGATCGCAGACGTGCAAGTGGAGAGGTCAGCAGATCTTGAGGCTTCCTTTTGCATATTACCAGCTGGCTTCTCTGCCTGTTTTCATTCATTCTCTTCCCTTCGCTGTACAATTTCTCTTCTCTTACCTTTTGGTAACATGCGTGGATTCGCGTTCCTTTAGATACAACTTCGCAAGAATAACATAGCAGGCTTGCAGCTTGATACCCTTACTAGGTTGCTATGAAATCAGAAATTCAATTCCATTCCCCATGAAAGCACTTTTGGTATTATTGAGCGCAAGAGCTCTTGCCTTAAGTACCTTTGAAAGTGCTATGCTTGTCTAGAATCCTCTCGATTGTTGTAGTACAGATATCCTATTTTACCGCCTAACAGTAGTGATACTCCAAAACGAGGCTGCCATTGCATAATATAATTTGTGAATGATGGGGTTGGAGGGGAGAAAAGAGACTACAGGGGAGGGGCGTATAGTGCTCTCACTGCCTCTCAGAGAGGTGCATGGCACGGCTACGGAGTATAGATACTCCAATTTCGAGTGTACCCGACATAATAGTCCTACTATATTTATTAAAGAGCTTCAAGAAGAGTCACGGATCATGGGAACTGTATTTGGCAAATTTTATTCATATGTGTGCTCGCGTGTAAGTGTGAATGCTAATAGTAGAACCTTCTTTATGAAGAATTCTACATCATGACCAGAATTTATGTGCAATTTGTGTCCGTCTCTGCCCGTGCAATTATTAGTGTTGGTGCCATCCGCAAAATATATCGTACGCCAGTATTGTTGCAGTCAGAGTAAAGTGAAGTGAAGCGAAACAGAGGAGCAATAAAAGTGATGTGAAAGGAAAGTGAAATGGGGGAGCATTAAAGTGGGTGTGAAAGAAGCGAACGGGGTAATGCAATAGAGAGAGCATTAAAAGTAGTTGACCGTGTCTGGAGGTAAAAGGCGCAGACGCGGCGAGCCAGGGCGGATTAAGCCATCAGGATGGAGAGCACTCGGAGTTTTGTAGTAAGCCGGGTACCAACATATCCGCTAGAGTAGAGAAAAGCATCTACTCCATGATCAGAACATTGGACATGTGCAAGTTCTTTGTCAGAATGGATGTGCCGCGATCGTCTCGCATGGTGATGACTGGAGTAATGACGAGCATAAGACGCGCCTGACGCATCTGCAGCAGCAACGTTGTGTCGAGACGGGCGTCTTTAGCAACCATAGTAGCAGTGGTGAATCTGGAGGAAGTTTCTGGAAAGTAAATCTGGAAGCTGCGACAGGACGTGTGCATTTTGACAGACAAGTCCCAAGCCGCAACAGCAATTGCTCCAAGACCCTTGCCAGCATCCGAGCGAGAACAACCGACATTGAGTACAGGTCCAAGCATATTGCGAAGGCGCTTCGTGTGAAAGTGCAGTTGATTAGTCCGGAAATCAACGAACTCTGATGAGTCTACCAAACTTTGTACAGCTTCTGACTGGCGGTCAATCAGGACCTGTCGAGCATCATTGGCTAAACCTAGGTCAAATTAGCAACCTGTAAAGGCTTTTAGGGCACAGAAGATATTACCTCGCTCCTCAAGTTTCTTCTTAACATCCTCAATTGTCTCTGTGACCGACGGGCCAAAAGCCTTGAAAGCCTCGACAGACATCATGTCTTTCACGCAATATGTGACAACCATTCTCATCACAAACCAAAATCTGGTCTTTGGATTCCTGAGTAAAGAAATCACGCGATTATGAGCCTCTTGTCGACGCCCAGGGAAGGTACAATTCATCATGTAATCCCATAGGACTTCATTAGAGCTAGCAATGTCCTTGTCTGTCTCCTCATGAGGTAGGTTGGTGTGACTTTTAACCCAGCTCTCAATGAGTCCGTAGATCTTGCTAATGGCCTCTCTGAACTCCTCTGCGACCTCATCTTCGGGAGTTAGAGCCCCACATTCGCTCCTTGGTTCGGTGTGGATACGATAGTTAGAATCGTAATTGATTTCACTACGTATTGGGATTCCTGGCGAAGCTTTACCATAAGGCATGCTTGGTATTCGGCGCCGAAGAGTCATTCCGCTAGGCGGGCCTGCTATGTCAGAAGCACCCGGCTGGTCATGAGGACCAGACTGAGAAGACGGAAGCCCCAGGAGAGGAGCTGGACCATATGTGCTCTGAGACTGTGGTAATGTGCCTTTTGCTCTGTCGAACGTATTTTGATCCTGTGGGGAGAAAGTACTCTGTGAAGTATTTGCAACAGATGGCGAGTTCATGGTTGTCGTAATGCCTCTATCAAGCACAGAGGTCTGACTCGATACGGGAGAGTTACCAAAAGGATCGTGAAGAGCGCTCATGGCGTTGCGACGGGCACTCGAGGTAGGATTTGCATCCATCCATAGCGCACGCTTGCCCCTCAACTGCTCTTCCTGAAAACGGATCCGCTCTAGAAGTTCCTCGTTCATCTTCTTCCAACGTCTCTCTACATCTTCAATTCGTTCAATGCTCTTCTTGGACTTCAAGCCAAGTTCGCTGACTCTTAGTTGTAGAGCGTCGCGTTCGCCCGATATTCTCGCACGATCTTCAATAACGGAATTGAGCTGTCGACGGGCTTCGTCGAGTTGTCCCTGGATTGTATTACGTTCGTTCCTGACTCTATCTAAATCCTGCTGAAGACGTTGCTGTGATTCGGTGAAGTTTCGGCCTATTCGGAGGAGCTGCTGGCTCAACATGTCCCGTGTAGCTGTTGGCATATTCGGATTACGTGCGACCGTCTGCTGAAGGTCGGTAAGTATTGATTGGAATTGCGCGGCCAATTGATCCGCGGTCATCTGTTGCCATGTGATATCAGTCAATGAGCTTAAACATTGAGAGTTATACTTACAGGAGGCATGTTACTACCCAAGCCTTGGCGCTGCATAGAGGCCTGACTGCCAGTAATTCTCTGTAACTTGGGGTAAGTAGATGCAAGAATGAGCAGAAAGTGGCACTTACTGGAAGAAACCCTTGACCTTGGTTTTGGGACCCATGAAGCTGAGCCGCCGAGAAATTGCGGTTGCGGTTGTTGAATCCTTGATTCTGGTTAGGATTGGAATGCTGGGCGCTGAAGCTTTGGTTGCGGTTATTGAATCCTTGATTCTGGTTAGGATTGGGATACTGGGTGCTGGAGCTTTGGTTGCGGTTGCGAACTGCTTCGTTAATGGCTGAGCTGGATGCTGAGCTTGGGCTCGAGGCAATCCGGTTGCTGAAGCTGCCCTGGTTGGGACGCGTGTTATTTAGGTTGTGGTTTATGTTAGTAAGGTGATTTTGAGTCTGATATCCTCTCTGTGGTGCCGGAGATAGGACATCAGGGGGGCGTGGTGTCGCAGCACTTCCTCTAGTTCGACCTGTTGCTTCAACAAGCCTGACCAGGGCTGACGGGTGTCTTGATACTGGATGGGAGTTCAGTCCAGTTGGGTGGTTATAGGGATCATTAGAGTGGAAATGCCCGTTAGAAGACATTGTATCCTCGGTATCCGTGATGGAAATAGAGGTCCCAAATAGATCGATAGATATGGGATAGTAAGGGCGAAAGAACAGACAAAGCTGCTCTTGGCCTCTGCAGACTAGGGATGATAGGAGCGGGAACGACAGACAGAGTATGACGCGTTAGGAGTTAAGTAGACGATGATTGCGACATCCAAGACGTCGTGGTGATGCGTCAGTAAGGGTTATTAGGAGATGGATAGGGAGAATGAAGGTGGGGCGTGAGGGTAGGAGGGAGGTTGTGTAAGATCGAGAAAGGATGGAGCCGCGCTAGACATTTCTATTCAATTCCTCCCAGATGGGAAAATAGGGAACCCCCTTAACCGACTCCAAGCGAGCCCCAGGTAAAAGCAGCCATGCTTAGGCGTATATTTACTATACGCCTCATCAGAAAAACACATGTGGTTAATATAATCATAGGGCCACTGAGCTCCAGAAGTATCATGTGGAAACATACCACATCCAGACCAAAGCAGTCTTTGTAATGGCTTGATACACAACGTCGAAGCACAGCAGTGTCAAAGCTAGGGGACTGAGAGAGCTGCACAAAGGATCCAAAGCTTTCTATCTACATCTTTGGATGACACCTGTGCTGGTAAGCTCTTGCTCTGCAAACAGGCTTTTTGAACCTAAGACTGACTTATCAATCCCTTTAGGCCCTGGATACAACCCCTTCATCTTGAATATGGATAGGGACGAGTGTGGTATAGATTGTTGAGGCCAGGAATACAGTCCACGTTATGTATACTGGGAATGAATTCCACATGTTCATCAAACTTTCATGAGAGTTTTATACATATTTTGTTTGCTCTTTGTCCTTTTCTTTCTTGGGATATTGACTGCGCTCGAGAAGACTTCTCGACAGGAGAAGTGGAAAGTTCCAGCCTGGGACATTGATTCCAGGCAGATCTTCCGGCAAGCAGCAAGTATGTTCAGAAGAAAGGAGTCGCCCAAGACCATCTGCTTTCAAATATCGCAAGTTGCAGGATCAAGTGAGCTGCTGGTGCGTTACTAGAGACGCGTTCATCTAAATGCAAGCCTCTGTATCGCTAAGACAATCAACTAAACAGACTTTTGCACTTCCAGTCAATACTCTTTGCTGCTCTCTAACTAAGTGAGCATTTGTTGAGCAGTCTCTCGAACAGACAAGAACAATATAGAAAGAAAAAAAAGACGACGCTAGAAGACATCAAAGTAGTACTCATGACATAAGTGTCAGCTTCTGCGGAAAGAGAATGACCATTAGCATTGCTTAACACGGAAGCAGGACTGGTTTACTACCAAAGAGTGTGACCATCTAGGTACCGGTGACAAATATCTGCTGTGCAACCGTTCAAGGTCCAGAGTCCCAGATGATGTCTGCTATTCCAAGCCCTGACATATCTGATAGTCACAACCTTTCATGACAGATGAGGGTCCTGATAGCTCCTCTACTAAGATGGATGCAGACTCAAAACCACATCTCGTTGTGCAAGTCAGAGATCCATGAAGTGGGCGTCTTGGAGATGTTCCTGAACTTGAGAGGGAGTCCGACGACCCCGCAAGAGATATGGAGGTCTTCCCTGATAGGTCTGAACTGCAGAAGGACCGCGGGCTAACATTGTTCAAGCTAATTCGAGACGATGATATCAAACACTGGTGTGATGTCGCCATTCAGTATTGTTACTACGGAAAATAAAGGCCGGAGATAGCCAGAGTGGCCCCTGGAAAAGATGTCTGAAGCAGTAGGTCCTACCCAGAGGATACAATCTACTGCTCAAGCCATATTAGTATCACTGACAGTACAAGGAACTTGTGGATAGGTTGTGTGAATGGAAAGCAGGAGGGAGGGAGGAGGAGAAGGGGCAGTGATATACAACAGGCGACAATAGGAAAGGAGGTCTCACCTGATATACAATTCAACTGTGGCACCACACCGCTGAGAGCTACTTCCGTGATACAAAGCCTGATGTGGATAGTATCTGTACTGGTGGGATGGAGGATCTTCTGCTGTTGTCGTCAGAATAGGTTTGGTTTTGGAATGGTTGTGGGAATCCAAGTCGGGATAATTAGTGGGCAGGACTAAGCCCTCCTCGAGCAGAGGACACGAACGCCCATCCGAGCAGCAGCAGCTACGTGGAAAAGCCGCAGATCATAGCCACGAGGACGAGCAACTATATATATCTCTCTCTCGATACTATTTCGATACTTTTCGAAATACATAGTCTACTCTCCAACAACATTTCCCGACCTGGAGCACCTGGTTTCCGATCATGGACCACTTCTCGACATATCCCAACCTCCAGAGATTAATTACCTAGCAGGACCTATATTCTTTGCTTTACTGGACACCACTGGACAAGGTTGGTAGTGTCAATACCTAAGGGTTTAAGATCACGAACTGTCAGCAAGGACTAGGCAAGGGAGACCAGGATGGTATCTTACCCCCCAGGACCTTGAGGAAACTACTATGCCTACATCCGCTGACCACATATACAAGGAACGATCCTCCCTGCCATATCTTATAGACCACAGCGCTTGCATTAACGAAGGGCGGCCGGTGCAGAACACAAGGCAATATCAACTTCAGAGTTAGCAGATCAACTGCTACACTGTAAAGTGGCTGAGAACATACCTCAATACTGTGCCAAAGATAGTAAGAGTCTTGCATCTTCTTGTAGTGTGGTATACTGCTGTTCTACTAGTGCCCATATCTTCTTTGTTCCGGCCAAGAGGGGTGCAGAATGCAATCCACCTTTCAGCGTATAGAGAACAGTTCTGTGAACCTTATTGTACATAGACAAACGCTCCTTATAGAGTATTATGTAGCATTTGTATGTAGATCGGTCAACTTATCGGTTCTTCTAATTAAGGGGTTACAACTCCGACAGTCTTGACTTAGGAGTAATGTCAGAGGCAAGCACGAAACTGTCTCACCAGATGTTGACCTGTGCGGACGTAGATTTCCAGTAGGAATTATCTATATACCCTCCTACAGAAAACTACAATGTCCAGGAGCCCTATTCGAGCTCCCTAAAGTGCATTGTAAAGGAGATAAGATTAGAGACTGTTTTGGGAATCCACTGGGCCCTCCCCGCAGCACGGTACTATAATACTTATTTGGACATTATATAATATCACATTACAACATTGACCTAAAGGAAGTAGAACGAGCCTTGTGTGTAGCCACAAGCATAATACCTATCGGTACTTCTTCCCCCCTTATCATCCTCGAATCGCTTGCTCACACGTCACGTGGGCAACAGGTTTACCCCTGAACGAAGCGAGTAGAGCAAGGCACAGGAGATTTACGTTCTTTGCATAACTATCTGGAAATTTCTTCACAACAGTTGAGATCGCAAGCCCAAAATCCCAAAGTTGGCCATCACACCTCGTGAGCTCCAACCCTAACAACATCATGCTAATAGATATTGATGATACGACTTTGTATTCTCTAAAGTATGCAAACGAGAGAAATCTGTATACAGTGAACTGCCCTATGTGCAATCAGCGGGATCAAGAAGCACGCTTGGGACTCTACAGGGCAGATGAGATCGCTTGATGAGGAGCACCTGCATGGAAAGTATCAGCGAGGTTCTCCACACAATTGCTTGTTCTGTATTCCGCAGGCGAGTCTCCGCTTGGGATCGAGTCAGATCGAAGGAGTCATCGAGAAGCCGAGGAATTATGCGCTGACTAACAAGCCAGAGATGGAATCGACAACTAAAGGTGCCAACAATGTATAGGAGAGAGTGCGAGCTGAGATCGGGTCATGGTGCGGAACGCCAGATAAACAGAAATGATTCCTGGAAGGAGTAATCTTTAAGTCTTATTAGTAAAGCTCAATTGGAATGTGAAAGCGTGGCTTACCAGAAACGACCCTAAAGTCCGATGGGGAGAGGCCATAATTAGCATCTTAAAACAGTTGAGGCAGGCTCGAGATTCTTGGTTGATATCACATCTTGGTGCGTGAGAACAAACTGCGGTAGACCGCATCCACGACAGGCGTAGCGCTGATCATTCGTCCGCCAAAGTACCTTCCGTTCAGGCCCTTGATAGCGTTCTCTCCTCCCTGCACCCGATCGAATTTGAGGTAGATATCGCCTTGGGAATTCGGATCTAGAGCAATGTGAACAACGTGGCCATATTTCTCCTCTGCCTCTGCTCGAACATCATCCTCAAGTTCCTTTTCCCAGTTTTCACCTTCTTCCCTGTTATCAGATGTCAGTATTGTCTATTCAAAGGTGGTTTTGGAACTTACTCGGCAGGATCAAACATATTCTTGAGCACAATGCATCTGCTGGCCATATTGACATTGACCGGCAGAGGTTTGGTCTCTGTCTTGGGTTTCAGTATCTCGCGCCTCTCATCGCGGCCATTCGTCGCGGGAGGATCATCTGTTCTGGCAAGTTTCCGCATCAATGCATCTCGACTATAGTTGTTGAAATTTACACCACCAACATCGGTGTCATCCAAGGCACTGGCACCGCCTGCGCCCTTGTCATTATCGCGGCCTCCGGCACGGTCGAAATTGCTACCTCCCACGGCCTGAGGACCACGTCCACCAGCTCCGGAGAATGCAGAACCCTGGAATTGTTGTTGGTGGCTCTGGCCTTGGAATCTCTGGAGAAGAGTGGCGGTAGACTCAGGAGTAAACTTATCGTTGCCAAGACCAACACGGATTGGTCGACCTGCTAGATCAAACCCATTCATCTTCTCCAGAGCCTCACGAGCCTGGTTTGGGTCACGGAACCTGATGACATTAGCTTTAGAAGTAAAATACTAAGGTGAATAACTTACTGGACAAACCCATATCCTCGACTGCGACCTTGTTCTTCCTTCTGCAACTGAACGAATTCGAGCTCGCCGAATGGTTCAAAAACATTCTGTAAATCGCTTTCAGTGATGCTGAAATGAATATTACCCACATAGAGTCGATGGAATGGAATCTGATTCGGATTGCTACCAGAGGCTTCAGGGTTGCGAACTTGGCGATTCTTTTCGGCTTCGGTGAGTTGGGCGATAATGGGAATCCCTAGGAGTTTCTGTCCAGTGAGTTGAATAGCAGCAGGAACTGATTCTTCGTTCTTAAACTCAACGTAGCCAACTCTACCACGCATTTAGTATAAATGGATCAATATCGACAGGAGGTTACATACCCTTTTGATCTGCCACTGACTCTATCTTTGACGATCTGGGCCTCCTTGACAGGGCCGACCTTCTCGAAGAATGCTATGAGTTCTTTAGTCCTGAGACGAGCAGCCAGCTGTTGAACAAACACAGTGCGGCGATCCCGCTCATCCTCTGTTAATGGAGGTGTACTCTCTCTTTTCGGACTTCTACTTGCTCGGCGCCCTTCATTTCGGCTTCGACGATCGTCTCTTGACCTGGTATCTATATCGTCACGATCGCGGCGGTCCCCTCGTGGGCGCCATGAGTTTCTATGTGGGCTTCTAGAGCGTGAGCGAGCGCGACCGCCTCCTCTATAATAATCTCCATCTCGCCGGCCTCCGTCGTCAGGGCTATCTCTTCGGCGACGGGAGTGTCGGCGGTCATCATCTCGGCTTCTACTTCTGCGTCTACTCCTGACACTTCCATGAGCACTTCCATGGTCACTTGTAGGCGTACCGATCAGCTCCCTATCTCCGTTCGCATCTCTTCGATATCTATCGCGACTCCGATCTCTTCGCTTTCGGTCCCGGTCACGATCTCTGCTGCCATCGCGGGCCCTGTCTCGATCACGACGATCGTTACGCTCAGATTTGTACCGATCGTCTGGGTCGTTGGACTTGGATGCCCCGTTCTGGTCAACTGGGGTAGCGTTGGCAGTTGAATCTAAGAGCGCTTCAACGTCGAGGGCTGACATGACGGCGTTAGGGAATGAAGTTATTGCAGTTCGTAGTATTTGTTCTCACTCGATATAGTCCACGTCGATTACCGAGCTATCCCAGCTATGCCAAGATACAGTAGAATGGCCGGTGTGCCAGGTAGAACAAGAAACTGATAAATGACACGATGGTGAAAAGCTCGAGGGAAAAGTGGCGAACCAGTTCAGGCAAGTCGAAATCCGTATGGTCACGTGATATTTCGGGATGGAAGGCCAGCGCCTCGCCAGAGCGCGCAATTTTGGCTGCTCCGTTAACAAGTAGCTCGCAATACTCTGTCATCAGCGATTTTTGAATTGAATCTTATTAAATATTATAAAGTGATACAGAGGGGAGACCGCCCATCCTTCAATGAGTAGCCTGCTCATGAAGTCTCCAATGTTCTCAACCAACCAACGCCCACAAATACGTCGCGGATATCTCTACATCATCTCATCATTCCAACACGTGAGCTACAGCCATGTCGACGAGCCATGTCCAGGAGTTATGCTATGTACAAATCGGGTGCCATCTAAGTCCTCTTGATAGGACCATCTAAGCCCTCTTGGTAGGAGGAGGGGTGAGTTGGGTGCCAAAGATGTCATCCCAGAATCGACTAGTAACTCCAAACCCATTCTCGTAGTCCATGAAGTGGTGCTGAAGATGGTATTTCTTCAACCCTTTATAGTATCCAGGCAACGATTTGTGATGCAGGAAATAATGAGTCAGATCATAGCTTACGTACCCGAAGATACCACCGCAGTAAACGGCTGTTGCTATAGACCAGTTCCAAAAGAAGACGGTATGTGCCAGTTTCCAGAACGGAGCTGCAAGGATGACGAAGAGGGTTGGTGGCATGACCAATCTAAGTTTGTCCATGGGAAGATAATGGTGGATGCCATGCAACAGAAAGTGCAGCGTAAGAGCGACCCTATTGTCAGGGAGATAACTAAACGTCGAGGTCAGCATTGCCATATGCAGAGACGGGATTATACTTACTAGTCGAGATGGAACAAGAACCTGTGCATGATATATTCTACCAAACTCCACAGGAACAAACCCAAGAGCCAGTACGCTGCCTCTTCAAACACGCTTAAACCCTCCTTTGCAAGGTATGTTCCGTATGCCACACATGGTAACCAGATGATTGGTATGAGCCACCAGGGTGTTTTGCTAAGGGGTTCAAGAAAGTTTCCGAAAATCGGTGCTGATTCACCTCCTTTGTAATGGCGTGGTCGATGGACTTGCTCCAGGTAGAACTCTTTGCTGAATCCGCCAAACCACATCTGCATGAAAAGTGGCTTGTTCAAATCGAGGAACTTGTGCGTCTGATAGTCGGTGACAATGTCCGTCTCCTTGGAAAGATCTTCTTCCGAAGACAAGCCGGTCTCATAGACAGGACGTCCGTTGGCAGAACCGTTCTCCTTCAACTCAGCCATTCCTTCTGAGGCCGAATCCGGGTTTGAGCTTTTGACCGCAGCATCCACCACTTTCTCCGTGGCAACAAATCCGATGAAGGCCTCCTCTAGCACCTCATAAGCGGCTTCGGAATGCCTGTGTGAAACATCGTCCTTCAAAATCGCAGTAACATCCTTCCCTCCGTATTCCAGAACCAGGTCGCCTCCTCCGGGGTGGCTACTGATAAAATCTGTAACATCAAACACGCGTGTACCCATGGTGACATAGCAACTCTTCTCCGTGTTATGAGTAGCAACTTCGGCCTGAAGTAAGGTCGGAACTGTGCGAGATGGAGACATGATGGCTGTTTTCGTAACGGGCAAAAGGACGAGGAGAGACGGTGGCGCAAATAGGGACGCAAATATGCCTGAGGATTGCTGGTCTGCGGAGCAACAGAATGCGCTGCTGAAGATTGATGAGGACAGAGAGGAGACGGGGTTTCGTTATTATCAAAGTTTCGTAGAAAAAGCAGGCCGAGAAAGCCGGTTGAAGAAGGGAAAGAATGATCAAGGGGGGATCAGGAGGTAAGACCAGGCAAGGTCAGGTAGAAGAGGCAAAGTCAAAGTAAAATTGGGAGTTCCAGGCTTTTGTAATAGAAAACGACGGCTCCGGAAATTTTCCCAGTTCTTTTGACTTGAGTGGCCTGACATCAAGTGAAAAAGGCGCGAAAGGGGCCCCCCGAGGTACCTTAGGTAAGGTCAGGTCAGACTACCGTAGTCTGAAAAGCACCGGTCCGAAACGGGACTGGCGTACTTGCCTAGTCTCTGCCTTGGTTTTGTGGCTACCATACATACCTATGCCGCCAATGCCAATATTCACGTGATCGGTCGACCAGTTTGGCCCAACCTGGAACACAGCCCCTCTGCAGCGAATAAATACAGCTTCATCCGTCTGATAAAGCCATATCACTCGATGGTCAAGATTTTTCCATGCACAACAAATAGTACAAGTGCATCTCAAGTTGAGCGTTATCTCAAAGACTCCCGCCTTGCGCTCTCCTTCCTTACCTACCTTAGGCATAGCCTTGAGGCTTGAACAACCTGGACAGAATGGCGAATTCTCTCCCATCGTTTAGTTCGCTGCTTCTAGTGACACTTGTTGTGCTGCTTGTTCTTCCCTCGCCCACTCATGCTTTTGGGGCAGGTAACGTTCCTTCAATTTCTCAGGTCGAAGGCCAGAATTTTCGCCATGGAGGTAAGTGCTTCTCATTTCGACCTCCTCTTTAAATACTGAAACCTTCAAGACATTGAGGACATGCTCAAAACTATTGCCTTCATCAAGGGGCACAAATGGACATCCATGATGATCAAGAGGGTGTATTTTGGAAATTGGTTGCGGGACTATTCTCAAGCTGTTGATGTTGGAAGCTTGAAGGGTGTGAATGCCCCTACTATCCGGATTTTGGTACGAGCATCCTTCCTGGATGTCCACGTTCCTTTAGCTAAGGTATTACAGGTCTGGGTCTTAAGCTTCCTATCTTTTGGCTATGCCACAGCCGAGTTTGAAGTCACCGAAGAACGATTGGGTGTCTATAGACCAGAAGAACACATTGACAATCCTAAAGGTTACGCAGATGGTAAGGACGCTAGGCAATATGATCCTCGTCTCAGAGGGCCTGTTCAGCAGATCGAGCTTGAGGTGGACCCAAACACCGGCATGAAAAACTACATTGCCAACGAGGGCGGCGGCTGGGCAACCAGTGCAGGCTACATAAGGTTTAGCTTTTCCAGAAGCATCCACTTTGGAAGGCTCTATACTAGTGGAGCAGGTCACACCAAGGGAAGAGAAGCTGATCTTTGTGAGGCGTTACGGTGCCTGGGCCAAGGACTCCATTGCTTGGAGGATTTCGGGGCTCACACGAACTACTGTGAGCTGGCTCTCCGTGAGCTTGGCTACCTTGGTGTTTTTCCGCATACAGGAATTGCGACCGAGATGGATATCAGAGGCCGTCGCATTTTCCCCCTCGTCACAGGAACCTTTGGAGGCGTGGACTTTCTACACTCTGTTCTCGGGGAGGCAACGGATCACCTGACACAATCAGAGGTTGAAGAGATGGATGTAGCTCTCAAAGCAGCCGAAAATGCTCAATCAGGTTCAGGTCAGCGTGGATTATTTGACGGCCAACAAGATTTTGCAAATCTCATATCTCAAATTCCGGGCATGGGCAGTGGACTTGCTCAGACTGCTAGGGATTTGCAAGCTCGGTCCAAGGCTCAAGAGTATGAGAATTCCACAGCACAAGCACAAGCCAGCGTTAACACAAGCTTCATGGGTCCACCTGGCTCGGCAGAAGGCATGGCAGGCCCAGGTGTTCCTGGCATGAGCCCCAACTTTGATCCAATCAAGACTGCAAAGCAAATCTACCCAATTCTCGAGTTCAGAGATAAGGTCGTCAAAGCAATCAGCGCAACTATTGCCAAGATCCCTGGGCTAGAGCCGTTAATCGAAAAGATTAGCGAAACTTTGACTATGTTCGTCATGTCCCTTCTTGCCCCATTCATTCGGCCCATAATCGAAGCCGTCTCTAGTGCTCTAAAGAAGGGATCATCAGGCGTTGTGGAGGCGAGGTTAGTAAAATATCACTTCACACTCCAAGAACTCACTAACTGAATTGCAGTTCTCATCAGCAATTCGAACCTTGGAATGATCCACACTGCACAGATCCCACCCATTCAATGTTGTCCAAGGACCATTTTTCGAATATATTAAATTCAGTTGCAGGCAGAGTTGCAACTACCATCATACAATACGTTACTCCGTAAGTCATCTCTTTCTATCTGATGACGAGTACTAATTACATGAAAGCCGAATTCTGTATGCCTGGGAAAACCCAGGGGTTCCAGTTGAGGAGGTAATGAACGATATTGTTCGTGTTTTCCATCACCCAGCTCTGCGGGATGAGAGCATCGAGATCCATCGCAACATGTTCAACACTGTCAGGAGATGGGTGGATGAGAGACCAGATCGCCACAACTTGAACAACGTTCTAGGCTCTGCATCTGTCAAGGCTGGCCATAACCACATCGGCGGCGGCTTGAAGGATGTCCACGATCACGGTTCGCTCGGTGGTCATGGAAAGACAACAGGATCAATCTGGTCCGAAATCAAAAGCCGAGATTTCGCTGCTATGGAAGGAAACGACGGAAACCCACAAGCTTCGTACTTGAGCCCATCCCCTCAACCCGGATCACCAGGGAGACCGCCCCAGTCCCCTAACTACGGATACCAAAATCACCCAGCCCGACCCGACAGCTCCAATCATTCTCATCCCGGTCATTTGAGTCCCAGTCCTTCGCATGGAGGCTACGCGGGCGGTCCACCTCCACCGCCAAGCTATCAATCAGACTACGGCGGACCTCAACAGCCACCATATGGCATAACTCCACAACAAGCCCCTTATCCTTACGCCCAGCAGCCTCCATACGGTGGTCCGGGCCCCTACCAAGGCGGCTATGAGCAAAGACCTCCCGAAGGATGGGGTCAAGGACCATCAGGTTATCAGAGCGGTCCGCCTCAGCCTTCTTACCCAGCACAGCCGCCATATGGCGCTTACCAGACAGGCCCACCCCCTCCACAACCGCCTTACGGGGGCCAACCACCTTATGGAGGCTATCAATACCCGCCTGGAGGAGGCTACGGTTATTAGAAATTTCTTTTCCTTTTCGTCGTCTTCTATTTATCTCTATACCTTGGAAGGAAAGAAGGAACATTTCACGGACACGGGATTATCCCATACGTAGTATTATGAAATAAAAAAACAGTAGTTAGTTGCCAACAGATAGGCAAATTGCTGATAGGCTAGGCTAAACATGAAATGAGAAACGAAGTTTTGAAATTCCAATCCGTATAAGCTTCGTAATGTGATATGAGGTTTAGATATTCGATTACTTGAGGCTAATTCGGAATTCAGAGTATTTTAAGTCCACTTAATGGCTAAGTATATATAAACCATGACTTGGGCAGGAACTATCTATATTCGTATTGCCCTGGACACCTGAGAGTTCAAAGCTTTTGATAGGTACCTTAGAATGGATGGCAAGTAAGTAGAGATGCAAAGTCGAGAAGGGAGGGGATATCGACTCGAGATACGTTCACAACGTGGAGAGTTTTAGTTAGAGGGGGGAAAAGAAAAGAAGAAAGAAAGGGGGTGTTTTATTCGTAGGTCCCATCGACATGTACAGGTCATACTATCTACATGTAACTAACACAGAAACTCCTCAATGAGAGAAAAAAAAAAAAAAAAAAAAATGAAAGTTCGGGGCCATTCATGGCGTTGCGCCTACGGAAAGGAGGCGGAAAATTTGACCTGACCAACCAGGTCGCCAACAAAGGAAAGACGTGTATATCCAGACAAATGCTTCGCTCCCCCCCCCAAGTGTCCCAGTTCCATACAGGTATTTCACAGATCAATTGACTGCATCATGATGTGCTGTCTAGAGGTTCCCGCTATGCAATATCAACCGTACCAACTCCGGAAATATTGATCCAAAAAAGTAAGGGGGTCTTGTTTATAGAACCCCGCCGGGAGGATCATAGGGCATGCCTTGATTCATGCCCCGCCCACCCCTCCCATCTAAGCCCGCGCTGCCGGGGACGTCTCCGACTGGGCCATCTGCATTGTTGTTCATTTTTCTCAGCATAAACATGGGTTTCTTGCCTTCTTTATCTAATTGTTTGAATAATATCAAAGGCTTTTCATCCATGCCCAAGCACCGTTCTTTGTCTCCATAAACAATGTATAGGGCATAATGTTCCCAAGGAGCGTTGATGTTGTACTTTTTGAGGGCGGCAGGTAGGACTTTGTAGCATGGATCTTCCATACTGACACGGAAGGATTTGAAGATTTCAACGGATGCCCCACCACCAGTGCCCGCGGGCGTATCGGGAGCGGGGGTCTGCGCTCGTCGTGAAGGGGCTGGTTTTGCGCTGTCGCGAGAGTAGGCTGTAGTTTGGTAGGCATCATTATCGTTTTGTTGGAAGGTGCTGCGAGCTGGAGTAGGTAGGTCGGATCGGTAGGAGCGAGAAGCAAGCGTCGAATTGCTTAGCGTGGGAGGAGATGTTGGAGACGGTTGGTTCGGCGATAGGTGTCCAGGGGACGTTGCTGTCGGCCCACCATTCATTGCTGCTAGATGTGATGAAGATAGGACTGCCCTCTCTGCTGCATTCGCAGGGTCCAGGGCTTGTTCCATCAAAGACCTCTCTTGGCTAGTTGGGAGATAGGTCGGAGATGAGGTTTTAGGTCCTCCTTCAAAGAAAAGCTTCTTTGTCGAGTACTTTCGGGATAAGCCACCACCAGACTGGCCCGATGAAGGGGTCGGTGCTGGGGGTGATATTGTGCTTGAGGTATCGTGATACGAAGCGGTTTGGCCGTTGGCATCCTGAGAAGGGTATGGGAGTGGCTGCGCTTCTTTGGCCATGCGAAATACCGGCAGTAAATCTTCTCGCAGCCGTGCGTACTCTGCTGTAATCCTGCGCAGTTCCATCTCGGCAATGGTCATGCGTTCATCCCGTATTCGTAGCTGTTCCACGAGGTGTTGGATATCCTTGAGGGTTGCCGTGGCATACTGAGCCTCAGCATCTGCTGCTATCCGGGCGTCAGTCATGTCTCTAAAGACTATCTGTCTGTCAAAAACTCACACAAGGGGACGTAATGATCGCTCTCTATGGGTATATCCTGCTTGATCTTGATATCATAAACGCTCTTCAGAATCGTAAGTCGGTGTCCAACGCTCGTCACCCCCATCTGCTTCAGATCGTCATGCTGCAACGCCACTAATGCCTCGCCCACGATCTCATTTTCTGGCAAACGTTAGCGGTCGCTTGTCGCCAATGCTATGCTGAACAGCCGCAGCGTACCTAAGAACTGGTCACCATATTGTCGCAAGCCCAGGCTGCTCACAAAGTCCGCACACTCGTCCGCCGTCCACTCCGAGATAATGGTCTCCGGTAACCGATCTCCGCTACTGTGAGCGCCGTATGTTGTTGGCGTGTGCTCGTTCGAAGAGGGGCCCTCCGAGTCAGTTGGCGAGGCCTCAGAATCCGTGGCCAGCATGGGCGAGCTGTCATGGACGGATCTCTCGTACTCATCATCCGCGTCGCTCTCGGGATAGGCGGTGCCGGACTCGAAGGCCATGGTGCTGGAGGAGGAACTGAGGGCGAAGGCGGTGATGCAGAAGAAGAGGAGTTCGCAGCCAAGCAGACGAGAGGAGGAGAGCAGGATCTGTCTGAGGTCTGAAGACTTGAAGCACAAGATGCGAACTTGCGATGGAGTCGCCTAGCACAAGGACGTTCTGTCGGGCCAGGAACATCAGGCCGCGTGTGGCCTAGCGCCTGCGCTTGGACGTCCTAGCAAATGAAGCGGTGTTCCCTGCGGCGGCATCACGGCATCCTCCGCGACGTGCAGAGAAACCTTATTAATCCGGCATATTTTTAGATCTTTGCTTTCTGTCAAAGTTATTAAGGGTCCAGCTAGAGCTCCAAAGCACATACTTATTAGTACAAAGTATTCTATTCTTACAACGATCTCCGAATAAGCAATTACGCGCTCCGGCGTCTACGGAGCATTTACCCGTGCGCTTAGAGCGGACCCCCCCCCTACAGGTCGGGTGCGGTACCGACTTGTCCAGCACGGCCTTCTTGGCGTGTGGGATATGTCCTTGTATACAGTTCAGACAGCTCGGATTCGCACTTCTTTGGCTACAGCAGGGGTGTGAGATGGTTGCAATGACAATATGTAAAGGTGCAGTACCCAGTACTTCGCACACTGACTGAATATTCAAGATTGTACAGAAATCCAACTGAGGAAATCATGCGGGGAATGCTGCAGGCAATCAACATCCAAGATGGTATAACGTTCCCCTATGCCGTGACCCAGGTCCCTGTTCCTCCATTGCGCCAAGTACCAGAGAGCAACCTTCCCTGTTTTCATTATCATATCCGTTCACATCGTGCACAATCCGCAACGCCTTCATCTACCTGGCGGCCTGGGTTCTCATCTTGCGAGCCAGCCAGTCACCAAGCATTCCATCTAGACGCTGGGGTTTGGTCAGTCAGGTACACTTACACCGGCTTAGTCGGAAGGAAACTTACGCTTGTTATATCTGCCAATTTAGCATTTTCTGCCTTGAAGAGGTTCCCAGTGATGGGATGATCAGGTCCGGCAGGAACCACGCCGGACTTGTCATATACGACCACCAACAGATCCTTAATGTCACCCTCATCGTCAAAGAAACTTCTGAGGTGGGCATCACTCCAAGTAGCGGTTGACGTAGAGGTTGTTGAACTGCCGGCCTTTTTGTCTCGAGCATCATCAGCATCAATAAGCTCTGGTGATGGTGACGAAACAGGGGACGGCGGTTCCTCTTGACTTGATGAGTCAATCATGAGAGGAGGAGGGTGAGGGTTGGAGGGTGTAAGGGGTGACACCACCTCTGGTGACTCTGATGGCCTCTCTTCCATGGCATCGGGTTTCTCACTTGAGGGGCTTCCAATGTAACTGTCGGGAAAGCTTCCAGGAATTGGACGTTGATCCTGCCTGCTTGGTTCTCGGACAGGCTCTGTAACAGGGGAGTTTTCTTCTGAGGTATCAAAGTCATCGAGTTCGACACGTGATTTGGCCTTCTTTGCCTTGACAGGTTTGGACTCCGAAGAACTTGCGGACCGAAGCATTTTCGAGATGGGTCCTACTGATTTCTGTTCCTTCGGTGCCGTGAGGTCAGGTTGGGCGTCTCTAGAAAGCTCAGGAGAGACGTCAGGGGCATGCTCAGTTGGCTCATCGGCTGGTTCAGGCTGCACCAGACGCATAGAAGGCGCTTGAGCGGATTCAGCTGGAGGCGGCCGCTCGGGAGCTGGGATCTGAAGCGGCTCCAGAGCTTTCGGCTCTCTAATTTGTCCAGATTTTGACCGGGTCGGCGACGCATCCGGTCTTGGTTGCTTCTGTAACTTGCTCGGTTGTTTTTGGATTTCTTCTGCCGGAGTTTCGTCTGGTGCTGAAGTTATTTCATCAGAATCCTTGCTGGGGACAGGTGAGGCCCTTGTGTCTTCTGGAGAGTGAGTCGCAACCAGGCCGTCGTCGACATCATCATCTTGTGACTTAGACCTCTTGTCCTTCCGTTTGAAGAATCCACTAAGCATTCCTGGCTTCTTGTCCTTGTCTTTCTTATCTTTCCGATCCTTCTTGTCTTTCTTGTCACTAACCAAGTCTTTCTCGAGTTTATCAAGACTTGGTCGTTGTTTGAGTTCTTTTGATTCATTTGATGTTCGAGGAGAGCTACTTGAGTCGTCGCGGAGCAAGTTCGGAGTAAGTGTGATTTTTCTGGTTTCCACTGAATCGTCCTTGAAGAAGGAATCCGTATTCCTTACAGTGCCATTTCTGGATTTGCTGCTTTCTAGCTTCCCATCAAATATCTCGTCACTTGTCCTGGCAGTGTCGGAGCTGCTCTTCGCAGTCGCATCTTTATCATCCGGATCGGTCGAATCGGACCTTACTTCTCGCACCTCAGCACGTGGTTTAAGAGGTTCTATGGGCGCTATCTCGTCCTCGTCAGGGTCTTGTTCTTGCTGGTCACCATTCTGCTCTTGTTGCCCATTGGAGCCATAATAATCTCCGTCAGCTTCCTCCTCGTCGGTTGAATAATCGACGTCTGAGGCCTCAACATAGGTAGGAGCGGTGAAAGTGACGGTCTTGGTAGTTCTTCGCCGAATGGCCTTTTTCAGAGGGTTTTTGGTCTTCTCCGCTTGGTCACCGAGCATATTTGAGGTGAGCTATGTAAATTAGAACAATATCTTAGGATGTTTATATGGCAACGCACATCAATATTCCTATGTTTGTTCAGACGTGCCAGTCTTTCTGTTGGTGTCTCGATATGTTCTGCCGGCAAGTAACCTGTAAAAGAAAAACGAGTAAGCAAGGCCACGGCTTCCACAAACATCTGTATCAAAGACCCACCAATGCTGCTGTCTTTCACTACTCTTACAAGCCACCAGTAGCTATTGCTATCATCTAGTAAGACCATCGTGTCGCCTTTCGTGGCATTCGCTTGGCCTTCGACAGTTGCAACGAACGTATGGAGGGCGTAGACGAATTCGAAATCGATGTCCTCTAATTCTTGTAAGCATTCTCCACCCCATCCAGAATCAATAAATCTAGAGTCATCAGCATAGGGAATATCGTAATCATCATCATCTTCTTCTTCCTCAGAATCTTCGTAAGGAATAGTCATTGCCGTTTCATCCTCCTCAATCCCGGTTTCATACTGTTGTTCAGAACTTCCTGCAGGTTGCTCTTCAGAATAGTAGCTTAGGTCATAATCTTGGTCGTATTGCTCGATAGACGCCCCAACCACATCCATTGATAGTCGGGAGAAGTCGCTACATAGCGCGTCATGTTCGATTTCGTTGTCGTCAGAGTCGTCCGGATACTCACCCAGAAGAAGAAGATGATGATCGCTTTGAGCCTGTACCTCTGGAGCCACACCCTTGTCGATCGTCTCGCGCAGTGGTCGCAGTGGATAGAAATCAGGCGTCTCCACATATGGCGATGAACTTTCGCAGCACGCTTGTGAAAATGATGGAGAACTTATTGGGGAAATTGTGCGTGAGAGAGAATCGGACCTCAGCGGCCACATATGAGGAAGGGAATACCCACCATCGTCGATTGACGGAGAGCTTGAGATCTTGTCCATCATATCATCATCCATCCCGTCGTCGCCCTCTGCATCTGCCATATCTGCGTCTTCAGCAGTTGAACCCGTTAGGCCGCCATTCTGTGCGACAGCCAAATCATCTTGTTGCTGCTGATCCGCAGTTCCTGTTAACGAAGCTGTAACACCAGCAGCCAGCTCATCGTCCCCATACTGTTGTAGCTGTTGGATCTCGCCATTAGTCCATTCCTTCGAGACTCGTGGGCTTCGGGAGTGCTGATCCGCAGTTTCAGCAGCAACTTCGCGCAATGCTTCTGCTTGATGTGGAGCATGTTGTCCGACGCTTAGGGGGCTCGGCTGGTTTGGTTGTCGCGCATGATCCTGAGCGGAGGCAGCATTCTTCTCCTGGAGATCAATCGAGTCTGCAGGAGTTAGCGGTGGGAATTGGCATTGTGAGTGGTAGCCTACCTGCTCGTATTATCTCTGGTCGCGTCATGATGTCCTGGAAGTATGTAGTCCTTGAAATTCGAGAGAATGATCGTAAATCCCGTCGCGGTCCTTGATGTAAGAATCCGCAAGTCCTCCAGCAGGTTAGGTCATGTAAAGGGCCCGATTGAGATCAACCTGTGATCCTTCAATTCTGTGGGAGCGATATGGATAAGGATATGGATATGTGGGTATGTAGGAGCGATTGCAGTTCCTGTCGCGTCAAAAGCGCAGGCTCTAAGGTACCTAGGGGGCTGGTAGGGAGTGTGATCGACGCCGTCGAGGAGTGAGGTGAGGCCGAGCCGGGACAGACGACGGCTTCGGGAAGGCTTCGCCGATTGACGGCAAGTAGGGAGGGAGTGACGAAAGATCGACTATGGCCTGCGTAGTCACCAGGAGTCTTGAGAGAGAGGAGGAGGATGGGAGAGAGGTCTCGACTGGAAATAATTTTGTGACCCAGCTTCAACTGTGAAACGAGGTCGTCCCGTGGGTTCCAACAAGGGGGCTGCGTCAATCAACGCTACTCCACTTTCAGAACAAACTACTCCGTACGGGGTATAGAAATTTGAATCCCACTATGCTTATCATAAAGGCATTCATATCTCCCCAACGAGAATCTCGTCTTCGCAGGTAGAGTTCCAAGGTCAAGTACGGTACCTCGGCGGTCTCTGATTGTGGCTATCGTGATGTTTATTACAGACGTCCGGAGACAACGCTATTGGCAGAGCGAGTTATCCTCGGCCTTCCTGTGCCCGAAAGGACGACTGCCCGGCTCAACGAAATACGATCCAGTGATCCAACATCATTGCTCAAGGTTGATGATATGGTATATATTGGCCAGTAACGCTACCCCACATGATTTGCAAATAGGCCAAAATGTCCTCTACTTCACCAGACAAGACGGTCATAATGAGCACAGGCTTCAACTATTAGTCCCTGGTACGGTCCCTCAAGTGCGGGATGTAGTGGGGTTTTATGGGGATCGAGGATTAGGGCCCGAGGCTAGGTATAAAGGAATAATAATCCGTCAACAAAGGACCACACTACCTTTGCCAGCGCAGAGCTATCCTCCGTGAGAAGCAGAATCATTCCACAGTTAATGCCTTTGTCTTGACACGCTTCATAGAGTCTGCCAATGTTGTTACGCCTGCAAGAATCGGGGTTTTGCTGGCCTTCTCTGGACGCAAGCTCTTTGCAATTGCTCTTGCCGCGGAGGCCGATAGAAGTCCGGCCCCTCGAATAAGTCAATGCTCGTCTTTCTAAAGGTGTGGGTGAAGACTTGAGCATAGAACTCCAAGGGGTATTCATCACCTTAGGAAGAGCGCCAAGTTATTTCCATGGCAGCTTCTTTTTGATGACCTGAAGCTGGTTCACAGGAAGCGTATACCCCATCGAAGGGTCCCGTTCCATTCATGGCTGTAGTCATTATATCATCGTTCTTAAATTCACCGCCCCTGGTTCTTACACGAAATCAGCAACCTTGATGTCCAAAACCCTGAGGGACTTGATATCTGCCGAATACCCTCTGCATCGGATTATTCCGAAAAATCATAGACTGACTTCGCAGAACGAGCAAGCCTTGATGGGTCAAGTTAGAATTCCTCCCAATTAGATGCATACCTATGCATGCAAGAAGCTGGGAAAGTCAACACCTCTGATCGGTTTAGCGTATCGGCCTTGACGCGAATGAGACCCTGCCCGGCCTGTGGTTTGGGTCCTGGTCACTGCTGGATTATGAGAATATATGGGCCGCAAAAACCATGCATTGCAGCCATCGTTGTGGTCGCTATTAGTCGAGTCGCTATAATGTGTGGTTTGACGGAGATGTGGTTCGCCATCCCCGAATATCATCCTTGAGTGTCGCGACGTACGAGAGACAATAAACCGAGGGTTACATACAGAATATAAGAATGCAAGAAGATAAGCCTCCTCAAGGCCTAACACAAACAAATGGCTCCAACAGATTCAGCCCTCATAAACCCCCGAAGTTTGAGGGTTTCTTTTATACCTCTACGCAAAGTACGTACCTTATGGTAAGCAAATAATACACCGTCGCGTGCTGGGGAGTTGACCGAACCACGGCCGCCAGAATGGCCGACTCTTCTTTGCTTTGAATGACATGAAACGCGTTTCTCAACTGTCGCTATCGTTCTCAGTTGGGCTCGGAGGTAGGTACTGTAGGCGTGATCGAGCCTCGAGATTATATACCTAGGTAGGTATTCATGAGAGCGAGCCCTGGAGAAACCTGATTTGAGCAAGTAATAACGAATCTTCAGACTGACATAGGAACAATAATACATATTCCATCTCGAAATTGATAAATTGTAATCCGAATCACCACCAACCAAAAGAAATCCAGTTCAAGAATTGCCTATAGAGAACATAAGCTTTTCCCAAGCCCCCCTTGCAACTACAGCCTTGGCAATCGTGGCGATCAGAGTGTCCCGTAGATATTCTTAGGTTCCTAGTCACCTTATACGACAGTCTTTTCAGCCTCAGACCCTTCAAGCATCCAGATTTATACGAATTGCCTTCTTTATCTGGAATTGAATCGGATCGCAGTTGATTTGCCAATTCAAAAGAGCACGCAGGTCCAGTCTCCAGACAATCAGAGGCTCTGCCTTTTAAGTTGTACCGCGCCTCGATCCGGCAGGGATCGTCGCGGATACTGGCGTCTGAACTGCGAACCGCGGATGAAACTCCACACACACCCTTCACTGCCTTGCAGCACCTCACCAATAATCAAGTCACGGTATATTTGTCGCAACATCCGAGTCTACCTACATATCAGTCCCCAGTCGCACTTGTCTTGTCGTCCAGCTGCCAGTCCAGACCGTCGCCGGCGTCGAGTCAAAGAACCTCACGGCAAGCCTCGATACGACGGCCCCCGAATCACTCTCGACGACCCATGGCATAAAATGTCGACTCACTATCCTTAAGACGCCCTTTGATGATTAGCGGTAGGGCCGCGACGATCGCAAAATGGAAGAGAGGCAAATATGGTACTATGCGAAGCCTACGACGACCATCAAAGCGCAAGCGCATTGCACTCCTTTCACGCTTCCTTCGAACGGTATCATCTCGTTTGCGCTCTCTGATGCTATCACGCTCACGTCAAACGCTGTCTTCAAACCTCAATGCACCGGCTCCAATAATATACTGCTTACCAATTCGGGCGCCCCCTCGAGTATAACGTCCCTCCGCGATCCTTTCTATGCCTCAACTTTGCCTCAGTGCTACGCGCTGGCAGGAGCAACGGTTATAGCATACATGCTCGTCATTATGCTTCTGATTACGCCAAGAACCTTCCTGCTTCAGGGTGCTGTTGTTTTAGGACGTAGGGGCTTTACAAATGGACCTTCTGGGAGCGAGGGTGCAATCGGTATTGGAGGACGACCGTGGTTACAAAAGGTGGCAGCGTTAACGGTTGCCATATCACTTTCTATTGCCACTTCCGATACATTCAGAGTCGCTGAACGACAGTACGATCTTGGATTCATGGATGCACAGGCACTCCAGCAGGAAGTGGAGAATGGATTGAAGCTCAAGATCATCCGAGTCATATCAGATACCTTTCTATGGCTAGCGCAAGCACAAACCCTGATAAGACTATTCCCTCGTCAAAGGGAGAAAGTTATCATCAAGTGGACAGCTTTTGCGTTTATCTTTTTTGATGTCTTGTTTAGCGTTCTCAATAATTTTGTCTACGACGGAAGTTCTCGGCCTCGCAGCTTCGTGGATGCAATTCCAGCACTCAGCTACCTCTTTCAATTGGCTCTCAGTCTCTTGTATTGCGCCTGGGTCATATATTATTCCCTTACTAAGAGGCGTTTTGCCTTCTACCATTCTGAGATGAAAAACATATGTATCGTGGCATTCCTCTCGCTGGTGGCCGTGCTGGTACCGGTAGTCTTCTTTGTCTTGGACATCTCGAAGCCATCTCTTGCATCGTGGGGCGACTATGTACGTTGGGTTGGTGCAGCGGCAGCCAGTGTTGTGGTCTGGGAATGGGTCGAAAGAATTGAAGCTTTGGAAAGGAACGAGAAAAAGGATGGAGTTCTCGGGAGAGAGATATTTGATGGGGATGAGATGCTAGATGTCACCCCGAGCTCAGACCCTCTGTGGCCACATCGTCAGAGACGAAACGACAACAGTAAGGGCGGCGGTGGAACTGCCACGAATGCCAGCGGGATTTCGTGGCCTGCAATCACTAGTCGTCATAGGCCAAACATTACGGAGGACGTCGAGGTTGAAGGAGGCCGGCCGAACCGTACCGCTCGAAACAAAGGAAAAAAGGCAGTCCGGACAATACCACCTCTCTGGCCGACACGCCCACCTGCTGTAGCCACACCTGTCAGTAGAACAGATACGGCTAGTGCTGAGAGTACCGTATATACTGTCTGGTATCACCCAATCAGTGAAGCGACACCGCCTGTCAGGGAAGATTCTGGACGGCCAGGCCCCTCCCAAAGTAACGACATAGAGGTTACAGGAACACAGAGTATTAGCGAGGAGGATGCAGATGAACCTGGCAAGACGACGAGTATAGAGCAGATGACAGAAGATCTGGGCTCCTTGCAATCAGAGCAACGCCCTACGCCTTGGAAGGCATTAGCTAAGGTGAATCCTTTCCGGAAGAAAGTCCAGGGACTTCCGCGAGAAGTGTCGGCGTACACCGTGAGGCCGCTGCAGATGGTGAATGGACACGGCTCATCACATCGCTGGGACATTCGGGCAAGAATCGAGGACTTCGCTTCAATTCAAGCGGAAAAGTTTAGGGATAGAACTCGCCCAAGTGCTACTGGTGAACCACTCCCAGTCACCGTCATTCCCGCGCCAATTCGGCGGCGCAATCTCGCTGCAGCATTGGAAGAATTGGAGGAATTGGAAGAGGCTGAGAGAGGCCAGAGACCATGGAGCTCCTCCGAATCCACTCCTTGGGAATCACTACCAAGTACGGGCTTGAGTCAGGCTCGGATGCTAGAGGAGACCGACTCTGCGGGGCGCACTCAGCCCAGATCGAGCGACCCATATACTCCAGACGACCTCAGCCGGCACTCCATAACTCAGCGGGGAACAATATCATTCGTCACTGCCGGTCAGGGTCGAAGAGAAGGGGACGAGGATGTTACTTCGCAGCACGAAGAGCCACGTAGGAGTAGCCCTACAAGCTCACGCAGTTTCCACTTCCAGACTCGAAGTTCTACGTCGACTCACCCGGCTGGATTGCCCGTGCTGACCATTCCAGCTCCGCCGAGACGGCCGAGTCCTGATGAGGAGTAGGATCTTTCTGTTTCTGTCTTGCTTTCAGCGTGGCGCATGGGGAGTTGACCATGGTGCATGGTTCCAAAATCTGGGTCAGAGGATATTCGTGGGGCATCTTTTAAAGGCGTATCAAGGGGGGAAGGTTTTGACAGGCGATCAGCCGGGGTGCACAGGGAGCACGCGGCGCATATGGCAGGGCTGCATTGTATATGGCATGGAAGAGATCATGAATGACTGACTGCATTGCATTATATGATTGTGCATTTGGAAGTATGAGAGACATAGGTAGCAATGCAAATGAATACCTTCCCTGCGGGTTCCGCTGTTTTTCTACCTGAGCAAAGGAGATGTACCAATGTACCTCGGGGCTAACGGAGCACGGTAACTCCGCGCCGGTGGAAAAAAGGACAAGGGACCTACGCGTATGGAAGAGGCTTTCATTCAAGCACGGGCAATCGCATCATGTGTATAATGCCAACAACAGTGTCAAAAACTCTCTCCGGTAGTTATCTAATCGACAATTATCTGCCTCCAGTAATCCCTTCGCGGGTCTGGCGGGACCCCCTTACTACTGTGCCCATATCTCTAGTTTGATTATGTATTTCTTAAACGAGCTTGGCCTGTGGAGTTGGACAGTACCTAGGTACCTTAGGGACATGGAACACTTACCGACCGCCGCCTCGATAATCTCATTTCGATTGTCGGCAGAAAAAGTCTACTCTACCCCGTTTTCTGCCTCTATGTGAACCTCTCCTTGTACGATTCCCTTCTGCCCTGGATCACCTATTCTGTCTTACGAGCGCGGCCTTGTGCGGATTCCTTTCTCCTTGATTGCATGCTTCCCTCTACATCATGCCCGCTACAGAGGCCTTCCCCCTGCTCTCAACCTCCAGCGGCGACAGGCTGCAACCCTTGAGCGGTCCAAGCAGCCGTGACAACCAGCCGCGAATTCGAAGAAGGTCCAGCGGGCTGGGCGGAGAGATCAGGGCTGGGGACACCAGCGCTCCAGCTCTTGCAACACTGGACGTGATCCCGCAGTCCTCCCGATCGATCAATGTAGGAAGAGCAACCGCCCGCGTGAGCTTGCTCGACCCCCAGCTGACATGGAGCAGGCGCAAAATGCCAGAGATCGCAAGAAGCCCTTCTCGAAACGCCGGAAGGCTAAGAGTCTGTTGCAGCAATGGAAACGGTACTCATTGAAGCACACATGGGTCATGCCTCTCGTGCTGTTAACAATCTTCCTCTGCCTATACGCCATCAACCCAACCCCTTCAAACCCGATCCACCACTTCATCTTTCTATCATACGAAGTGCCGGTCGAGCCCGGGTCGCCGCCTGACACACCAATTCAATATGGGAAGGGGAAGTGGGATATTGCCTTTGTCTCGTTCTACATCATCGTCCTGTCCTTCACCCGCGAGTTCATCATGCAGAAATTCCTGCGACCCTTGGCGCGCCACAGTGGGTTGAAGAGCAGGGCGAAACAGTCTCGGTTCATGGAGCAGATGTACACGGCTATCTACTTTGGAATCACGGGTCCCTGCGGGTTATATGTGATGAGCCGGACGCCTCTGTGGTACTTTAACACCAGAGCCATGTACGAGAACTTCCCGCACCGGACACACGAGGCTGTCTTCAAGTTCTACTACCTCTTCCAGGCTGCGTACTGGTCCCAGCAGGCCATCGTCCTCCTCTTGGGGATGGAGAAGCCCAGGAAGGACTTCAAGGAATTGGTTGGCCACCACATAGTGTCGCTGGCCCTCATCGCGTTGAGCTACCGCTTCCATTTTACATACATGGGCCTGGGAGTGTTCATCACCCATGATATCAGTGATTTCTTCCTCGCCGTAAGTGTCCCCAGTCAGCATCAGGTAAGGCCATTTCTAAGAAATTACAGACGTCGAAAACACTCAATTATCTCGACCACCCGCTGGTGGGGCCCTACTTCGGGTTCTTCATGATTGCGTGGTGCTACCTGCGACATTACCTCAACCTCCGGATTCTCTGGTCGGAGTTCAACGAGTTCAAGACGGTCGGGCCCTACGAGCTGAACTGGGAGACGGAGCAGTACAAGTGCTGGATCTCTCACTACATCTCGACGGCGCTGCTGGGCAGTCTGCAGGCCCTCAACCTGTTCTGGCTATACCACATCTTCCGCATCGCGTACCGCTTCGTCTTCTTCCGCATCGCCGAGGACGACCGCAGCGACAACGACGAGAACGAGTTCGCTGAGGAGCAGCGCCTCGAGGCCATGGCCAACCAGGAGGCGGCGGAGGAGGACGACGAGAAGGAAGAAGAGGCGGCCGACGACACAGCCGGTCCGCAGGTCCTGGTCAACGGCAAGCCGATGGAAGCCACAACCACATCGGCGGAGGTCGGCGAGAGCTCTAAGAAAGAGACGCCGAGCCGAAAAGCCAAGAAGCCGACGAACCGGAAGGAGAACAAGCGGAAAGGTTGACCGGGGCCCGGATCGGCACGGATGTGCAGCGTGGCATGCTGGAATGGATGCTCGAGCCACATCCGCTCGCTTGGTTTAGTCGTTATGTGTATGTGTAGATGGCGGTGTTCCCACGGCGTTGCGTTTGCTTGCTTGCATTTGGCATTTGTTGTCTTCATGACGATCCATAAACACCTCACATAAAACCTTTTATACTACGGAGTACCCTATATATGAGCCCCAGCCACCTCCATCCATCCATCCAGCAAGAGCTCATATATGAAAAAAAACGACGAACGGCCCCATCCTTGCTTGCACTGCACACGACTCCTCGCTAGCTTCTTTTAACCTTTACGGCCGCCTTCTTCTTCTTCTTCTTCTTTCTTCTTTCTTCTTCCTTCCTTTCTTCCTTCCCTCCTTCTTCTTCTGTTTTTCATATTATATTATATTTTTTGGCGGGGGGGGGCTCTTTTAATGAATGAAAAAAAATGCAAAAAAATTCCAACGAATAATCATTCAAAAATTCACAAATGCAAAAAACAGATCATACAATAAACCTTTATTATAAAGTATTGTACGGGAATGTACAGTACAGTACGTCGTTATCTTGAGTTATGTTATGTTAACCCTCCTCTCTTCTCCTCTCCTCTTCGTCTTTCTTGTGTGTGTGTGGTGTGGTGTGGTGTGAGGGGGGTTTGGGGGGG